AGACATTGAAATTCGGTGCATGGCCATATGCCTTCCCCAACGCCGGACATCAAAGATGCCGATTTCGATGAAGATGATGCCAGTGCCGAGTTGACAAGTTGAGGCGCTTTGGGGAAGGTAATTCGTCCTTTGAATTGAATCGCACTACATCGCACGACAATGTAATATGTTTGAGTCAAGCAGAAGCAAGAAGAGGAGCCGCGTAGTTTGCGCCGCGAACTTCACAGAGAAAGGGCATCCTTGGCTGGAGTTGGAGCTCATGAGAACAAAAAACAAAAGCATACAGAAACAACAGTCATTTGGGTCGGAAGTGGTGAACTTGCCCAAAACCAGGACCAACACCTCTCCGGGTGTGCTGAACTGCAACCGTTTGAGCAGGGAGTGCTTGAATTGAAATCGCTGGATGTATCTTCTTGGGAGTCTGGGAGGTTTTAATATGCTTAGATTTTTGGATAGGTGTGATCCGGCAGGGTGCTGTGGGGAGGGGCTTCCAAAGCGATGAACACCTCTTCCTTTCGGGCAACTGTGCAATCTGCAAGCCCATAGGTCAGCTGATCTCTTCAGCAACGCCACGCTTGGTTGTGGTTGTGCTTTCCTCCCTAACATTTCGCCACTTACGATTAGTGCAAAGAAAACACACCTCGTAAAAGTTCGAATCAGTCGGAGAATACTGAGGGGGGCATTTGCTCAGAAAACACCATCACCATCCATCACCCATGACAGTTCAGCGACGGACGCGATCGCTGCTTCTCTCTGAAGCCATGCTTTGCTGCCTTCCGGCGCCTTAGGAGCAGTGCACTAGGCCAGCCTGGCTGCGACTGGGGAGCAGAGCCAACCCGTTTTACCGCCGTGTACAGGAACTGACGGCGCCGTCCAGAGGCGGAAAAAGCTCAGGCTGGAGGCTGGAGGATTTCCAATATAAAGACAAATAGATAGAAAATGGCATCCCCACCAAACATGTTGGAAACCATGCCACTATGGATTTGGGGACCACTACAAGTAGCGCATTTGACATCATTTGACCAAGCAAAAACTGGTCCTGAGATGGAGTCTCCTATGCTGCCTACCTTTGGTTTCTACGACCAACCCTCGAGAAGGTGCAGGTGAGCAACCATATACACCGTACCAAGCCCTGCAGCCCTGCCGAGAACTTGAAACCGACTCGTGTAAGTGCGGAAGTTGATGACCTGCTTTTGATGTAGAGATTCTGCTGCCGAGCCACGAAAGTATTCATGAAGCACAACATAGTTAGTATAGTTCGGATGGCAGAAAATCGGCGCCTTTCAAACATGTTGCTATGTTGCTTTGGTTCTCAATTTGACCTAATTGTACTATACATACTACAATGTGATTTCTTGATTTTCTGCTTGCTGTCATTTGCAAACCACCACCATTTTTGGTGCTGATCTGCCTGTCTCACCACCAGCACACATGGAACCATTAAATTCTGTAATCATTTGCTTGCACACACACACACACATATATATATATATATTACTAATCCACCACCCACTTCCCACCCTGCACCCTGCACGATGGCGTAGGTGGTTGACACCCCCGATTTGGACGAGATCGTGGACGCAGACGCTTGGGGGCGAAAGGCACGGCTTGGTCTTCTCCGACCGGTCCGATGCGGTGCGGTACGTCGCTACGAAGCCGGAAGTCGATTCGGGTGAGATCCCACTTCAACACGATCCTTCATAGTTGGAACCTGGAAGATTGGCCCCCAGAAAGACCATGAAAGACCGATCTTTTCAACCACCCCAAAGTAAATATGCCAGGCCCAGGGAGTTCGATGGGGTTCTGAAGGGAAAAGTTGGAAAACCATCCCAACCACCGACCAAGCAGTGGATCCCGTCACCTGTTACAGGGCCATTTGCGGGAAACCTCAAGAGTGGTGGAAATGTTGGGTGAATCTTCTTATTTTCCAACTAAAGGTGTCAGACTTGCTGCCACAGCACCTGGGATGAGAATGAGAGCATGGCTGTGAGGTTGGAGAATCCGCGTTGATCCGCGTGTTCTACAAGATGACTGAGAAATGACCGGAAAGCAACCTCGCAGCCAGGTGGATCTGGTTGCTTTCCGTGTGGATCATCGCACGCGCTTTTTCTGGCCCCATTTCCGCATGTGTCTCGATGTCAGGTGACTTTCCCGGATGGGCTCCTGTCCCATCTCCTCAGGTGACCGGTGGTCTTCGACCCCCCGTAAGGCACCCGGGCCCCCAGTCCCATCGAACCGAAACAGAGGTGGGCCAGGAGCCCAGGAACGAACGGCCGAACGAAGCCCGGTCTCAGGTGGGTGGGACAGCGGCCCAACCTCCGAAAGTGACACTGGAAACTCTTCCCCTATAGGTCAAAGACCTCATTTGGAAGTTGATCATAACAAAAAACGCGACTCAACTGGGTCAGACTGGACCTGCAGGGTTCCATAGGGGTGCCCTTTCCCGTTCTAGCTGGGGGGTTGATCCTGCCCTTTCGGCTGGAGGCGGAACCCAAAACCACCGTTTTCATATCATTCACCTGTTCGTTGAGCAGGCCCTGCTCGTCTTCGCCGGTCACCCCCAGGCCGCCACGGACGTCTCCAAGTCGTTGAAAGCTGCGGCATGAAAGTGATAGCGGTCCAGGGCCACCGATGGATGATCCTGCCATATATCCTGCCCACGAAGAGCGGATCCCTGCAAAGGTCACCTTTTTGGGGGATTGGGGACACACCACAAAGCAAGAACAGGTGCAACAAGGTCAACCTTGGAATTGTTTAAAGGAATCTGACGGAGCTACAGCGATTGGTCGGCTTGGTCGGCGGCCTGATACAGTCTGAGTCGAGGGACACATGTCAGGAAGATTCCCGGTCCCGGAATTGGTTGGAAGGGACACATCGGAAACCCATTAGATTTGGGGTGAAGACCATGGGTAGTTTCCGGTAGATTTTCAACTTACAGGAGTCTATTGATGAAGATGAGACCATGTTGAGGTTGTTGGGATCTTGGAAGGATTACCAGATCAGAGCCATTTTTGTTGTGTTCTTTTGTGGTTGGGTGACACACGTCACTCGTGGATGTGGGTAAAATGAGGACTGACAAAGGGATGACATAAGGCGTTGTCAAGTTTCGCAACCAAGCACAAAACTCAACGGTTCTGTTCCTCTCCCCTTTGTAGATGGTACCTTTACCATGTACGATTGATGCCCTAGACAGGGAGTTGACATTTTGTGCAAAACTTGTTCACCCAGTATACAGTATTTCCTTGATGTCAATTGTTCTACAAGACTCCGCCACATATTGTTGCCGGAGTCACCACTCTAAGCAGTTCAGACAGTGCATTGGACTACTATAGACTATAATATATGTGTGTAACAATAAATGTTGATTCATGTCGTTTCGTACAATAAGGTCACTTCCAAATGTTGGCAGCTTGTTGTTTTCTCTCTAATTGTCCAGTTCTACTTTTGAATCTAGAAGCAGCCAGCATTCCAGTTGAATCACTTCAGTGTTATAAAGATGCAGAGCACACATGTGCTTTGTGTATTTGACGACCAACAAAGACCCACAAAAACAATGGAAACCGGACAAAAACCATCAGTGGCGGTCCTGCCTAGTCGAGCACCATCAGTGGCAGTCCTGCCGTGTGTCGAGCATGGGCGGATTCAACTTGGACCCCCCATCAGTTTTATCCAATCTTTCTCCCGAAGCCATCGCTGAAAACTGCGCTGCGCAGCCGCTGTTGTCGCCCATTTTTTTCGCATGTGATTCGCGCGTGGCCGGAAACCGGGACCATCCGCGACCCTGAAACTCTTGAAACAACATGTAGGCAGGTTCTATATGGACATTTTGAGTCGTTTTTCAGGAGCCAGTCGTGACATCACTGGTCCAGGATGCCTCAACTCTTGGCATCGGAGGGGCACCCAACAAACAACCCCGTTTGGGCTCCAGGAGGTTACCTCAGGTTCGGTATGGCTAGGCGGCTAGACCTGGCACCCGCCCGGGCCCCCAGTCCCGAACCTCAGGTTCGGGCCGACTGGAGCCCTAGGGCAAAACAGTATCAAAACAACCACCAGCACCGACGGCCAACAGGTCACCAATTGAAACCTGTGACAGGGCCTTTCCCAACCCTCCAGCCATCGGAGACCTGTTGGGTTCGGTGGCATGTGATGTTTGGTGGAACGCTCAGCCTGGGAGCGGATCTTTCCTGGTTTGTTTGTTTTTTTTTCCCGAACTGGGTGAATCCCCGAACCTGGGGGAATATGTGAATTCATTTTCCCAGCTCCAGGACAAGAAATCTAAGTTTTTGTTGGTTCATCAACAGTGATCACTGGTGCCCTGATTCATCAGCTGCAACCGGTGGGTTGGACGGACGACTACGATGGAGGGTCCTCACTAGTCTGGAATCCATGAGCCATGTCTGGATCCCAGAATCGGTTTAGGGGAGAATCTACAGGACACCCATCGTTTGGAGGAGTTTCTTGTATAGATGTTCCTTATGATGTATTGTAGAAACCAATCCATTGACTGGAGGTACATCTTCTTCACCCCAAAGAATCGCTTGAGCCACCAAGTAAGGGTCAACCTGACTGACAGGGGTCGGTACCCTCAAAACTGTTGGCAGCTGGGTCCGAATCCTTAGGGCAATGATGTTCCACTGATCCCAGATGAAGAGGGCTTTGGGGTTCAAAAAAATGACTGAACTCACGGAACGCGACACCAGAGTCGACTCGACCGTCCAAGCAGGACGCATCGACCGTCCCCGCCTCACAGGACCACAGGTCAAAGTTGATTTATACCTCCCCATTCGACCTCGGACAGGACAGAATCAGAAGCAAGGGCAGGTGTAGAAAGCAGGTGGCACCACCCATGTGTGAGCAGGATTCTCATGGGTATGTCCTTGTGGAACGTCCCACAGATGTCATCGAAGCGACGTGCAGCGAGCTTCAGCTGGGGTGAGGGGCAGAACATGAGACTCGACCAAAGAATACCAAAGGTCAGCAGCTGGTTCTTCTGTTTTGGGCTCAAGAGATTTGAAGAGGCCAGGTAGACTTCAGGAGAACAGCTCGAGAGATCTGCAGGACACTTCTTTCAGTGGCCACAAGTAGCTGCATCTTGGCGAACCAACTGGCCAACGCCGTTTTTTTCCTTCCACACCGGTGACAAGGGCCATGGGATGCCAGAGTTTGTGCGGGTTGTTTTACTTCACTTCAGAGATGTCTCAAGCTTTCTTGAGTCTTTTTAAGTAAGAGGTACCCTCCATACGTACCAAACATAGATGCAAACAGCCACTAGTCACTAGCCCTGCACGAAACACACTGACATTCCACTGGGTGGTGATGACATGAGCGAGTCTATGCAAGTCTATCTTCAAACCAATATCTTGGTGAACAGAGCTTTCACATCTACGACTAGTCACCTTTACTATCACCGGAACACAGCGGACATCAATCCACCAGCGGTTGCCTTCCAAATTGCATCTGTGAAAAGGACCTGTTTGTGACAGTAGTGGCCTGTTCACCATCCTCAGCCGGGATCTCAAAAGATTCATGCAAGGTCACTGAGGGGCCATGAAGGCAGGTGGCTTCCAGTTTTGTGATGAAATCGGGTCACCGGGTCACTCGTTCGGTCGGGACGGTCAAGTCTTTCAAAGAGGAGAGGTGAGCCAGGAGTCACGAAAGGGTGCTTAATGGAGGATAGGGGTGGCCATTATCCACTCACTTAAAGACTAGAAACCACCCCTTTGTGACTCCTGGTGTGTATATAGCTTGGTCCACTTTCAACCCCCAGTACCCGTCTTACAACATGACCAAGGGCCAAGATGCGTCGTCCGCCAGTCGCAAGACCCAAAAAACAGGTCAGGGTCACAGGGCAGCCCTGGAAGAGGATCCCCAGTGACCGGTCAGGGTCACAGGGCAGCCCTGGAAGAGGATCCTAGGAAACATGAAAGTTCAACTTGCGCATACGCTTATTCTGCGCCGTGTCCGACACCTGCAGACATGTCTGGTCGGACTTAGGCTGTCTGATGAAGCTGTGGCCATGGCTGCTTTTGGCCCTGTGTGAGGGCGCAGTGCGGAAGCCGCGGAAGCTGAACGTACCCAACATCTCCTTCATCCAAGCTCCAATCCCGGCGGCTTGGATGCCCCACACGAGAGGCAAAGGTGGTGAGACACAGCTGCGGTGGTTCCAACACCTTTCGGTGTCGATCCAGCGGTGATGAGCTGCGTTGTGATTCTCCCGCGAATGGGTCGAACTTTTTCAGAAGTCAGGAGTGATTGGTCAGCCCAGGGTATATATATATATATCCCAAACACTCCATGGGACTGGCATATTTACCTACATTGGGGGTGGCTGCTTCAGGTGTGAATGTAGGTCTATATGCCAGTCCCATAGTCCGAGCCATTGGATCCATTGGGTTTCGGGTTCTCCTGTGGGGTTCTCCTGTGGTCAAAGGATTCTGGTCAGAACAGGCCAATTCTGAGTCCTCCAAGACCAGCGCTCTTGGGGTCCTGACCCAAACGAGACCAAAACGTGGCTGGCTGGAGCTGGCTGAGGAGGAAAGCTCCTCACTCTACCAGAGAGTTGGTGGAAGACTTTTTTACTCATCCTAAGGTTCTAAGCCGCTGAACGCGCGGTATGTGCTCAATACGGTCTTGCTTTCAAGCTGGTCAGGTCAGAAGTCTGTCCCTCAACAACTGGGCTTGCTGCGATGGATCCAATCCTCATGCCCTCTGGACCCTCATGGACCAATCAAGAGTCCCAAGCGCCTAATTAATGTAGACTCTTGATTCTTGATTAATAACCCCCTCCATGAAACACCTCTTCATATGGGGGGTTATTCATCAAGAGTCTACATTAGGTCCCTGAACTGAAGTCCCGAAGTTCTTTTCAAGACGGGTCTGAGACGAGGAGACTACAACGAGGGTCGAGTCTGAACAGAGTTGCTTAACATACACTCCCTGGAACTAACATGGAAGTGGAGAATGGCCCCCTGGAAGACCATTTTCCACTATATACAAACAGGTGGTTGTCCACTTCCATGTTAGTTCCAGGGAGAGTATATAGTGAAGACGGACTTGGTTCTTATTGGCAACAAGACCCGCCAGTTTCAAGGGGCACCAGGGAAAGAAGTGGAGGCGGTTCCCCGGGTAACTCTCCCAAACCGGCATGCCCACTGGCCCGTTGGCCTGCGTGCGCCAAGATGGCTTGCTTCAGTGTTTGCCCCCAGTTGATGAACATGGGAGAGCCTTTGTTTGCAGGAAGCGGATGTGGGGGCATGCCAGCCTGTAGTGCTGGTTGTCCACCCGAGTCTGCACGGGGTATTCAAACTGTGGGCCATGCTTGGGATTGTTTGGGGAGCCATCCTGGCATTGAAGGACTACATTTTGTTGATTCTGAATTGTTGTGGATGTCTTTCAATTACTTTGGGGCTCAAGGTACATCAAATGCGTTCTGGGTGGTTTACAAGGCTGCCCTTTTAAAGTGGTCGATGAGGAGAACCCATTCAATATTCCAAATAATTGGGTTATAGTAAGCCCAACACTGCTGTCCCTCCTGACGCTTGTTGCTCGGTTACGGCGGTTACGACTTTGACAGGCTACAAGTAACGAATGATTTTCCCACCATTTCCCAACTGCCATCAGGTACACCCGCAGTTTCTTCTTGCAAGGTAGCCATTTGGGGATAGGTCCAAACTTGGAGCCCCTGTCCACCATGTTTCGTGACGGTATCTTGGTGCCATGACCCACGAAGACTAACATGGACCCTGAAAACCGAGGAAAACACTCTTCCAGTTGGCCATTGTCAGGGTCTATGTTAGTTTTCGGGAGTGTATATGACATCCGATCGAACATTCTTCTTCCTTCCGGGTTCTCTCGATCGAGGAAGGTCCAGTCGAGTCTAGTCATGTCGTTTGGTCGAAAACCCAGAAACACCGGACCGGAAGCAGCGCCCAAGGGACATGGAGCTTTGCTTGGCACCCCAAAAGGCTCATGCCATCGGATGAGTAACTGTTTGGGTCGTTTTTCTCTCCATGTGACATCAACGCGCTTGGGGTGTTTTTTAATTATTTTGATTGTTTGTTAGCTTTTGTGTTTTAGTTGCGGTCTTGTTTCGTTTTTGTTTGTTTCCCGCCATTGGCTAGCTGTGAGATTCTGCAACGGATTCGGTCATGGCCTCCTGCATGAGAGACATGGAAACCTCACCATACTCACACATGACCGTGTTTGTTGGCTCAGGGGCCCCTTTTTTCTAGCTCACGACTTGAGCACCTTGGTGCATCGCCGCGCCTGCCATAAATCGGTGCTTTGTGTGCCGTGCCGCTTCGACTTCGTTCGATCGAGCCCAACCTTTTGTGTTTGACGCTCTTGCGCCGCTTCGCTGGATTGGCAGCGGAGCACAAGCTCCGGGGCCTGACGGCCGGTGCTCCCTCCTGAGGAGCTTGGCATTGGCTGTCGCTTGCTTGCCTTCCTCTTAGGTGCCTACTTGTTCTTGGAGCTCTACGGCTTTGGCCTCGGCACCTGGCTTGCTTGGTTTGGCTCTGCGCCTTTGGCTCATTGGGAACTACTTGGTTGACGCCTTCCTTGGTGCCTCAACCTGCTCTCCGAGCTCTTTGGCAAGTTCACTTGTGGTTCAGGCATTTTGCCTGGCATGACGGAGAAAGACTCCGGACAATAAGTCCCATCCTGGGACGGCAGTGCAAGGACGTGGAGGAAATACCATCGCGAAGTGAGCTGGTATGTCCGATCCACGCCAACACACAAACGGCGATACTGCGCTCATCGCCTTGTGGGACGCCTCACTGGCCCTGCAAGGCTACTTGCTATGTCATGGACATCCGTCAGCTTTGACCATGCTGGCGGAACTCGAGATTTCTTGCGCAGGTTGGCATCCTCTCCACTGGTGCGGCAATCGCTTCCCAATGCAGCTGCGATCTGCCAGCAATACTTTAGCTTCCGACGAAACAGTGGAGAAAGCATGCAGAGCTTCCTTGTCAGAGAGGCTTTATGCTATGCTGAGTTCAGTGAGGCCATCATTAGACTCTATGAGGAGAAGAATGGCATCCAGCAGCACGACCTGGACTTCGACCTCCCGCCAGATGATGAAGAGTGGGAACAAGAGGAACAATGGACCAGTTGGGGCTACGAAGATGAGGAGACTCAGACCTCACCTGTGGGCTCCAACCATGCAGCTGCTGCTGATAGTGGTTCGCCTCACGGGAACTATGCACGTGTGGCTTCATCGTCCTCACCTTCGAGGCATTCAGCTGGAGTTCAATGGGACCTTCCTGGTGTTACAGAGTTGAGCCTGGCTGACAGCTTCGTCCTTGGTGTCCTACGTGGCTTCCGTCTCTTGCAGGCCTCCGGATTGTCACCAGACGACATGCGAGACATCATCAGCACAACCAAAGGCAGCCTCGAGTTCGAGGTTGTCACCAAGGCACTACAGACACTCTGGGACGACCAATTGGTCGGACGTCGCCATGCTGGTGGTTGGTCTCCTTCAAAGACCCATGAGGCCATGTTTGAAGAAGCAACCTCACCTTCTGATGATTGGTGGGATGACGCCAACGTGGCCCAGTACGATGACAACTATGATGACTGGTGGCAAGATGATGAAGAATGGGGCTATGCCATCGAGGAGCACGAGGGCACGAAGGCTACTGAGGAAGATGATGATGCGATAAAGGAGGCCCAGAAGGCAGAGCAGATTGCCGAGGGCTTGGCAATGGAAGCCCAGCGTTCATGGGCTGAAGCTCAACGTGCCACTCAGGCACTTCGGAAAGATCGCGGGTTTGGACATGTGATTGGAGGAGGCAAGGGGTCTTCTCCCACCAAGTGTTGGACCTGCGGCGGCCCGCATTTCTCCCGAGACTGTCCCGATCGACGGCATCCCTCTGTTGGCAAAGGCAAGGGCTGGAAGGGTCACTACATGACTGACGAGCTCTACTACATGAAGGGGAAGGGCAAGAAAGGCAAGACTGCCTCATGGATGGAACTTCAAGCCTTCCAAAAGGGCAAATCCTCCAAGTCCGGCAAGGGCAAAAAGGGGACCATGTCACGACCTTCCGTCAATGCCTACACCAACGAGCTTTTTGGTTTAGAGTTTTCTGGAGCCTTGGATGTCCATTCAGCGACATCACCTGTGGCTACCATGGCACCTCACATGGGCCTCATCGACTGCGGAGCAACGGCTTCTGCCGGGCCACAGATTGCAGTCGAGGCCTTGGTCTCATCCATTTTGACCAAGGACAGTCAAGCGTCCGTGGAGGTATACAAGAATGCTCGTCCGTTTTTTCGTTTCGGCAACGGTGGATGGGGTCGTGCACTTTATCAAGTGGTTCTCACGAGCACCGTCACCGGAAGTGCTCGAACCTTCAAGTTGTTTGCATTGCCAAATCCCCCAAACCTACATCACCCGGACTTTGACAGGAACACGTTGGTGCCCATTCTCATTGGCATGGACCACTTGTCAGGTAACCCTTCAGCTATGTTGGTGGATTTTCGAACAGGTTTGGCCATGGATTCCTATGCACTACATCCCCAAGAATATCAACTACCATGCAATCGGAAGGGTCACTATATCATGGACATTGTTGAGTACCTCACCATGGGTCAAACCAGGTCCACTGGACATCCACGGGTTCGGGTTTCTGCAGATGTGAGTCATGCATGTCACACCTTGGAGTTCCACCCTGTTGAGTACTATGACATGTCAGTTTCTGATGCACACCATGTTCATGAGAGTCAGCTTCAACAGTCACGTGCACTTCTTTTTCAGCTTCATCGGAGCAGCTTGAGCTTGCATCCTCTTGATCACCGTGCAGCCCTGGCTTCAATGCATCGCTGCGGAGAAGCTGATTCCAATTCGCTTCCCGCTTCCCCAGCTTCGACTCTCGACCATGGCCCGGCGAGCTCCACGCGCCAGCGAGCTGGAGGAAGAGGGGATCCAGTGGGACGTCCGCTCAGCCACGGACAAGAAGGCCACACCGCAGCCGTTCGACGACAAGCGGACCGTGCTGGCAGATCCGAGGGATCCTCGAACCGATCCCGGCCAATGGCCATGCTTTGGACAACATGTCCCAATGAAGGCTCATGCCAATCCGCACGGCCGCTGGGTTCACTGCAGCACGTGCAACCTCCGCCTTCAGTACACTCCACGAGTGGGCTCACATGGTCAAAACACCAAGACCGACAGTCCACCACTGACCATCAAGATGCTCACGCAGCTGTACGAGGTGATGGGAGGGCGCACTCCGACGGCCACGATCTGCCTCCTGATGCAGAAGAAGATCGATGCCGACGAGGCCCTGCAGGGCATGGTCGAACCGGTGTTCCAACGAGTGCCCCAGCTGAGCGAGAAGCCTCCCTTCTACGACAAGGAGATGACCAAGGTCAAGAAGGGCAACAAGAAGAGCAGCCGCGACACGAGCCCGGCTCCATCATGGGACAAGGTGGGAACTCCTCCGACATCACCACCTTCGCATTGGGTCGAACTTCAGGACTACATGGACCCGAGCGAGATGGAGCATTTGATGAAGATGCTTCAAGAGCGCAAGGCAGCAGCCAAACTGGCTGTGGACATGGAGACTGGATCCGGGAGCCTGGCGTCTGCCTACGAGCAGGAAGCCAAGTCAGCGTGAAGACTACATCACGGAAGAGTGCTACAGGCCCTTTGAAGAGCTCTATGATGGGCAGCCCTGGCACTTCATCCCGGAAGAAAATGACACAGGCCTCTCCGAGCACTACACCATCTTCCAAGAGTGCTACTACCAGTTCATCCAGTCCTTCCACCAAGATGCCTATGCCTCTGCCCTTGAAGATCGGCGCTAAGCTGCTGCTCCTGGCTACGACCTTGGTGAGCTCTATGGCAAGTGCAACTATGAGTCTCTGTTTGGGAGACAATGATGGCATCTGGGAGATCGCATGTGCTCCCCACAGTTGGCTGTCGGAAGCATGCCAACGTCAAGGACTTCAACCTCGCCGCATCAATCTTGAACAAGGCTATGATCTCTACAGGAAAGAGACTTGGGAGCGAATGAAAGTCCTTCGGTCCAAGAAGAAACCACGGAAGCTTTGGTTCAGCCTTCCTTGCACAAAGTTCTGCCGCTGGACCTACCTCAACTATGCTTCACGACCTGAAGAACTTCGGCAGGCTCGCAAGAAGGAAAGAAAGATGCTTTGGTATATGAATGACTTTGTGAAGGACACCCTTTCCAAGGCTCCCGACACCAAGATCTACTTCGAGTGGACTCACCCATGTCAAGGGTGGCAAGAACCTCCAATGGTCGACCTCGAGACCTACCTAGCAGCCCTGGACATTCCCTGGCTCTCATGCCGCATCGATGGCTGCGTCTATGGCATGATGGACTCTCGAGGTGAACATCATCTTCACAAGAAGTGGCTTGTCAAGACCACCTGTGAACACTTCCATGCCACCTACAAGACTAAGGTATGCCATGGAGGCCACTCACACACCTTGATTCAAGGCGCCGAGACCGCCAAGAGCGCCTACTACCCTTGGAAGCTTGTCCAGTCCTGGGCACGATTCTGGAGAGCTGAGATGGTGTCTGATCGCAATCTCCGGCTCCTCTTCATGAAGCAGGACTCACCTGCTGCCTTGGAGAATGAAGAGCTCTACCTCCTTGCCGACGATGACGGTGGCACCCTCAATGCTCTTCCTGCTGAAGAAGCCCTACAGCCAGTGGAAGTTCCTTCTGAACAAGAAAAGAAACAATGGATGGCAAGGGTAGCTCACTTCCACAAGGCAGCTGGCCATCCTACCAACAAGAATGTGGCCAAGCTGATCAAGAATGCCGGTCAACCAGCCTGGAAGTCTGAGCTGGCTTTGGAACACAAATGTCCGGCCTGTGAGGCCATTCGACCTGGTGGCACTTCCAGCAAGAACATTCCACCGGCAAGCACTCATTCTATGTGGAGTGCATGGCAAGCTGTTGGCATGGACACCGCAGAGTGGCAGATTCCAGCCACCAAGAACAAGGTGAAGTTCGTTCTCATGATGGATCTGGCGACGAAGCTTCGTGTGGTCTGGCCCATCATGGAGTACCCCAACATGGAGATGCGAGCTGAAACTGCTGACCACATCATTGAAGCCTTCACTGAACGCTGGCTCTCCGTCTTCCCAAAGCCTGAGATGGTGATAGTTGACAATGGCAAAAGCTTCACCTCTGATCGCTTCAACACCTTCCTGCGGGAGTCCAACATCGCAGTGCACTACCCTCCTGAAAAGGAACCTTGGGCACATGGCATCTTAGAAGCTGGCATCCAGGACATCAAGCAAGTGGCAACCGTCCTCCAGATGGAACAACTGGACCTTCGGCCGGCTCATACATTGATTCTGGCCACTTCAGCTCTGAACCAGACGGAGTACACTGCTGGGTATTCTGCTCAGCAATGGGCCTTCGGGAAGCACTACTCCCTGACCGATGAGGACCACCGCACGTACGAGCAGGTGGAACCGTCAACTGACTTTGCACGCCTCGTTCAAGCCCGACAACAGGCTGAAGAGATCGCTGTGAAGACCAGGTCAAAGAGAGTTCTGAGCAAGCTCTCCAACACTCTGGTTCGACAGCCCTTGAGAACTTTTTCTCCTATGCAGCTGGTCAAGATCTGGCGACAATTCCAACCAGCTGATCAACACAAGGGCAGCCGTGGCGGCTTCAAGAAGTCTGGACGACCTCATTGGGTTGGCCCTGGCAGAGTGGTCTTCCAAGAGGTACTACCTCATCAAGAAGAAGGTGATCCTCGCCGACACATCCTGTGGGTGCTCATCGGGAGTCGCATCTATAGATGCTCAGTCCACAGCGTTCGGCCAGTGATTGAGGTTGAGCGCCTCCAGTACGAGATGACAGCCGATGAAGATCCCACCAAGTGGAAATCCTTGGCAGACATCCTGCCCAAGCGAGAGTTCACTGACCTCTTGGATGAACTCCCAAAGGAGGACGAGATTGAAGTCCCGAACCTTCCGTTCTCTCCGGATCCTTCGACCTATGCTCCAATACGACGAGCCACTGGCAAGTCTACGCTGCAGCCCTCCGACTACAAGCTGAAACACCGCAGCAGTCCATTGGGACTACAACCTCCAGATCGTGAAGTACAACACTTTGTACCTCCTGCTCACGCTTCGAGCTCGGCACGGCCTTCCAACTCGGCCCTACCAGAGGCTGAGGAAACTGCCAATGACTACGAGGACTACACCCCGAGTCTTCCTGATGCCGCTGCTAATGAACCTCCTGAAGATGAACCACAACCTTCAGAGAGAGATCCCAAAAGAGCTCGCAGTGAGTACGATCTGAAGTGGGTGGAGGAGCTGAAATCTCACTCCGAGATTGACAACAATGAGGTCTTCAGCTACCTCACCGAATGTCAAGATGACTTGGACGTCTTGGTCATGCACATCGATGTGGAGCCTGAGACTAATACCAAGAAGAAGGCTCTTCTTCGGAACCCCGTCCTCTACATGGCCAAGAAGTTGAACAACTCTGAAGTGTCCTTGCAGCGCTTGAGCAACCTCGAGAAGGTCCTCTTCCAGCGTGCCAAAATGAAGGAAGTCAACTCCTTCCTCAAGAACAGTGCAGTCCGCAAATGTTTGGACGATGCGGAGGTCCGCGAGGCCTATGGCAGTGGCAGGATCTTGAAGGCCAGGTGGGTCCTCACGTGGAAACCTATCCCACCTGATGAACGTGATGAAGCACTACAAGACAGCCACAACAACCCGGACACGGTGGTGAATCCTCAGGCCACCAAGAAAGCCAAGGCTCGCATCGTACTCCTTGGTTTCCAGCATCCAAGCTTGACGGACAGGAACTTTAAAACAGCTGCACCTGTCCAGAGCGGACTTGGAAGATCGCTGCTCTACTTCCTCTCCGTGGTCAACCAATGGGAGATCTGCGGCCTTGATCTTGCGACCGCCTTCCTGCAGACGCAACCGACTGAAGCCGATCAACGGCTCTGGACATCAGGAGTCTCTGAACTTAAGGAGGCCATGGGGCTACCTCAAGACGCTCTCCTTCGCATCTTGCGCAATATATATGGTTCAACAACAGCTCCAAGAGGTCTATGGCTCGACCTGCACAAGACTCTTGTTGGCCTTGGCGCAGTCCCTGCTGTTGGCGAGCGATGCCTCTGGCTTTGGTTCAGCAAGCATGAAGTTGACCCGGTGACCTCTACTCCCGTTCTGCTCGGTGCGATGGGAGGACACGTGGACGACTTTCACAGGGTTGGCAACAGCAAGTCACCTGAGTGGGTTGAGATTTGCCAGAAGATCGACAAGGCCTACCAGTGGGGCACGATCAAGCGACGGTCGTACCGTCATGCTGGCACTGACATCAACACCATCGACCAGGCTGACGGCACCTTCCGCATTGAGATCGATCAGGACGCCTACATTGAGGGCATACCTGACCTGGAAGTCTCTGTGCAGCGCCTTCGAACTCCTGACCAGGCACTCACGCCCCAGGAGATTGCCTCTTGCCGAACGGCACTTGGATCCTTGCAGTGGTTGGCCATCCAGACGCAACCACAACTATGTTCCCGGTGCAACCTTCTCCTGACGGAGATCTTGGTCGAGGGCACCACCACACATGCAAGAGAGATCCAGAACATGATCAGCGAGGTCCGTGTCCAACCTCAGCGGCTTCGCTTCTTTCGACCTCCCAAGGTGAAGCATTGGTCCGACGTCATCGTCATCACCATGGGAGACCAGGCCCACAGCAACAGGCCAAAGGGCGACAGCACGGGAGGAATGATCTCCCTCCTGGCTGGTCCTGACAGTTTGTCAGGCGATGTTTCGCCGATGGTCCTTTTGACGTGGAAGACATGGAAGTTGAAGAGAAAGGCCATCGCCTCCAACGATGCTGAAGTGCAGGCAGTCCTGGAGTCAGAGGACAGCAATTTTCGAGCACGCCTGCTGTGGTCTGAGATCAACGGAGCAGGATTCCACCATCGAGACCTTCGAAGAGATCTGGTGGCATCCTCCGAGCTCCAGGCCATGAAGGTGAAGGGAGTTGTCTGCACCGACAGCCGTGGTGGCTACGACGCTGTGGAGACCAACGAGAGCCCGCTTTTGGGGCTCACGAACATGAGGGCAGCGCTCCAGGCCTTCCAACTTCGCGAGAACTTGCGAAGATGTGGCAGCGAATTGAGGTGGCTCGCTTCGGACTACGACTTGGCCGACTCCATGACGAAGAAAAAGGCCGATAGTCGTGAAGGCCTCCTCAAATTCATGGCCACCTGGCATTGGACGATCGCTTACGATCCCAACTTCGTGGCAGCCAAAAAGAACAAGAAGCTGGGCCTGACGGCAGTCGACAAGATCGACAGAGCTCTTCGGCAAGCTGATGCGCTATGCTCGACGACCGCTTTTGAGATGATGCCGGAGCCTCCTGAGCCTGTAGCTTCAGTGATCGCTGAGGACCGATCACTGATGTCCTCTTTTCCCCGTGCAACGGATTCGGTCATGGCCTCCTGCATGAGAGACATGGAAACCTCACCATACTCACACATGACCGTGTTTGTTGGCTCAGGGGCCCCTTTTTTCTAGCTCACGACTTGAGCACCTTGGTGCATCGCCGCGCCTGCCATAAATCGGTGCTTTGTGTGCCGTGCCGCTTCGACTTCGTTCGATCGAGCCCAACCTTTTGTGTTTGACGCTCTTGCGCCGCTTCGCTGGAGATTCCTATGCTGGAATCGATTGGAGAGGGGATGCTTGAATGACCACCATTTGTTCTAAGTGCTGTTTGTCTTGTGAAGGTTCTATCGGAACATTTAGATGGTCATCACAAATCACCGGGATATGTAGCAGTAGGCTCTATCGAATCTATTCCGGGATGACTCTCCTTGGAACCATTCAGGTCTATTTATATAGTATCTAGGAACCAGGTAGTCACCAACTTTATTCTTTTTCAACTCTGTAGTTATGTTTCTTTGGATGTTTGGGCAGAATTGGCTGTGGGCTGTGAGTGAGAATCGAAGCAAGCAGAGTAATAGTAGCTGCTGAACAACAGGTGCCTGCTTCCCTGGCTAATGCTGACACTATGATGTTTGTTCATCGTTTACATGTGCCTTTAATGTGAGTTACCAGCACCTTACCTTCGGCTTCACTCAGCATACTACTACACTACCTTGCAACTGTGCAACACAGCGCACCAAACGGCGCCTTCACCGGGTCGTTTCCAGAAAATCCGCTGAGGATCCCATTCGGTTCATGAACGCCTCCTGGCTGCAAGGACCGTGATCGGAAAATTAGACGGTGATCTTGATTATAGTGATCCTTAAATAAATATGACGGTTTCGAACACGGTTTCCAATACACGTTTAGTGGGGATCTACTTTTCTATCATTTTCTATCTATTTGGGTACCGCTATAATGGTTAATGATTGTAAAATCCACTTTGGATGAACGATTAAACCGCATAGATTAATGACCCGCCCTCTGTTGGATTGTAAGAGGGGCGGTTGATATCATCCAGATTCTCCGGTGATTTGTGTCTGTCCGGTTCTTGGCCGGTTCTTGGCCGAATGGCCTGGGGAAGATGGCTTTACTTCCTTGCCTCGTGATCCGAATGGCCAAGCGGTTGGTCGACGCGTGCAGGTCAGAAGGTGCAGGTTGACGGGAAGAGAGGAAACGCGGGTTGACGTGTTTGCAAGATGTCTTCATGAATAAGGAACCTGGAGGAATATGTTTGAACTGGCGGCTGGGGAAAGGTGTTTCTCAGTCTTCCCGAGTCCTTAAGTCTGGAGAACATGGTTCAACCCAAGTATATATATGTGGTATGCTACGGCATGGATACTAGTCAGCATCATGTTGCTGTTGTGGCCAAGGAATAAGTTAACAGATACTTGAATGCACCAGGTACAACACCTCGAAAAGTTCAGGGCTTTTGAAATGATAATTTCCCCAGGACTCCTCAGGTATGTGGCAAGATGACGAGTAAACTAAGTAAGCCTTTGCTTACCTTGGAAGCTACCAAGCGTGGGCTTTTTAATCACAGTGCTCTACCAGTTTCTATGCTTTCGGTTTGAGCTTGTTCGGAGATCAACAGACTGCCTGCTTGGGGTTCGGAATTTTTGACTCCAAACTGCTGGAGACGACCTCATGACTCACCGGGAGCTGACGAAGTGAAGGTGGTGGGCAAAGTGCCGGGAGCTGACGAGGTCGATGAAGATGTTCCATACCTGAAGTGTTAGGCCTGTTAGGCATCTCACCTGTATTCCGCTGTGCTCTGGCACACCACACGTCGCCCAGTTGCAGTTGCTTCGCACTGACATCTCAAGTCTCCCACAGCAGCCTGGCAGCAGGTGGATCCAGCGCGCAGGATCGGGAGACGCACGGGACATCTGCGGTAGAGCCGGCAGAGCCAGCAGAGCAGTGATGGGGTCATCGGTGGGCCCAGTTGGGGTTGGTGTCGTTGCCTAGGGACATAGTTGCAAAGGGTCTTCTGAAGGTCATGAGACCCGGAACCAGGAAGTATCAGGACAAGATTCCAAGATTGAATGAGCACCCTCATACGACCTGATCGTGACACAATAACTCACTTCCAGGACATCCGACCAAGAAACCAAAAGCGAACGAAAAAATCCAAGCCACTCGGGCCACGTACGACCTGCCTCTTTGGTCCAAAGTAAGGTAAGCCACGGTCGGTTGAATCATCGACGCCGCAGCCCGCCCGCGGGCGGGGTTGTCGTCTCACGAAGAACAAAAGCCGGCAAAGCGACCGAGCGGAGGAGGACACCGGGCGAAGGAGGACACCTCGGTTATGTGAAGGTAACCTTGGAGAGTGAAGGTAAGCCTGAAGCTCCTTATTCCTACTCAGTTGATAACCTTTACTACTACTGTAACCTTTTTGGGGGGATCGGTTTCCCCACCTTAAACAAGAACAGGAACAAGGTTCACCATTGAGTTTCCAGGGAAACGGCTCGGGAGTGAGTTGTTGGATGTACCATGATGTACCGATGTACCATGTTACTGGCTGACGACCTGCAGGGACCTGAGGGAAATACCATATGACCATATGATTGCTTTCTGCATGAATGTAGCATCAATCGAGCACCAGAATCAGCTCAATGACCTTGGCAATCTTCAAAAAGCTTCCGTCGCAACTCTCTTTTAGGACTAGCAACCAAGGGATTCTGAGCAACATCGCTGTCGACCATGTCCTCGACCAGCTGGCAAAGAGCGAACTGTCTCACTTTATAAAGGGTGTTGTGGATCTACCAGGATATTCCATTCTGGGTGCGCCTACTACTGTCCGGGCTCTCCAGCCAGGACACCCAGCATGGATGGTCTAGCTTTAGTTCTAGCTATCATCACGAAAACTCGTTGGACGGAACGTGGCTTCATCACCCGCACCCCAACACTCCAGCACTCCATGATTGCTCTTGGGTCACAATTTCAAAAGAAAAGGGGCCCATGATGGCCAATGGCCACCCCTTCTCATCCGAAAAAGGACCTCTTGGCCATCCACCAAAACAGGAAGACTCCAAATCCACCATTTAAAAAAAACATATTTATAGTGGATTGAGAGTAGATGGCACAGAAACCAAGCAAGAGGTGGTTTATTGTTATCCCCCCATGTGTCTAAGACATCAGTTGCCAGTGCCGAACCTCTGAAACCACTGAAACATCGATGTACTCAGGGTCTTTAGTTTTTTTGCTTTTCGGTGGTTTCAGCCACGAGAGCTGGTCGAAACCGACGAGTGCTGTGCCGGATCCGCCGAGGATCGGAGACACGGTCAGCTCCTATGCCGCCCGGCTCGGTGAAGAACCGTGGGCTGGAGGATCCCGTGACGAGGTGAAACACGACGGGAGGTCCCCCAGATTTTGGGGCGAATTCCGCGGAACATCTCCAAATCAGCCAGTACTGTGGGATCTGAGATCTTCATCCTCTTGAGTCTCTTGAGCAATTTTTGCGGAAGATCCTCCACCGGCTGGTTCCGGGCATGAAAGCAACCACAGGAATTGGGCTCCTGCGATTTGTTTGGGGAGAAGCTGTTGGGAAGTAGAGCCATATGGCACGGTAGTCCCAATGAAGAAGGAAGATAGACCAAAACCAGTACCAAAACCCAATGCTTGGGGGTCTCTAGTGGGGTCTCTAGATTAATTAAAGGACACACCTATTTCTACCAACCAACCAACCCGGTGGTGGTTTCTCGCACGGACCAACTCTGCCAGGGAACCAGATAACCAGGAACTCAGCACCCTCTTCCAGCAGTGTAATTACATGGCGATGCGCTACCCATTTCTTCACAATATAATAGATATTATTTGTTCAGCGTTGCGTGAGTATGCCACAACCACAAAAATATATACCCTAGAAATCCAAAGACTATATTTTGACTGACTGAAGTAAAGGACATTCCTCTTCGTGTCACCTAAAGACCATTCTTTTTATAGTCTTTGACTCCCAGGGTATAGATACTGAATGAAGCACGCCCATCACATCTATACTTCTCTATACTGACTGTCTTGTCACTCAACACCGAGTCCTCGCACGGGTTGACCACGTCCGTTTTCCTCGCACGTTGAGCGCCTCTGGGGTCAGAGGTCTCCAACGTGACCACCTCGATGTGCACTTACAGGCCGCCGGTGTGCCGCATGAACCGCTTCACGCGGGTGGTCGATGTCCAGTTCCGGTCATCGGTAGGGCTGGTCTTGCATGCAATGATTCCCAGATCATCATTTTTTCAGGTCGGTTTCGGGTTGGGGAACCCAATGGCCTCCAACCGCGATGGTATTGGATTCCCTTGGGAGTCTGTGCTTACCCGGGGTGCTCGGTTTTCGGACGGTCCCTTGAGATTTGGGCCACGCGACGGCCCCACACACCAGGCATGAGAGGTGTAGCCAGGTGCCGACTCGTTCGTAAGCCTCACTCAGTCGCTGGTGCTTGTGCTCGATCACTGTGTTTTTGATCGGCTCATGTGGATTCCTGTGTTCTTTTCAAGAGAGATCCTCCAAAAAACCGTTCTTGATGTCAAGAGTGTCTGGGTTACTACTGTGGCCCTGAGCTCAGGAGTTCAGCGGATAACCATAGATCACCTGCGCCGCTGCACCGCACCTTAGGGATCGGAGCTAGCCATGGATCCACCCGGCTGCCGGTGGTTCGATGGGCGCCGTCGGAGAGGATCGGTAGTCCTAGCACCGCACAGGTGAAAAGGGGTGTCGAAACCACGTACCGTACGTGAGTCAGAGGCAATGCATTTCTCCCTTCGGCTCGAAGAACATCCGGAAACCACGCGAGGAGACCGTGGTTTGAAACACGCCCAGATGGGATGTGGAGACTGCATTCGGGGCCCATGGAGCCTTGCGCAGGGCCCACCGTCGGAGAACTGCCATGTCGCGACGTCGCAAACGAGGTGACCTTTGAAGCTGATGCTTCCCTAGCCAATCGTGGCAAGATCGATGGAGAGAGCTACCTGGGTAAGGTAGGATTGTGTGATGGGTGACAGCTCACATCCACAAATGGCTTGTTTCATGAACCACTACACACCAGCCGAATCCACCCATGACCTCTATCTAGCGAGGTTGACTAAAAGGATTAAGGTGAAAACCACCACTGGTGAACAAAGACCCACCACTTGAGACATTTGAGACCCACCTAGCAGTAGCAGCTGCTTGTTTTCTTCTCGGACCAAGCTAATCCACAAAGGACATCAAAGCCACGACTTCAGCACCAGCGGAGCATCGAAGCCAAGCATACATGCACTACATTGCACTCTCGAACCATCATGGTGGAAGTGTATGGCATAGCCCCGAAATGCCCCAAAAGGAAGACCAAGTTTCTATTCTGTTCCATTTTCCAATATATATTTGTTTTGGAGGGTCCCTATAGAGTTCCTCAAGTTCGCCTCTTCTCCGCCGAACTACAGCGATCAAACTCGACCACGACCTTTCGATGCCAGGGACGTCAAGGATTGTATCATGATGAACCCGGTACCTTGGCGAAAAGGATTGCACCCAGACGTTGGCGGTGTTGCTTCGAGACAGGGCGTTGCTTCGAGACTTCGAGACACGGCGTTGCTGGGTGTTACAAAAGCAGAACAAAGGAGGGATGTTACTTCAAGGACTTGACTGGAAGTGATGGAGTGTTTTTGAAGATTTGTTTCATTCAGCAGTGGTGTGGAGGGGCCTCAGAACACCATGCGGGTGTTCTCCGACGGAAACTGGCACGGGCAGAGTCTTTGATCCCAACCTATGAGTCTGGAACGACGGTCCCACACTCAACCGTTCACCAGTGTTATAGCTTAGCCTTTATACAGAGCAGATTTCCACGTATTGCAAAGATGTAAAGATTGGAGAGATGTGCTGTTGATCAACACACCATCTAAGATTCAACCTCTCCCGCAAGGTACCCTGCTGGCCGGGTATTGTGACGTCAATCTCACAAGTCTTCCACCCTAAAGGTTCGGTCTAAGTGGCTGTGGATCAAAAACCAGGATACCAGGATACCTTCGTTGACCTAGCTGGTGTCCGTGTTTTGCTGCATGGTGGACTGGTGGTTGAACGACCTATCCCCATTGGTGCTCCCAGAACGGAGCACCAAGAATCTGCAGAAGACCCCAAAACACCCGCTCCTCCCAGTTAATAGAACAACAAATACAGTATAGAAAGCCAGCCAATAGGCTAGACTGAAGTTAGTTTATACGAGCAAAGTTAGTCTTTAAGGGGTGTGGGACGTTAGCCTGGTGGTGTTTCTTACTTTTCCATAAAGGTGTTTTTTTCGTGGGTTGCTGATGCAGAAGATGCAATGTGACTCAGTATTGCATCGCTAGCATCTTCATCACTAGAGTAGACAAACCCTTTAGGTGACACATGTGTATTGACGCTTTGTGTCCATTGCTGCACGCGCGGAAAAATCAAATGCTGATTCCTCCTGGCTTTCGTTTCCCTCTTCTCAGGTATATATACAAACAAATCTTTATAGCATTATATAGCACTTGTATTCAAAGCATATATAACTATAATATAACCCATATATATATAATCATTATATATACATGCTTATCTCCGAAACAGCATGGAATGGACGTCAAGACTCGGCAGACTCGGCAGTTGGAGTGTGGTGGCGATGCGCAGACTCGCCGGCTAGAGGCGAGGCGGAGGTTTGGGACGTTGGAGACCCGAAGGGCGACTCGGCGGTCAGACCTGAGGCAGTAAGACCTTAGGGCATCGATTGTGTTCAATAACCTATAGGCAAGTGCAAACTGGACATGATGTTTTGTTTTTTATACCTCTTTGAGTGTGTGTTTTTGCACAACCAACTCCAGTTTTATAGGTCATTGACCTGTAAGGCATGGAGCCACGTAGCCTCGTGATTGGAGGCACGGTCTTTCTTTTTCGGCTCGGTGAATCAATCCCAAGTGGTGGCTGATACACCCTAGGGCTCCTGGCCACCTCCGTTTCGAAGATGGGACAGGGGTGGGTGCCAGGGGGGTCTAACCACCGAACCTGAGGAGATGGGACAGGAGCCCAAACGGGACATTGATCCTGACCGGTTTATGCCGGTTCGATGAGTTCCGGGTGTGGCGGGGATCCGGTCCCGGTCGTCATGAATTGATGGCACAAACACCGTTCGACCACCTCTGCGGGGGTTGTGCCATCTACTCTCAATCTATATGCTATATATGCATCTATATGCTATACTTGTACCGTCTTCGTACTTTCTGAGAAGCTTGGACTTGAAGGAGTGTATAGCTTCAGATGGATCCATTGGGAACGCACGCGTATGCACAAACATGTGGCTGTATTGAATTTCACCGGTGAAGGGTTTGAGGAGCTGCTTGATGTGAATCGTCGAGTTCATTTGGTCTTTTTGGAGATTCTGGCAGGTGAATTCAAATACTAAATGATCTGCAATATATGTTAAATCCCAAGGTCCCAAGACCCATCCCTTTGCATCTGAATTCCAGGAACTGGAGCTCTCTTGGGTTCTTCCCCGTGCTTTGGAGCCTCCACACAGCTCCTGCCAACCATTCGCGCCAGATACCGTCCACATCTGTGCGACAGAAGAAGTTGCCGGTTTGGAAGCTCTTCCAGGTGCAGTTCTTCTTGTTACGCCAAAGGGACTGTGCCCCCTTTTTTTTTTTGTTTGTTTTGGGTTTGGCTGGTGTGTGGAGTCCACCATGTTGGGTACGTTGGTTTCAGGACTCCTGGATAGGACACCAAGGGTCTCAGGCTCCAGCTCTCCGCTTAAGCGAGGCCGCCTTAAGCCTCTCGCGTCCGTGCGTACTCCGTGCCGAACGTTGGAGCAGATTGGATTTGGGCGGGTCTTGATGGTTTCAGCTGGGGAGCGCAACGTTCCACAGAACTGATCACCACATATCACCACTTTTGCACCCCTTGGCGTAACCGGGGGTTCGAGCGCTGCTCTTGCTCTTTCTCTCTCTCTCTCTCTACTTGTGACTCTGGCGTCTCTTGTCCTGACTCTGGTACAGTGCACCACCCATGAACTGATCTAGTTCATACCTACCCACACACGCGACGCTGGACCCTGATATGGAGAGGTCGGGCCCTCACGTATGGAGGGTCTGGGTCTCAAATCCCTATGGTTTTGAGGGACCAAGGGCTGTTTGGAGCGTCTGGGTGTATAATAATCAGAGTGTTCCATTTCTCGGTGCCTCTGTTGCTTGGATCCACTAGAAGAACGGTGATTAGCTGGACAAAGATTTCGACCGTGGTCCTGAAAACCTCAAAGATCCTTGGAAACCTGAGCCCCAAAACACCTGGAACATTTGGATTGGGTGAATATGATCTGCAGGTTGCTGCAGTGGACGGGTGTAGAGTCAGTGTACAGTGACTCGACAAACACAAATTTGTCAAGGGCCTTTGGCTGTGTGGATGGTCTTCACGTTTGTCCATCGGTGGTCTTGCACGTTCGCTATTCTTTTGGGTAGTGAGATGGCCAAGAACATGCCACAACTGAAAAACGTCGGGGGCTCATCTCAGTGACCAGGAGTGACTTGCAACGCTTTTCTCGGGAAAGAGTTGTCCATCTTATTCCAGAGATTTGCAGAGCAATCAACAGTTCCTGTTTTTCTTGGAGTCAGTGCTGGAAGGTTCTATTCAGACGTTCCAAAGCCTCAGCTGGCGGGCAGGGATGTCAGCAACAAGAGGGTGTTGAGTGAGATGGTTCACAGGGCCATGGACCAATGGAGAGGATGTTGAGGGTGTTGACATGTTTCGACCAGAGTTTCTGAGAAACTGCAGGGAAAGTACACTATGTATAATATTTTTGTTATATTATATAAATACATGATTATATGACCCAGACACTCCATGTTTGGCATATATGCCTACATTGACTCCTGAAACCACCCCAAGGTATGTAAATATGCCGGTCCCATTAGGAGTGTCTGGGTTATTACCATAAAGTGTGATTGACCTCTTTTGAGTCTCTAAGTGACCTCATCAAGGAGTGCCTAAGTGACCTCATCCTGGGATATCAAGTCCGGTCACTTTAAAGGTCCTGGTATACACAACAATATAATTGCGTTATATACCAGCACCACCCAGGTAGGGTGGTTTATAGACCCCCCCTTGAAGATTGTATTTTCCATCTAATAACCACCCCTTGGGTGCTGGTGATTTCTTGATTTCCACCTCACCCGGTCACCGGTCACGGTGGGTAACTAGCACCGGTGACCCAGCCACCGCGTGGTGTTCGTCGCAGGAGGGCGGCCGTCCCTGGAAGGGCGTCATGAAAGAGCGCGTCAAGAAGGAGTCGAACGAGTTCAAGCGTTGAGGGGGTGGGGATAGGTTAGGGGAATAGGATGGGGGATGTGGGGATAGGGTTCGGGGATGTTGGGGGGAAGAAAAATGGAATCCAGCCCCAGTTGGGGTCCTTCTCCTTGATGGGCTGTTGGGCTGTTGGGAGGTTGATCCATGACAGAAGTTGCCAACTGAGATGGAATTCAAGCTGCAATGCAGCCTTTCACTCAGAGATTGATAGAAAGACTCTTGCCTTTGGATCACCAGTTGAACTCCATGTGACTCCCATTGAGCCTACCATGGGGTCGTCCCTCCATTTGCCTTTCCTTTGCCCCGACCAAAGCACTGTGCGGGGCGGTCGAACGCGTACGCGCAGGCCAAAGCTGCCAAGCGTCAGCTGGTGGCTCGACGGCAGTGGGTCGATCGACGGGAACTGGGGCAAAGGAACTGGGACACCATGAGCAATATTTGTTCACACAAGCGAAGAGTGTCGGCCATGTCCCAGTGTAGAAGGATGCACCACATCATGTAAGATATAAAGTGAAGCGGCCCTAATGTAGTCCCTTGATTTATAACCCCCCCCCAACAACCAAGGCCTCCAAAATAATGTATAAGAAAATCAATCAATTGATAATTACTAATTAAATAAGGAATCCTTAGCTAGCTACCTCTGGAGCTACTCTGGCAATACTAATGGAAATCTCCAAATGTTTAATAAAAATCTCCATCCAAAAGCCTGTAAGATAAGCAAATCCCAGCAAACTCAAAAGGGAAACAGTCAACTATAACACAAAAAAATATTCCACTACAACTACCCCTCCAAAAAAAAGAGACATTATTCTGGGGGCCTTTATAAATCTGTGCAGGAAAACAAAGTCATTATTCTAGGGCGGTTTATAAATCTAGGGGCGACATTACCCAGAGAGTGGATAAACATGGATAAATAAATTTAACCTTTCCTCGGAATTGGGGCACCCCCGCTACTAGTATAGAAACAATGCAAACAGGTGGAAAATAGTCATGAGACAGTTTGACACTAATGACAAAGACCGTGTTCCTGGTCCTGCTTGGGTAAACGTGTGGATTGTTTCTTTCTGGCCACCCTTATTTGATGATAGTCAGCTAGCTTTGCTTGAGGATGGCGCACACACACACACACACCCATACGACAAACATGATTACTGTACAATTTTTGGTCAGCACGCGCACACACACACACACACGAAGGAAGACCAGTAAAGGCAACATGTGGCTCAGACAAATGGATGGCATTTGATGTTTTAGGGATCTTCCTTCACAAGCCTGGAAATCATCCACTTGGGGACCCCGTCGAGCATGACTGTCACAAGTCTGGATCTGTGAACATCTCTGAACTACGACACAAGTTCCTTTCCATGCCTTGGATGTTTTTTTAGACACTCATGACATCTCATGACGTACACCCGGAAAGATTGAAACCGACCTTGGCAGCCAGACCGAGCTCGGAAGATTGATGTTTCCGTCCGAAAACGAGTGCAGTGGTTTTCAGGCCTGGAACCCAGGCCTGGAACCCAGGGTGTCACAAGACGCGTGCGCTTCCACTCCGCTCCTTGGACCTCATGTTTTCCTTTTCCCCTCGGTCAAATACGGGGGTTCCACTGGCACACCCGCGGTTTCACCGCGGTTTCATGCGCCACAGGGGGGCAACTATGGCGACTATGGCGACTATGGCTATGGTGATGAGAACGGCACGACGGTTTCTTGGCCTGTTATAGACAGACCTGGAAAAACTTAAAGCGACTATTTTAGCCGCATCCATGTCATCCGGGTTCCCTTGGGTTCCAGATTTCGAGCTCAAAAGATTTGGGTGGGCAGGGGAAAGAAGATATTATGGTAAGGTGAGGCCAGGCTTGCTGAGAAGAGCAGTTCACATGAAGAGATGGTGAACACACTGAGTTCACACACGTGTGAACTTTCTGGAGTGTGTAGAGTCGCTGACCCGCTGGGTGACCTTACCAGCCAGTCAATTGCAACCCTGCTGTGTTTGTCGGCGCCTGCATGAAGCAGCTTCGGCGCCGAGCAGCTCAACGATCGCGGTGCGGGTCATGAAGACGATGCGGGTCGATGAGAGGGCCTGAGCCAGAAGAATGATACATGTGAGTGAAAGCAACTTGGACATGATACAGCGCCGTCCTGGTGCATCCAGCATTGGCGATGTTTCGTGATGCATCCAGCAACTGTTGGCCTTCTCGAGGCTAAACCACTGCTTGGTCGACTGGATGGCGTGGTGCTTGGGAGCACACCAGACAGTTGTTCAGCATTTGTTTTGGCACCTGGTTTGGTGAGTCGATGAGTTTCATGAGTCGATGAGCGGCTGGAGCACAGCTGCGCCTGGTTGCGACTTCTGGCCCACCATCTTGGGCTCACGCGCATACAGAAGAGAGCACAAGGACCGACAGATGGAAGACAAACATGAAACAATATGCATGTCTATATTATGTATATGAAACTCCGACGACCTGTATATTGACAATCTATGCCACATGATACGTGATGACCCGATCCTGGGTTGCCCGCCGAAAGATTGAACCTCCAATAGAGATTCCGCAACGGATCCATTCTCTTGTTCTCTAAGTCCACCATTCAGTACAGCCACCCAACCATGTTGATTCAAAGATCCTCCAAATGACCCCGACAAATGGCTCGATCCAACGGAATTACTGTACATAGACAAACCAACGATTTACAAGGTTTTGTTTGCTCTTTCTGGAAGAAATGTTTGGTGAAACAAGCCCTGGAAGGTTGAAACATGAAGAAGATCTATCAGTTCTGGCCACATGTTCCTTTGGGTCTGGCCATATGTTCCTCACTAGATTCCTCACCATGTTGCACCTTTTTTCAATAGGAAAAGCCAGCATTGATGGTCCGCGCCCCTTCAAACCTGGGTTCTGGAAGTGAACCATTGAACTGATTTCCCCCAGCACCTCACTGATCCTCAGTTTCAGTGTCAGACGGACCCCGTCCCGACACCCGCTCAGACCTTGTACACCGCCACGACCTCCTTCGCCACTTGGAGCAGCGACGGCGAACGGTTTCGGGCAAACCTGCAGCTGCTTCGGGTGAGTGATGAGTATAGTAAGTTCCAAAGTCTTTGCTGGGGACCGTGGCCTAGACCCAAGTTGGATGTAAGGACGGCAAGGTTGGCAATGGTGTCAAGACAATAGAATCCACTATAATCCCTTTGATTTTCGTCAGCCTGGTTTTCTTCAATGGTTTTGGGGGCTGAGTCGTGTTTGTTGCCCCTGAATGAAGGACTTCTGGAGAAGTCGCCTCACCGGGTTGGACCGCTTGACCCTCGAAACCCATAGTAGACAGCAGTGTCAAGCGGTATTTGGCATCTTTGGGCGTCATACTACAACCACGTCGCCGCAAGAGATCTTCTGTAGATCAGGTCAAGTATACCAGTGAGATGTCGTTTTGTGGGATTGATAAAGGATACACTTAGACTAGGAAAAGCGCATTCATACGGCCCAAGTTAGTTGTTCAATCGACAGGGGATTCCCTCGAATCAGGTGGCCATGTTGCGCCCTCCTCCCAGCACCTGGGGCAGAAAAAATATGCCTCCAATTTGTCTGGAGGATTCGTTTCTTAAGGGCAAATCTGTGTCGTTGAGAAATAGTGCACGGCCACCACTTCTTTTCCGGCAAGCAACTTTCAACTTAGCCTTCCAAAGGCCATCATCACTGCCTAACACCCACGAGGTTGTCTCTTCCATGATTGCATACAACGTACCGTTCTGCAGGGTCATACTTGTAGGTTTGCATCTCAAGATCTCACACACCCCACCAAGGCCGAATCTGACCCTTGATTTATGAAAGTCACAAACAAAATTTGCAATAATATGTTCAAGCCCTTCTTCCAGCTTTTGCCCAGAAATTATTAGCTGTTTCACCAGCATTTCGGCCTTTTTTGTCGGGAATTTTCGCCCAAGGTTCTTTCCACTTTGGAGTGGTGTGCATTTGTTCATTCTGCAAGGTACACATTCAAAAGCAAACACACACACTCATATATATATATATTTATACTTATACATATATATATATATATGACGGGGTAGCCAGATTTGCATCTGGAGGTGGAAGCTTGAAAACACAGTGCTCGCCATTCTTTCGTTTTTCCCGGTGACCCTTCCAGTGATAAGATGCGAGGGTCTCCAAACCCAACATATTCAGAGCCTCTGTGAGCATCCCAAGACAGTGACCTTATGGGACCCTAGTGGGGGACCTGTGAGATAGTAGTTTATATATATTTCGTATATAATTAGGGTCTTTCAACCTCTAGTCGTTGTCTCACTAGGTTCCGGTAAAGGGACAAGAAAGCGGGAACAAACATGTTTGCGGCAATAAGTTGATTTCCGCGTTTCAGGACGGAAAGAGCCGCTGTTCTCAAAAAAGGTAAGGATTTTTGCTGAAAGGATCTTCTAGGTAGAAACATATGCCTGCCCGTGAAATCGAGCACCCCAAATGATCTGGGAGTCATGCAGCACATGCAATGCGTGCACGTCAGGCTGGTGACGGGTGCGACGAGATGACCTTGGAGCGAACTTGCCACCTGCTGCAATCAGCTTCTGAAGGGATTAGAAGTAGTGAGCTGCCTTGTCTTGAAGAGGGAGAGGTCCCAACCACCTAGGCCTTACTCTATTTTTCCTGGATTTGTTGGGGCCTCTTGGTCCGGATACCTATCAAACAAATGATTTATATAAATTGCATGAACATGCATGAACATAATGTGTTCTACTTCTAACAAGGATAGAAACACTTCATATATACTCCGTATAGAACAAAAAAGTTAGGATCCGGTCCACTCGTCCCTCTTGGTCTCCTTGGTCCCTGGGTCCGCCCGGTCCGCCGCGGTCTCTTCAGCAGCGGTTTGGTCGAACTTGGCGGCCACCGGCGGCCCCCTTGGTCGGTCACCGTCATGGTGCTGTGTGCTAATGGAGGGGAGGCTCTAGTGACTCTAGTGTCCTTATTTCCTGGCCTGGCACCCACAGTTTTGCGAATGCGCGGCTTCTGTTTGCACGTCGGTTGACAACCTGTTTTCGGTGCCACAGGCGCCAGGAAGGATGTATAATATATTTCAACCTTAATTAGAGGCTTCTCCCTGTAGTCCGAGCTTAGCCGTTTGCCAGGCGACATAAACAAACAAACACTAGAGGATTCTGCTGTTTGGCCCTTGTTGTGGGCCAGACTGAAGGCGTAATTTTCAATAGCTGTTATCATGTACGCCTTCCTGAAAGACAAAGACACACCCTATGGCAATGACTTTCTGATATGACTCAATGTTCTTTTCTGATACTCGGGCCCTCCTGGTCTCCATATTTAAGCACCCACACTGACTGTTAAACACAGATGGGGCCCAGTGTGTATTTGGACTTGCTTTCACTCTTTTCTTCAACCCGTCCGTGCTTGGTCAGTAGGAGACCCTTTGTCCTAGTAGGGCTTACTTAGGGAAGAAAGGGAAGTTTCGCTCCCAAAACGAGATTCCTTTGGATCCAGCCACCCTCAGCCACCCTACGTACGTTCGCACGCACATTCAAGTCGTCACTTGTTGAAGCAGACACGGTGACCGGTTCTTCGTCGTCATCCCAACATCGGGGGCCGTTGGGAGTACCCTCGATGTTCGGAGCCGAGGCAATGCCAGCTACAACGCCATGATGGACTACTACAACGGCCTACAGGTGTCCCGCATCTTTGATTTGACTGCGCCCCTCGGCAACGGGGGGGTGGAGGGGCCAGTGGGAGAACATGAGGAAATGTGATGAAGTATCGTGAAAGCACAGGCATGTGTAGTTTTTTCATGGCTGTGAGTCAAAACCTCCCCCAACAAACCATGGTAGGTTGACGTCCCTTATTGAGGAATCTGTTCATTTCCGGTGGCCAACCGGGGTTTTGACCGCCAAATAGGGAGACCGATCGCTGTGGGAAATAGACCAATCTCCCTCTTAAGATGCATATATATCCATGGTCGTTTACCAGGCTAGGGGTCAACCCTTTGGACCGACGGTATTGGGGTGGACATGGTATCAAGGCTCTGCGCCAGATTCCTTTGGAGAAACAGACCTGGGTTTGGATGGTTTCATGGCAAAACAGAAGGATTGAATATGAGGTTTTCCAGTTTCGCCCATCCAACAATAGCAGAGCAACATCCTCATTCGATCAGAAGATGAAATACCAGGGCCCCAAAAAAATTGGGATGTCCAACAATAGCCCCTGCTTCAGGGGCCCTTTTTCAACATCCCAAAGCCCATTAACATCCCATCCCAAAACCCACTAAATCCCCATTCACCTCCAGGGCCCCTTTTTGGAGGTCACTGGGTGTCTAGTGAGTCTGGTGGGTGTCTATTATACCGTCATACCCGCGGGTTCCGCGGGTTCCAGGGACCGAAGGCTTCGGTTCGTCGTTCGGCGTCGTTGGGGGCTCGTTCAATTGGAAGACGTGACGGAGCCTCCGTTCGTCGCATGGAACAAGGGGTAGAAGATGCAAGTACCATCAAGTACCTGTCCCATGTTCTAGAGTACTTGATAGTACCTTGGAGGGTCGAGGTCAGTTGGTCTTTGCCGGTCCAGTACTCAAATATAGTATATAGTAAACATGTGTGTCATACCTATAAGCTCCGGTGGCCAACGTTCCAACGTTCGACCCCCTCGGTCGCTCCTTCACCTCTTCGCCGACACCGCCACCTGAGGGAACAGCTTCCATCCTTGTGTGGTGTGGGGAGCCCCAAACCGTGGCCGAGTGGAAGGAAAAGGATCATGGCATGGTACAGAAGAAGACTCCTTTGGAATGGATTGGACATATGACATATATCATATATATGACATATATTATGTTATATACTCGTATACATGGACCCCTTTTCAACCATCCCAATTGGTATATAACATCGGTTTGCCAGTCAGTCAGTCCCATGAGATGGGTTTGGTTTTGTAATGAGTGAGCGTTGTTCGGCTTGTGTTCTATTTTAGAAGAGAACCATGTACATGTGCGGGTCTATGACATTGGCCAAATTGTTTGTCGACATGCGTCATCGATGTCACTGGAGCTATTCATCCATGTCCAAACTTCATGCCACCTGGAACCTCCAGACGACGAGGTTACCTAGCTGACCGAGTCGACACATTGTACTGTATGCAGCCCTGAGTTGGTTCTGGCGACGACTTCACTGAAAGGTAGGTATTCTGAACATGATTTTCTTGCGAGCCAGCCAGAAAGACCATGTGTCATCGTGTATCCTCAGCAAAGCTACCTGTGTCAGAGAGTGTGTACTTACTTGTTCAACCCTGCTCATGGATCTTTGGAGCATGCCTCCATCAACCGTGGTCAGGTCAAGCGAAAAATATTCCGAAACCATGGTCCGTCTAGGGCTTTCATACTTGTCAGTAGAGTGACCAAACAAACCTCCCCAGCTGCCCGGCAACAAGCTGTTCTTTGCACAGTGATCCCCAAATCGATTGGGGATCTACCATTCTATCTATATCTATTTATGTGCCAGGGTCTGTCTGTGTTATGCACAGTAGGCAGGGCGGAACTCAGACATACGCAGTTTGTCCATTAAGAAAATCGGTTGACCTGGTTTTGTCGTGTAAAAAAGCTTAGGACTTAGGAAAACAACGGTCGTTCCGTAAGGGGCTATGAATTCAATGGTGTTTTTAAGCCCCCCCCCAAATAGATTTATGTTAGTTGTTGGATACGGAAAACGCTTCCAAGGCCGGGGGTGGTGGTTTGCTCTTTGAACCAGCTTCCAGGGGGTGCTAGAAAATTTCCAGCCTATGCAGCCAGCGATTTGTCTCACCGGACCTGCCCAGATGCTGACCGAATTGGACACCTGTGACTGGGCCGAGTGAGCATTGGACGGGATTGGGTGGATGTTTTCGTCCCGGAAGATGGGAGTCAAAGGAGTTACTGAAGACCAGTTAAACCAGTTACATACATTCACCCCATATTCACCCCAGTCAAAGGAGCCATCCATGTATGTCCCTGCTGGGCTCCATGTTAAACTCTTGCTACCTTCTTCATGACCACACCTGGGTCCCAGCTTGAAGGAGCCCGGAGGTGTTGAGACAGGTTTTTTGTGTGACGAAAACGCCGCTCCGGTGGTCACAGCATCTTCGTCCAGACTCGGACGGGTTGGGTTGGTTTGGACCGTTTTTCGTTGCTTCGTCCTCCAAACGTTGGTCGGGCACGAAGCTGTGCGGTGACACCGGTGCACGAAGCTGCTGGGCACTGGGCTTCAAAATCTATCAAGAGACCCGTGGCTGCATAGCCACGGTGGATTTCGTTGAGTGCAACCAGGTTTGTGGGATTCTGTAAGAATCCATGGATGCCAGCTAATTGTCTTCAGCAACTTGGATCTGCGTATGAATCTTGGATACCGCCTGACACCCCACTGGGGTACGGCCTGGAAGAGGCCCCATGGAACTTGTAGATGAAAAGAACATCGTCTTCCGTTCGCGTTCGCCCGGTTCCATGCCGTTCTCAAACACCGGGTGTCGTTGGAAGAGGCCCGAGCTGACCGCTGGCCGTTGAATTGGGTGGACCGACCGAAGGGCAGCTGCGCGTGGCGCCGAAGCTGCGCGTCACTGGTCTTCTCAGGTGGCTTCGGCTCGGTGTCTTTCGCCGGACGGGTGGCCGACTGCCCCTGAAACGGTCTCATGTGGTTGGCTCACGTGGAAGGTCCCTGGGACCCCAAGGTTCGGCTTTGTTGACGAGGGTGTTAAACCAGTCTCGACAAGGAGAAAGGCCTCATCTGGCGTCTCTTTAATGGAGCCGTCCCAGGCACAGTGCTGGAGCACGCTCCATCACTGCCTGTGCTGGAATCCAAATGCTCAGGACGGAGCGCGATTGGAGTGGACAACAGCGCATTGCTGAACTTGCTTACAATGGTGCCTCAAAAAAGACGTCCCCCAAAAACCTGAAGAGGCATCGCCTAAGGGCCATCTTGGGCCCAAGATGCAGCTGGAGACCGAGGCGCAGGTCACATGGGAAGCTGGAAGCAAGCTGTGGAGCACGTTTCGCACTGTTTGAAAACGAGTAATGACGGGTGAGAATGCTGACTCCACGGGATGGCTGACTCCACTGCAGTTTTCAAGCCAACTAAGCAATCTTCGCCACATACTGTGTATTTCCTGGCATGATTTGGCTGCTTACGTGCTCAGGTGTGCATAGCATTCCGGGCTGCTGCTACGTCATGGACGCTCCTCCAGATGATTACCGGGGCGGCCACTACAATGTCCGGGCACCTGGTCCGTTCTTTGGTCAAAGACGTGGTCGTTGCTGGGCTTGAGCATACTTCCAGTGATTTCCAGTGAGTGTTTTTCAAACATCCAGGGGACGAAAAGTATACCCACCTGGAAGGTGGAAGTAGGATTATGCCAACCTGGGTTTTCCCAAAGGTATTGTTGCCAGGTTTAGACCATTCTGACCACTTGACATACCTGACAACTCCATTTGGCCGCTGGAAGCCAGGTCTAATGGACGCGGAGGGCGGACCGTGGGGGCTTCCACGACCCGACCACCCGGACCTTCGACCGATGAAGGAATCCGTCTGAACGAAGAGGGTGCCAAATGGGTGCATGTGGTGCACCCACTCATACAGACACGACTAATGGGACTGCCATAGGACTGCCGATCAGTTGGGGTGGTTTGGGGGGTCAATGGGGCGGCATATATGGCAGTCCCATTAGTCGTGTCTGGGATATATATGCACCCCTCTATTTCACGAACTCAACACGTGTTGGGTTTTCTACGTGTTGCTGTTTGCCTGGTGACCTTAGTTTGGCGTGGAGATCCAGCTAACATGTCTCACCATGCTAACCCAGTAGTAAGACACTAGTAACACTAGCATGGTGGACTTGTATTTCAAGTGATTTTTGGCACAATGACCCTTGCAGAGTCTCTTGGTTTCAAGAACTGGGAAAGGCGGGCTGACATGTACAAAAGGGATCCAAAGGGTCTGGTCTCTAAGTGTCCAACATGCCCAGACCCGGCTCGTGGGCATGAGCACCCTTGGGGCCATCCAAACACATGGCTTACGGTGTCCGGAGCCGATTCCGCTGCTCTTAGTGACACCACCATGAACCTTTCGAAGCAGCCCGACTGGTCGATCGAGCTCTGTTTGGGCAGATCAAGCTCAGTCTTAGACAGGTTGTGTTTGGGCTGGACTCCCAACATCGCAACACGCAACACCACTGCCGAGCCTGGAACATTCTTGGAGCTCCTGACGCGCAGTCAGGGCACCAACCTCTGAATCAGCACGCGCGCGCGCGAGAACGCCGGGAGGGAGACCGTTTTGCCACTTGGTTCGAGGCGTTGGACCTACCGGGCCTGAAGTTGTACTGCAACGTGTGGTCCAATGACCCCAAGGTGGAGTACATGTGCCAGGCCGACCCGCTGCTGAAAAAAGAAGACCGTTTTGGCAGGTGTTGGTCAGTGAAAATGAACTTGGGGATCAAGTATTTGCGGAGATTCAAGCAACCTCTCTTTGGGAGTGGGAGGGAGGTTTCAGAGCTTTGGACTTGTGTCGACTTGTTTCAGAGCTTGGGGCGACATTGGTTGGCGGCAGGCGAGCCATGTCATGAAACCAAATGCCCTGTCCAACAAGCCACGAGGATGGACCCCCAAAGCGAACTGAGGGAGACCATGAAAATCACAGCTGGAGTTTCTTTCTACCACTCATTCACCAAAAATCATCACTGAATGCCTAGGGGATTGTCACATCCTCAGCTAGAAATGGGGTGGTTCTAATGGCATGGTTCTTCAAAAGAGCTTTAAATTTTAACCCCCTCACCATTTCACATGAAGTTGGGCTTTTGGAGTCGTATACGACGACCTTTTGTGAGATTCTTTTGTTTGGGCGCGAATCCATGTGATGAAACCGCCATCATCGTGATGAAACCGCCTTGTTGCGGTGTCCCTCGGTTTCCACCCACCCCGCCGGGTCGTGGTGTTCACCGGAGACGGTGCCCAGGGGCCGCCCGGCACGCCTGTGCCTTGTCACCAGAGGTGGTCCGACGTGGTCCGTGGTCCGAAGAAGCACCGGATTGGATTGGATCGGGTGATAGATACAGTTTCCCGAAGTTGGGTGAATCCATGTGAATCCCCTAACCTGGGGAAGATGGTACTTTTGTCCCGGCTTCCTGGACAGCAAATCCAAGTATTGGATTTGTCACGAAAGCTAGCCTTAGCTAGCTGGAGTTGCTCTTGCTTTAGCAAGTTAAGTGACGGGGTGGACGCGCCCCAGAAACCTCAAATAATTGATTAAATCAATCTTATGGACCCCCCCCCCCCCCCGCGGTTCGACTCCCCCCTGCGCGCGGTGAGCGGGACCACCAAGCAGCTGCAGCACACCAAGCATCTGCAGTCTACCACCAAGCAGCTGCAGCAAACCACAAAGGAGCAGCAGCAGCAGAAGCAGCAGACCCAGAGCAGCAGCAGCAGCAGCAGCAGCAGCAGCAGCAGCAGCAGCAGCAGACCACCCAGCGCCAGCAGCAGCAGCAGACGACCCGGCGCTAGCGGAGCACCCAGCGCAGCAGCGCCCAGCGCAGCAGCGGCAGCAGCAGCAGCAGCAGCAGCAGCAGCAAACACAACAGCAGCAGCGGCCGCAGCAGCAGCAGGAGACGCAGCCAAGGCAGACCACCCAGCAGCAGCAGGAGCTACATTGGACAGTAATACCGTAATACCTTTTTGGGTGCTATGTGCAGGCGGCATTTCTTGCATCATAGCCCTACCCCGCGTACGCGACTAGTTACGGCGTGGAGTCAGGCGGTGTCACTTGAGTCTTGTGCTGCTGCTGCTGGGGGGTCTGCTGCTGCTGCTGGGCAGTCTGCTGCTGCTGCTACTGGGAGGTCTGCTGGTGCTGCTGCTGCTGCGGCGCTGGGTGGGCTGCCGCTGCTGGTGCTGGCGCTGGGTGATCTGCTGCTGCTGCTGCTGGCGCTGGGTGGTCTGCTGCTGCTGCTGCTGCGGCGCTGGGTGGTCTGCTGCTGCTGCTGCTGCTGGGTGGTGCTCTGCTGCTGCTGCTGCGGCGCTGGTTGGTATGCTGCTGCTGCTGCTGCTGCCGCTGGGTGGTCTGCTGCTGCTGCGGCACAGCAACCGCTGGAAAAACCAAGCCAAAGAAGTGATGGAAAGGGGGCACCAAACAAAACCTGCTCCTGTCAGGTGGCAGTTGCTTACTGAATGAGACTCGACGCACCACAAAGCACATACTAACACTGCTTCTCTAGAGTTTCCCACGGGACTTGCAAGTGGACCGGCAGTCACCCAATGAGAGTGACTGTGCAGCCCGCCCCCGACTTGTTTGGACGAGGAGGCCCGGCTAGCTTTCGTTCACCCCCTCTGGCCTCAAGTTTGGGCGATGCCTTCATCTAGCTGAGGTGCTCGTGGACACAGATCACATGTGTGACCTTGTCGACTGAACGTTTTTCAGCTCACTACGGGAATATGGCCCGGAGTCTCGCGCGTAGTACTCTCACTAATAGTATCTAATAGTACTCTCACTGATTTCAGGGGACAAGCGCATGGACTGGCTACAATTGTGTTAGACTTTGTTGGACCAAATCACCCCTTTGGTCGTTGGGATGCTTTGGGTGGTTGATCTTGGGATGCCGTGCTGTTCTCGTTCAGAAAGTGTGATCAAGTTTCACGATTTTGCACATGTTCTTCTCGCAAGATTTGCCCATGTTGGGTATTACCTGTAACAGTCAGTAAACAATTTATCATCCTTTTGAGACAAGGCCTCTACTAACCATCATCATCCACTGTTACTGTTACAGGTAGGATAGACATGGATAGACCGCCCGAGAGCACGTTCTTTTCACCTCTTCGGCGGCGTGCTTCTTCTTCTTTACCCCCCCCAGACAGGGCGCCGGGCCAGTGGACACCCAAGGTCTGCGACCTGGACACATACAAGCCGGATTGTTTTGCGCAAGTGATGACCTATTCACAGATGATTCAGGACTGTCTCAGTGATCTCTCCGGCTCCGTCGGCTCCGTGTCGCTGTCCTGAAGACCGGAGACCAGTGTTGAATCGATTCGGTGTAAGCAGCTTTGGTTGGGGAGTCTCCAACACCCAGACACGACGTCAGTGGGACTGGCATATCTATACATACATTGGGGTGGTTCATTTCAGGGGTTTGTTTGACAGATCGTGTCTGGGAAAGATCGGTCATATTCCATCATCATCGAATCATCACTGTGTCACTCACGTTAAAAAAAACATGATGGGTCCATGATGGGTACAGTTCTCCACCTTTGGCTGAGCAGTTCTCCACCTCGTTGCTTTTTTGTGACTGTGTAGCTCCTTTCGTTTGGGAGACCGACACCCCAAACTTCACCTGCTGGGTTCGGGAAAATCGACCAGTCTAACTCTACCCCAGGGCGATCGGGGGTCCCCCCCCTTCAAATGCACCACCACAAGTGAAATGGGATCTCACCACATCACCAATGACTGTGGATCATTGCTTCGGGAGTCTCCAACCCAGGACCTTCAGTCAGTGACCGTTGACCGTTGACCATGTCCCGTAAGAAGTCTATTCGGTTACATTTTCGGTGGTCAAGCAAGGTCCGACACATGCCGGCCATGTCTTGCCTCTTTGTTCCTCGTTCCTGGCGAATCTGAGGGTGAGGGAGGTTGAGGTCTTTCAAAAGCATCCGTGAATGTTTCACGAGAGCATTTGACGCCAGGATTACGGCGGTTGGGACTCCAGCAACAACGCTCCCTTTTTCACACAGCTGCTCAGTGACCAATGAGTTCCTTCGGATGAGGGTGCTTCACAATGACTCCCACCATGGTTCAAGTACCAGAGACGGGAGTTGCCACTGAGTTGATGGATGGTTTGCGCTCAAAAACATCCAGAAAGTGAGAAGTGGGAGATCGGCATCAACTCATATCAGATGGGAGCTGCTTGCGATGGCACGATCGACATCCACATGGGACACCATGTATTTCCATCGTTTATGATAATTACCCATCACTGTTTTTACATTGCACGGGAGCATTTCTTGTCAGGTGGACCCATATGAAATCTATAGAGTCTAGAGTTGAATGGCTCAATTTCCCACAGAAAATCATGAAATCCACCTGAACCACCATTCGTGAAGTTGAACTCATCGTCTTGACGGAGGTATTTCACACTTCGGCATGTTTTAGCTCAACCAGGCTGACCCACTTGGCCTGAGTGAACCGCTTCACCATACCTTACAGTCATCCTTTGCCATGGCATGCCGGCTACGGCATGCCCACCAGTTGGGGCCACATCCTCACAAGGTCACCCCGGTTACCCCAGTCCTATCAAACTTCAGGGAAGCAAGTGGACCGAAATAATTGCAGTACATATTACTCTGTATTTACAATATATATTATTATTGGTGGAGGTGTTTTGCCCTAGGGTAACTTGTTCGACACTGTTATGTAGGTGCCATTGTCGGGTCCAGTCGCACCTTCTGACAAGGTACGACTGGATCCCAAAGTTCATCACCTCGCTCCAGTGCATAAACGCTCCCCCTCACCTTCGTCCGTGCGTCTCCAGTAGTCCACATGTTCCCAAAGGATCCCTCAAAGGGGCCACCTGCAGGTGGTGGGGGCGAAATCAAGGAAGAATTTCTTGAGCAGATATGAAGGCGAACGCGAAGCTGGATCCTGGAGATCCTGGATCACGAGTTCAGTGGACCTGCAGGTCAACGAAACTGAGGGAAACACCGCGCCCACCAAATCCAACAGGTGGTAAAAGGTTAAGCCTTATAAGCTCTATTTCTTTCCACGGAATCTGAGGGAGTCTGGTCAGGCCAGGCCAGAAGCTGGCAGCACCGCCACCCAATGGCTGCGCTGGGATGGGTTTGGAGGCAGTACAAGGTGCAAATCCACAGGTTTGGAATACATGCCCCGGAAGAGATGCTGTCCCATTGACCCCTGAAATCCACCACCCCAATGTAAATTCATGTTAATACATGCCCTCTCCTTCTAATCCCTGTCAACCACACATCACATCACACATCCATCACTGAACCCAACGAGCTTCGGTGGCGTGTTTTATACCTCAGACGGTCCGGTCTCCACCTGGCTCGCCGAGGGAACAGGGACGCGAGATCTGTTTGGTGGTGGCCCCAGAGAGGGTCGGGAACCGATGGACACCCGGAACAAACCCAGAGCAAAGTGGATGTATATAACCATATATAACCCCAGACACGACACATGGGACTGCCATATATGCCTATACCTTGACCCCCTTCCTCAACTAACCACCCCTGGCCGTTTTGAAGGCAGTCCGACTGGGCAGTGCCAGACAGTTCGTGTTTGGGACCCAGGCTTGGCCCAGGGAAGTGACCGGGTAGACATTCACCGTTGGACGATTTCACTGGATCTTCCCGTCGGTTTGGGCTCCGTCCATGTACCTCGCACCCGACTCGCTATGACTGCCTGGCACTCGGCCGGGGGCCGTCCGTCCCACCCAACCGAAACGACTGGGAGCCGACGGATGAGCCTCCATGGAGCCCAAACGGGATTCGTCGAGTCTCATGAGACCATCGACCCTGGTTCCGCCTGAAGACCATCGACCCGGGGGGGGGGGTGGACCGACTTTCTCGTTTGATTGGACGAGTGGGACCGCACCCGATGGCGCTTCGGAAAAAAGAAAAACAACACACGCGGTATATATAAGTACAAGACAGATCAAGACAGTACAATGTAAGTCTACCTGGACCCTCCAAGTACCTTGGAGAATGGCTAACAAGTACGATATCATGTACCCTGTGGTTCTTTCTTTTTCGGAGGAACGTCCGGTCGGACGTACTTCGGCACTCCGAGACGGTCCGAGACGTTCGGGTCGCAGGAGGCAGCGTGGAAACGGCGGGTTTCCACGGTCCTTTTCGGTTGGAAGGGAACCAAGTGGGCTGTTGTATAATACCGTATTGGCATGCACCTTAACACTACTAATGCATTCACCCCAAGTGAGGATCCCTGAGAAAGTTCATTTGGAAAAGCTGGAAGATGTCAACCTGGACCTCCAGTCTCAACCTTCAGCCACCGTCAGCACTGCCGAAGCGGCTCGATCGGTGTCGATTCGAAGTCAAAGTCAGGACGGTTGCAATCTCTCTCCCTCTTTCTATGCATAACGGGACCTTCCCAATGACTTCTTTCTTTAAGAATGAGAGGTTACTTTGGTCCTTTTTTGGTCCTGGTATATACCTGGACCATCCAAAGGTGTCCAATGGATCTCAGTAGTGGGCTCGGTCTTTTGGCCAGGACTTGGATTGGCCTGGCTACTGAACCGATTCTTTTTGAGACAAACCTTTGAAACCAACCTCCATGTGGCCAGAAGCTTCAAGTCAGATGCGAAAGAGTTATATATACTTCCGCGGAGCATCACAACTCACCGCTCGAGCGGATCCTCTTCTTTGCTCCTCAGTGTACGACGCGTGTATCAAGCCAGAAGTGAGTGAAGTACGTGCATCACCTGCGAACACCGAACTTGGTGCCCAAACTGGCGAAACTGCAGAAACTCCAAGTGGACAGTTACGACTGCAAGTGGACAGTTACGACTGCACCGGTGATTTTCCGGGGGAAACGGCTTGGGGTGTGAGGACCGGTCTTGGGCCCATCACCGGGTGAAGACCAGTCATGCCCAAGCCATCTCCACCACCTTGGGCCCCTCCGATCCTCAGTCCGGTTTGGAGATCGACAAATGCAGCTTGGCGCATGGGATGGCGGGATGGCGGGTTACGCTCTCACTCACATGGAAGTGGCGGCCCCTTTTCCAACGACGCTCCTCTCCATGTCCGGGGGGTGAACGGGGTGAAGTCCACTTCTTTCGCACAGGTGATGTGTTCGTCGTGTAGATCCTCTGGGATCGGTTCCCAGAGAACTCTGCTTTTGGATCCGATTGATTCTATTCTTCTGAGCAGTGAAGATGATCCGGACCTCATGCTTTTCTGGGATCCAGAAGACGAATCAAAGGTTGTTGTCCGGGCTTGGCAGTGAGCAAGTTTGGGCTACGCATGGATGATGGTGCTACGTGTTCTATTGGGGAAGGGGTTCCATTTCCATACTGGGGTGAGGAATACACTTGTCAACGTCAAATGGATCTCAAGCAAGATTAAAGTACGTATTTTTAGTAATTCAATCATTCATGCAAACTACCAAGCCAACATAGCAAACCACCCGGCGGAGGCGGGAGTGTGATTCGCAAAGAGTTGTCTTGATTTGCATGACGATGCAAGGAGAAACATATGTATATATATATATAATATACACATGTCTTAATATATTTCTTATAACGGCGGGGTCCTGTGTTTTCCAAGGTTTGACATGTTTAGGCCCTGTCATCCATAGTGTTTGCCATGCTCAGAAATATCCAGCCTTTAAAACTCGTTATCATCCCGCCACAAATGGTTCTCGTATCCTCATCCGCTACCAAAGGTGGTACTCGTAGCTACCCTTGGTCAGGATCAACCACCACTTGGGATTGATTCACCAAGAACCGCCTGACGCAAACCTCTTGCTAAGCTTTTGCTTGCCAGACTCGGAGTCGAGTGTCCTTGGATTCAATTGGTACGCAGTTGGTCGTGAACCTTTCACATACTTCACCTGTAATTTTGGCTTCCCGACTCAAATCCAACAGATGGACTAAAACGGTAGTAACATGCAGTAACCAAACGGTAATAACATGTAGTAACCACTATTTGCCAGGGAAACTGAGGGAGTCGGGTAGTGTTTTTCCGATTTGTTTTTTAAATCTTTGCTTGGGATGATTGATCCTACTTTCTGACTCATAATATTCGAGTGAGTTGAAACCATCAAACACACACATATATATATATTATAGAGTGACCCCTGTTTTGGAGTACCAACCACTCGAGCGATGTTCTCTTCCTATCAAGTATAGATGTCAGATAGGTTCTGGGTAATTATTACTTAATCGCGGTGGTCTTCCAAGCCACCCCGCTTGAAAGACGCCTTTGGAGCGCAAGTAGATCTTATGTCATCTAGACAAGTCGACCAGTCGACACTGCTTGGCACACGTTCGTTGGCACACTTAGACGGACTTCGTGTTTGGGGCTGAAAAGTTGGGGCTGAATGGAACAAGCTTCTGCTGATGGTCGACGGGAGACCGAAGGGAGAAAAAAACGGATCCGCTTCGGTTGATAAAAGACTTCTGCCTGACCTCGGCCCTTTGTTGGCCAATGGGTACAGTTGTATATACCCTGGGAGTCAAAGACTATTCAACGACTATAGAAGGACTTCGAGGGTAGGGTTTACCTGCCTTTATACCAGTGGCCCGCTTTGGGGTGGTTCATGGACACCGAACGGGCCATTAAACATATTAAAAGAAAAGGGGGGCCCGGTCATGTTGACAATGTCCGGTCATGCTGACATGTCCGAGTACTTTGGAGGGCCCAGGTGGTTTTGCGAGGTCGGTTTTCCATTCCCCCAAGCTTTGAGCGGTCTCCCAACAGGGCTTCATGCAACCGGAGCTGGTACGGCAGTTGAGACGGGAGTGGTGTGAGAAAAAGTCCCAGACCTATTCCATGAGACTGGAAGAGTTACAATACCCGATTTAATTGTGAGAGTAACTATTCCTGTCCCTCTTATCATTTGGGAGTGATAACTCTTATCTTCCAGGACCTTCCCAGTGACCCCATTCAAGATTGGCAAGTAACCATTTACAGAACTGTTTTTGACGTTGTTCTGGCCCTCTCTATTTCACCAAGTGGCCACATTTGAGGCCTGACCGCAAGTCACTGCGGTTGTTCCTCTGCCCAGTGGGTGGTCCCTGCTGCTTGGTACCATCGATTCGATCGTTTCCAGTCGCTCGGTGGAGTTCGGTGGCCCGGGGGGAAAGTGGTGGAAGAGCTGACCCTGCATTCTGGGTACTTGGCGGATTTAGCCAGCCAGTCTATCCAAGTCTCCGGAAGCCAGGCGTTGGACTTCGGAAGAATAGCAGGAAGAGCAAATTGCTCCAAGGAGGTCGCTACATTCACTCGATATAAAATAGTTAATAGATGTTAATAGTAGACACATATACATACATGTATAAACTTATGTATATATCAAGTTATATAATATGCACTGTATATTAAACTAAGGTATGACTTATGACAATGGTGGATCCCCGACCCTATCAGGTCCTGTTATCCTATATAATCCTATATCATCCTACATCATCCTATCAGACAAGAAAGAAATACGGTTCAGCAAGAATTGGCTTCACGTTGCGGCTGGGATCTACCGACGCTGATGAGATGGCATCCGGCTTTGGACTCTGCATTGGAGGTCACCAAGGTCTCCCCAAGGTCACCAAGGTCTCCTCCATGATAGGCGGTGAGAATTGTTTTTGTTTCTCTTTTAATATGCTGCTCGTGTGCGTTATATGAATGATGATGGTGCATCAAAATGTTTATATACTGTATCTATCTATCTATCTATCTATCTATCTATCTATCTATCTATATTAGAATACAATATCAATATCTGATTCTTCGAGATCCATCCATGGATCCATACATGGACCATCACCAGGCTCTGTCAGGCTCGGTCATCGGGCCATCGCGCTTGCCATCGATCGGAACGACCACACGTGGTGTCGCCTTCGGTGTCTCACAACGAAGAATCGAAGACTCAGAGAGAACCGATGGAGGACTTCCACCTCCGTGTTGTCCAGGTGTCAAATGCATCCAGCTACATATTGTTGGCTTCGGGTCTCATGCGCCCAACATCGCACACACACACACACATGCTGGTGCCAGGTTGGGTCACCACGATGCTTGGAGTCCTCATCAAGCATGAGATTACCCATGCTTTTCCATTGTTTTCGAGATCGGATTTCATGGGGCAGGGTGGGGCGCACCACCCTCTACCATCTCCAACACCGAGGCTTCGATTCATTTCATTGCGCAATACTGCCCTGAAACCTTTGGAACTATGTGGGAATACTGTGCCGGGAGCCTGGAAGGTCTGTGTGGTGGTGTTGCAGATATACTTCTGCAAGGGTACGTTCAGGAGGTGGACATCCTTGTAATAAAATTGGGAAAGCATTAGACCCGCAAAAGAAGTGTGTGTGTGTGTGTGTCACACCCTGTCAATAAGGGTCACCAATAGGTTTTCTTTCGGACTAGCTTCGTTGCTTCTGAATTGTGTTCACTTCCTTGTACAGTTCGCTACAAGCAGGGTGTGCCAGGGACCGCGCAAGTCAGGCACTAACAAAGACGCTTGCACTGGTCTGTGATATCAACTCGGGATGCCGAGTTGACGTACCTGCAGAGTTGAGTGATTTAAACCATACTGTTTAGCCGACCTTTTCGCCTTTCTGTTCCTCACAGGGCTGTTTTTGCAGGTTCAGGCTGTCAGTGCTCTAGCTGTAACATAAAGAGCTGTCAGTGACTCAGTAACTCATTGAATGCTCATGCAATTGAGCAATGCATCTAAGTGTGTGCTTTTTTCTGGTGGGAACAATTTTCAGGCAACACCCCAACATATTACAACAAGGCGTGTTTTTGTCAAAATTTGTCACAACTATTACTGTATGCAGTTTTTGCGTCATGTTTCCGGCAACATGGAATAGGTCCGCAGAAAAATGCAAGAACAACATGTTTTTTGACTTGTTCCAGTTTCTTAGGACATTGAAGTTTCGACAGCTGGAGGTGGCTGGATTGCCGCCTCGACACCAAACCAGGATTCAGATGTTCATGATACAGATACTCATGCCCAGTCTCATGCCCATGATGCAGGGGTCAAAAATCATGAATGTGTCCCTCCATATTCACAGATAAACCTGCTTTGAAAGGGTAGTGGCAGTGGCAAACTGTAAGCTCAATTGTGTGTGTGTATTGGAATAGGGAGTTCCTCAACCAACCCGTGGATTTTGATGTATATTCTTTCTGTCAGGGGGTCGAACTGAGAGGTTTCCTTAGTTTAATGCACACCCAATCGACCAGATAGTAGCCCCCGTTTTGTGCAGAACTGTGACATACTGTACCATACTGCTTGACTTTTACGTTGCGACACGGCGCCTACGTAACACGGTGCGAATTCGTTGCTTCTTGCGTTCCGTGTGTGTTCGGTGCAGTGACCGTTGAGAAGGGTGGATCTGAAAAAGGGCGTGGTTTCTTTTGGTGATCTCGACAAGTAAACAGAACACGGTTCTATTTGTGGACCGGGATCCGGGATAAATGTGAATGAGGATTGGAAGACCCGGGGCCCATGCGCTTTATAATGCGTCATAGCCGCTAAGCCTTGCAAGACCTGTGCCAAATGCTATCGGTAAAAAATCATGGGTTTTGGGGTGAATAAAGAACGTGTTTGCTGCAATCATTGTCTCTATGCAGTCTCCTAGGCCTTCTTTGAGATTGTCAAACTAGGCCCTTCCAAGTGATCTTCGATGAACAGTTCCGCTGTGTAACCGGTGCCATTTGGTAAACCTCCATGGTTTCGTTCATCCGAAAAAAAAATCGGGTCTGCCCTGGCTCCGTAAACAACGCGCACCTGGTGGTGTTCATCGCCGGCCAATGGCTGTGGGTCATGGCACCGGGGCCTGGGTTTTTCCCAGCGAAATCAAGAGAAGTCCTGAAGTGACGTCGGCCAACCTACCAGGCTAAGTTCCAGGCTCCGGATGCCATGACCCACAGCCATTGGCTGTCGCTTCTCCGTTTCTGGTGGAGACTCGCAGCAAACAGTCCCAGGGTGCGTGGAGTGAGGGTCGGCTCGGTCCCTGAAAGAGGTTGAACTTGCAACCAGGGGCCAGATGTTGGCATCCACATACCATACAGACACTTTATGATCATAATGATCATAATGATGTTTATTCATAAGAACCAGTTCTGCAGTCTTCTGGTCTTTCCCGAGTCTTCGTTTCCAAGAAAGGTCAGGTTCCACTCAATAAGGATGGTCCCACCCAATGGAGATCCCACACGTTCCCACGCTTTGGACTCAGAATGACGGTGATGGCAGCAGTGGCGGTGATGGCGGCAGCGGCGGTTATGGCGGCAGTGGCGGTTATGGCGGCAGTGGCGGTTATGGCGGCAGTGGCGGTTATGGCGGCAGTGGCGGTTATGGCGGTGATGGCGGAGACATGTATGGCGTCAGGGAGCCCCAGTGGACGAGTCGGTGTACTCCACACTTAGTGCGGACTTAGTGCGGGGGCAGAGTCATGAAGCTTAAGATGAGGAGATTCTGTGACCTGATGTTTGTTTCTCCAACGTGTTCCAAGTAACAAAGCCTTTCTTCAGATGAGGTCATTGAAGGTGAGAAGAAATCAGCTAGGAGAGCACAAGCTTCTCCACAAGCCTCTTTTTCAACCTGGGGGTCTTCTTCTGCCAGAGAGAAGATGCTAGAGCTTTGACTGGGTGGAGAAGCCGTCCATATATGTCCATATCAGTCTGATGTATCCTGATGTATGCGATGTATAAAGGACCTACTGTTTGGGATTTGTGCCATCTAAGAATCTAAGATCTACTCTGAACATCCCTGAACTCACTGTGTCAGTAGATGTCAGTGAAGCAACAGTACTCCAAGCCCTTGTTGAACACCATGCCGAAAAACGGCCTCCAGCGGCTCTCAGGACTGTCAAGTGGGCATGCTAATGATGTGCAATGACACTGTAGGACTGGACGAACCACAGACAGCCGTGAGCCGAGTCCTTCGGTGTCCATTTTCGTCCATGGACTCGGCCCCATGGAAGTAGGGGAACTTCAGTCGTTCGGGTCACCGAAGGATTGGGCTCTTCTTTATTGGTCCTTAACTTTCAGGGTCGGATCGGCGTTGGAAACAGGTTCACAGCCTGCATTCGGTGCTGAACACATGGAATGCATATACCTTTTTGGGGTGATCCGGACTGGCTGCAAGTGGAATGGATGTTGCAGCTACAAAACTGGGACCTGGAAGCCATTCTTAGCCATGATGGAAGGGTCTTCATGGCCTACCTAGGAGTGAGTGAAGAATGGATCACGTGCAGGGAAAACCGAACTTGGGGGAAGCTGCAGAAACTACAGACACCCCACTCAACTCCACTATAGGTGAACAGTTTGATTCACCTTTGATTTTTCCAGGGAAACAGGGAATCAGGTCAAGGCCACAAGCACTCCTGGTGTAGACAGCTCCCGCCCAGAACTCGCACACTGAGGGTCCTGAGGGAGTCAGATGAGGGTGGGTGATCCTCAACCCACCTCGGTCGCACCAGTCCACCACAACACTTGACCTGAAACAGGCAGGTCAACCGGTCGGTATCCGTTCGTTTTTCAGAAACCGATGTACCTGGGACCCATGCACCACACAAGACGAAGAGAAAAGGGCTTGGCGACGGCGACGGACGATGTGACCACGGCGACGCGGTGAAAAGCGAGACGACGCAGAAAGGGAAATGGAAGGGAGGCAGAAAAGGACTGGCAGAAAACAGGACTTTCACATCGGTGTCTAACTCGCGTTCATTTGATATGTTCTTCAACAGGACATATGTTTAGACGATAGATGGAGGGTCTGAGTGCAGCACCTTCGACTCAGACTTCGATCTCTTTTTGTTCTGAGTGATACACCGCTTCACCGATTTGGTGATACACCGCTTCACCGCTTCTCAATGCTACGCATCCGAAATGGTATGCAGCAGACAGAGCTTGGCGGCAAGTTGAATCGCTGCTTCATGCAGCTTCACAAAAACGATCGTGTGCCAAAAGACCTGGGTATTGCCCATGTGAAAACAACATCGTTTTTGTGTTTGCGTGTTTTTTTCTGTATCTTTCTCTATCGGAGGAGCACAGATGATGAACAGCTTGTACCAGACAGACAACATGACCGCACTCTGTGAGGCCGCTGCATCGATTCTGGGGCGAACGTCTCGCTATAAATGGGCCGGGCTTGTGAAAACCCTCCCCGACGTGAAACAACTGGTCGTTTTGATTTCTGATTTTGTATTGATTCTGTATAACATTATTTTGGACCCCCGGTTTTGGACTATTTAAACTGCCCCTGGTTTTGGACTATTTATATAAAAGATACTAAATGAACCTAGGGTGTCTCCTTGTCACCCAGAGGAAACTCAACAGGAATTCAAGTGTTTCTTGAGCCTTTGTAGGCCTAGTACTAGTACGTATTACACTCTGACTGATTAAGATGGAAGTGGAACATCCTCTGTTTGTAAAGGAAAGTAGTCTTCCAAGGGGCCATTGTCCACTTCCATGTTAGTGATTCAGGGTGTATAATATCCATCCATCCATCGTCCGGCAACATCGTCCATGGCTCCCAAGATCGTCCTTCTGCCCAGGCATTTTTTCTTCATCCAAACGGGACATAGCGCCCGGGTCGTTGGGTTTGACATGTTCGAACTAAGATTCATGCAGGCATGTGCTTTTGTGATGTGTTGGATTTGCTGGTTGAGAACGCTGTCTCAGTCTTTGGAACAGGGACACTGTGACCACACCTTGCCAGCCCGACCCGAGCCGAGCCGGCGCACCTTTTGCCGAACCGGCGCCTAACTGGCCGACCGCGCCTTGACCTGACAGGGATACCAGACGGTCACCAAGACGTGCCACTTGGAGAGATGATGTTGGAATGTCCATTATTCCAAGTGTCGTGCATTTGGAAGGCCCATTCTTCAACTCCCCTGCATCACGGTGGCCATACGGACATACTGCAATCGCTCAAGCCGAGGCGTACACAGGACCATTTGATCATGCAGAATCTGGCAGAAACACACTCTGCCTCAGTGGGACCATCCAATCGACCATGGGGGTGCTGTGACCTGTTTTCCCATCCTCCGGTACCCTGCACCATGGAAAGCGCCTCCTGTCAAGGAACGGCTTCCCACACCAATGATGTTTTTGGCTCCTGTCAAGGGGTTTGTTTGGAGTCGAAATGAGGTCGAAGACTTCAAAACCTCACCTCTTCAGCCTTCAGTACACAGAAAAAGACGTGACTAAATGATGTATATAGAATATAGAGAATTAATTGTATATATAGGTTTATTTGGAAATTGACCCAAGCCCTGCAAGGACCACATCCTCCACTTGGAAGAAATGCGTGGTGTGCACACCGTGTGTTTCATGTGTTTGTCATGTTTCTGCTAAAAATCCAGGTTTTGGGGATCCGCATGTGTTGTGTTTTCATCATTGGTCTGTGTGTGTGTCCAGTGTTCTGGAAAGCGTTCTCTCCTGCGAGGTCTGATTGACACCATGTGCTGTGGTGCCTTCGGGTGGGCCGCTGGGCAGTTCGCGGGGAGGTAGTCGCGGCAGTCGTGAGGAACGAGCGCTGACATGCGTCAGCGCTTGTATCCCCTACAAGACCAAACGATACCAAACGCGATGTTTAACGTACAGTAGCATTTCGTCAAATTCGATGTGTCCATGTACCAGGGCCCCCGCGAAACGGGGTGTTTGCCTTCTTGATCCTTCTTGGAGATTAGGGGATGTCCATGAACTAGCCCAAACCGGGTGGTCTTTGTTTTGTTTGATTTTGACTTCAGTATTTGCGCAGTGATTGAGTGCTCTTCGATTTCCCCTGTAGTAAGAAAAATAGATCTATTTTGGAATCGACTTGTTACCCATATTAAGCACTCGCCCCAAGAATCTATGTTTCACAACTGCAGGATAGGCGTTGGCCATGCAACGTTTGTTTTTTCCAGCCGGCAATGGATCGACATCACTTGCTTGTTGGAATACGCATATGCCCTTGAATGGCGTGACCCATGCGAAGCCTTTGGGTACTTGCATGAAATTATTGTGGGATCTAGGATTGACGAAGCCCTCTTAAAGACAATTAAGAAGATAACGGAATTCATGTGTTTGTGTATGTGTTTTCTATTTTTTTACGTGGCCCAGGAAACACTGTTGGAGGAAAACGATCGAGGCGGGTCCCAAGCTGTGTTGTATGGGGGTTGTCCTTTGGACAGATATTTCTAGTTGGCCCTCCAAGTTTAGCCACTCCACTTCTTCGACTCTCCCAGTCTCCCATGAAGTGGATCACCTGCAGGTCAGTTTTTCTTGGCTGAGAATCGGACCTTTTCCCCAGCTTTGCGTAGCTCGTAGCTCGAGGCATCTTGTAGCTTAGTTGAGAGGTGCTTGAAGAGGTGAGTGAACAGGTGAGTGAAGCCAAACCGAAGACAGACAGACTAGGTGTCCTGGCGGTGTATTCTCCCGGATCAGTGTATTCCAGCCACACATCACACCCAGACATGAAGGGTCCTGGTGGTATCGAACCACATGCACCGCCTAAAAGCACCTGGCTGGACTGGCTGGACTTCGGCTTCAGACAAGTCTCCAAGGTTCACGAGGGCCTATAGTAAACACTCCTGTCTCCATGGGACAAGCGGAATTGATGCAGATTTGGTATGATCAGGCAAATCCGCTACCCAGGTGCGGGGGGTGTTGTGTAGATGAGGAGTCCTCCAACATCTTTCAACAGTTCTTGGCATTGGGTCCACCATTCCCATACTCTCCATGGAACTGGAGAGCTGTACATCAACAATCGACCAGTGGAGTGGTTTACTCAGCGGTCCGCATCTGCTCCGACCGGGCTCAGGAACGAGGTTCCGACGTCGGGGGAGCCGAGCCGGGACGGACCAGGGACCCAGTTGCTGGGGGAGACTGCAGGTACTAGTGAGTCTGTCCATCTAGTAATCCAGGTGCTCAACTCAACTGAGTATGTACAGGTCCAGGTACTTCCTTGATAGATCACGGGAATTTCTGACGGGGACATCCAGGATGCACAAGCTTGCTTGCAGCATCTAGCCTCCTGTAGGAACGGCACCTGTTTACGGCCCTGGAACAGCTCGAAGCTGACCCCGGTCCTGAGTCGGGTCGACCGCGGTGAGTGGAGCAATGGAGCTGTCATGTAGTATTTGCATGTATTTTCTATAGGCTATACTTTGGAGGATGGACATGCATTCGAACCACCGGTGGCTTTGCCAACGTACATTCAAAGGCGAATTGAACTTGGGATCGACTTGAAGACCAACCAGCAAGGAGCTAGAAGGGATGAGAACATTGACATACATTGACACTCCCGCAACCACTTGTTCATTGGTCCAGTTCCAGATCAATGACAGTAGTGAGAATGTTCAGTCATATCATTGTTTCTGCAAAGGTGTCCTGTCTAAGCCGAGGATCTATTGATGCTTACATCTTTCAACTGGGCCCCAGAAACCCTGGGACCAAACCCATCCAAACCCCATGTTCTCAGCTCTGTCCTAGAAGAGGATTTCGTCCCCTCCACTGCGAGAGAGAACTCGCCTCGGCCTTGACCTCGCGCCGAGTCGGAGTTCGAGTTCTTTGAAATGCAGACCATGTGCAGAGACTATGGATTCGAGCTGGCCCCCTGCATCCGAGATGCCACTTGGCGGTCATGCACCGCCCTCGGGTGGGTCACCGGGGTCCTTTTCCAGAATCGGCACGGGCGCGCCACGAACTTAAGACGTCGGTGCTGCAAAACAACCAAACGATACCAAACGAAAAAGGGCAGATGGATGTGTAGAATCAAAGCAACACATGAATATATCTATGTGTTGCGAAAAATGGACGGTCTAGTGGTCATCAAACGTGGGCTGTCTTCAGCTTTTGGGGCTGCCTTCGTTGCTGCAAGAGCCGTTTGGTGTGTAAGTCATGTTATATTGACATATAGGTGTTGATAAACCGGAGAAACCGACATCAGGAACCTTTATGACACATTATGACACAGGGTCATGGTCCACGGTGTATCTATCCCAGGATTTTCTACTGGCTTTCTGACCTGGTGATGTTTCATTTTACACTCCTTGAACTACTCATGAAAGTGGAGTTCACCACCAGCTGTTTGGTATTTGGAACATGGATGAACATGGTCATCCAAGAGGCCATGCCATCCACGGAACCATGATTATTCCACGGAGTGTCAGCGATGGGACCCCAGACCTCTCCCTATGAAGTTCCGATCTCTCCATATGAGGGTCCATGAGGGTTTGGGCATATGAATTCTTAGTTGCTGGCCGAAACCGAGGACTGTTTGACATGCTCGTTACATCAAGTACATCAAGAACAAGTATTTTCCTCGAAAGTTCTTCTCTCCTTCATCAGCTATACTGGTAATAACTCCAGTTGCATCCAGTTGCCATGTTCTAAGATTAATGATAATATGCTTTCGGTACTATATAAAGTATACTGTATCTCTTGTCACTGCTTTCTACAGAAGGCAACCCACCTGAACCGAAACATTGACACATTTGACGTTGACTTCTAAGCTCAGCCATAGCAAGATCAAACACTAAGAGAACGCCCTGGACATCCAGCAGACCGTGGTTCGGCGTCCGTGCCAAATTGCGCACGGGTCCGCTCTGTCAGAAATAGACGAGTCGAGCAGTGAGTCGGGCCAAGAAAAGGGTCCATGGAGTCAGGTTTGCCCAGATCCGGATCGCCCAGGAATCCACCACCTACTCAACCAGCCTGCCACCTGGGGAGGCGGCCCTGGGGTTCGGACGATGGCATCAGCTCGATCGAGGGGGGTCGGACGAAAACCCAACAATCACAACAGCCCTCGGATGCGGTTTTTTCCAGGGGCCTAGGGCCTATGTACTACTGTAATTGTTTGAGTGGGGACAGAAATTCTGAATTTGAGGCGAGACCTGGCTTTTCATGATCTGAAGAGAGGCCGTGTATCGTTGTTGAGGGTGTCCAAAGAAATGAGAGACAAGGACCTGGGACAAATTATCCATAGCCAGATAGAGATGGAAGTCCATGCTTGTACATACAAGTATATATATATATGTAATATAATGGAAATATGTATATATATATATGTTGTTACTCCAGGAAGGACACTCAGGGATGGTGGAGTATCCTCATGGTTCAGGTTTCTTGCGATGGCATGTTTGTTTGACTCCTCAGTCACTCCTTTTGATCAGTTGGACTGTCCCAGAGAAGCAGATAAATTCATCGGCATGCTCTCATGGCATCGTATTGCGTTGCTTCAGATGATCAGTATCGGCCCTCTTAACCGATTGTGCTTAGTCTCCATTCAGGGTTTAGTTTATTTGGTACTTAATGGTACTCGTAGAGTGAAAACACCCAGATGCAAATGGGAATGATTCAGATGCCGACAGAATGCGTTCAGGTTCTATGAATAGGAATCAGGGTGTTGGATGTTGGTGTGCGATGTAGCAGTCGGCTCTTTTTCCTTTTTTACAACCTATTCCAAAGTTAGTGAATTTCTTGGTTGAGCCGTCTGATTTAGACGTTATAATAGATCATTTCAGCATTGTTCCGCGTCGGATCCACGGATTCACCCAAACAGAGTCGGCCTCTCCAGTCACCTGACCTGACCCTGACCACTCTCCGTCCGGTTCAGTGGCGGTTCAGCCAGGCTTGCGTTTGAGGCCTTACTCAGTAGCAGTCGGTACAACATACCACTTGTGTTTGTCCTATGACCAGGCTAGCAACTGGTAGACAATTAATATCACTATATTGAATAAGGCCTTGACTATAACCATCATCATCCACTGTTACAGGGAATAGATGAATAAGATACACCCAACATATCACGATGTTTGAGATGTCGATCTGCAACCTGTCCCCATTCACTGGGCCCTGTTTGGAAAGTGGGATACACCATACCCAAAGTATCCCAAAGTAACTATATAAATGCCAATGTAGTAGGGTAGATCATGGTGTATCCCTACGGGACCCACCCAATCAGTGTGACCCACCCAATGGTGTATCCCTATAGAACGCGTTGACCCACCCAATGAGTGGCACTGGTCCGGTGGAGTGCGTTGCTCGTGGCCAGGTCTATCGTCCAGAGGTGCGGCGTATTAAGTTTGGCGCACCAGAGAGTGTGTGTGTTTCATAGCCTACACAGGTGCGATTTTTATTGGTAGAATGTTACATGTTTCAGATGTTTCAGATGGTTCATAAAGATTGGTACAGACCGGTCCAGTTTGTTTTGTTGGGTTTTTGATTGGTTTTTATATGACAACTGGTTGTGGCGATGAGTTTGTAAAGCTGGCAGGGCAACCAGATGGTATCAACTGAACTTTCTTTGTCCATGTTCACTCAGAGCCTTGTCCCGGACCAGACGTCGCGGAGCTTCTCGAGTCTGGTTCAAGAGCGTTGACTCCCCTCCCCAGGAGATGCTCCAGACCCAACGCACTGATACATGTTTAAGTCTCCTTTTGTTGTGGACATCCAGATTGGCACGGATGCGCCGGTTTCGTTGAAGGTTCTTCTTGACTTCTCCAAGGGCTGTTGGGTCTTTGGCTGAGATTTGGATTCAGCCACGGTTGGCACTATCACTATCCTTCCAGCCTAAGCGTAGCTTCCAGAAAGAATATCCATGCAAAAACCAGGCAGTTCCACAGTAGTTCGAGAAGGTTCCCGCACAAGTAGAAGTGATTTTGCAAAAGTACGGTATGTTGGGACTTGCACAATTGACAGGCATCATCAGGCCCTGAGACAAGCTGTTCCCAGTAAATCTCACCGAAATTTACATTGTTGGTCTTTGATCGTGGTGGTGACAACTGGAGCAGTTCTCGTTAGGTGGCCCAGTGTAGGACGCTCCATCATGGACTTGATTGGGTTTTGCATCAGGAATATGTCTCCATCGAGTGCGAGCGCTGTCGCACCTCGTCCCTGTTAATTAGCGACCTTGCAATCCAGGTATGATGCTGGTAGGACTCGAAGAGTCTGCAAGGAAAGCCAGAAAACCCTGAGCAAGTCGGTGGACAACCTGCAGAACCTTTGTTGTGGGATTGGTTTTCCCTCTAAGTAATCACAGGTGCGCCACAATCGCTGCAGGAACTAAGAGCTAAGAAAACAATAAACGTAGAACTGTGTAAAAGAACAGCAGAAAAACTAACCTGGGTTTGTTATCAGACATCCTTCTCATCAATCTGGGTCTGTTTTCGTCGAGACGGGGGGGCCGCAATCGTGATGTGAAGACTGGTTCGGAACACTGGGCGAAAGTGGTTTCAGTGGGGCGATGCCCACCTTCATGCGCACGCCAACGTCCAATGAGGTCAACCCTCAAATCTTCAAGTCTAAGCACCCCCATCGCAAGAAGTAGCGAAGACGTATGCATCTCCAGTGTATTCCCGTCCACGCGCTAACGTCCAAACGTGTGCAAATAGACTGTTGGAGGTGGAAAACACGGGCAAAGATTTGATGCCTTGTACCTAGCACGAAGAATAGCAAACCTTGTTGGACGCTGAAGCTCTCTTGCCACTTGCCAGAAAAGAATGCTGCTCTTGGAATGTCCCAGAACTATGCTTGACTAGGATGTTTCAATTTCGCGTTTCGCTGTAGCGCAATAGCAAAATGCCCTGGAACAGTCCCCCAAAAATGCATGCTTGAGGGATGAAATTGGATGAACATGCATACTTCGCCGAAGCAACGCACACATTTGAATTGACATGCATTGGAAATGAGACGTGCAAGCGCTTTCTCGGGAAGTCGAATGCTCCGAAACGCAGGTTTGAGACATTTTTGAACCCTCACTATATAGTTGAAGATTGACGACACACAAAACCGCTCAAACGCAGGCACAACGGTCAGCCCGGCGGATTGTTTGTGTTGGTCACAATGGACCAATGGAGTGCCATTGCCCTGTTTACGGTAAGCTCCATTGGACACTGGATGCCCTTTGATGGTCCTGGAAATCTCGTTGATTTGAGACACAAACAAGTCCTGAAATGTCCTGAAATTTGTGGCAGCTTGGACCTTTCAATATAATGATATCACTCAATCATCTGACGAGTTCGAATTATATATTATAATATATATATATATATTGGTGCTGAGTAGGCAGAGATTTTGTGGAGTGATTTGGGACATTTTGGGATAAACTTCGTTACCAAAAGAAACGCCGTTTGTTCTTCATGTTTTTCTAGTGTTTGTAGGTTTACCCCTGATAGAGAATCTATTGAATCCTTGAGTTTAGTAGGAACAACACACCATGTGTTTTTCCTTAACAATTGCATGTTAGATACACTTCAGCAAATGAACCAAGTGGACACCTCCACACACACACACTCCACTTTGGTCAAGCTATCCCACCATTTGGGTGCTTCCTTAGCCGTGCCCCTTTCCAACATGTTCCTCCTCCAAGACCTCGGCTTGACCCGACTCCCACGGACGTCGACCGGCGACTCGACGGCTCGTTCGTCGGGTTTCCCGTCGCTGAGGAGTCTCTTCTTGGACCTCGACGCATCGGTGCTTCTCCTTCCGTGAGTCCCTCCAGGCGAGGAGGGCGGCGCCTGGGGGGCCGGGAGGCGGTGAGGGGACTGAGGGCTATAGGGGTGAAGAACTCTAAGCTGACAGGTGGAGGAGTACCTCCGAATGAATGGGTAGGACCTGATCCAAGGGGGTCATGGTGGTTGTGCATATACGCCAAGCAGGCTAAGTATGATACACTTAATAGAAATCTATGAGTAAGTAATGATGGAGGGAGGGTAACACGCGTCCCGGGCGTCTACTACAGCTGGTCATTTGCTTCAGGGTGCCTTACACATGCCTTATAGAAGCTCCTCATCTCTCATCGTCACGTTCGGCCGCCCTTCGCCTCCAAGGGCACCCCTAGGGTTGGTGGGAGGGCTGGTAAATCTGGAAGGCACTGGCATGCAATCGGTGGGCCAGAAGTTTTATATATTACATTAATATATATATATATATGGTGAGTCTCGTCGATACTTGAAACTCCTCATTACCATTCATTACCCCTTTTTTTCTGGAGTCCGCATCATATGACATGAACAGAACAATGTTGGAGAATCTTCACTGGTGCCGTGGTTCTGGAATTCTGGTGACCCATCTCTATTTGGTCCTTAGTTGAACTGAAGCTTCCATGGACCTGGGAGCGGTGCATCTGCTTTTCCCCGGCTTTGCCAGCACCGGAGACCCACGGCCGGCCAGTCCTGTTCGCATGAAGCGAAGAAGACCTTGGCCTTTGGCTTCACCCTGGAAGACATGGACCCCAACTGCATGGACGGCACAGGCGCAATGATAGAGCGCGCTGTGGCGCCATGATGAGCATGGCGATGGTTAGAAAGACATGGGGAACTTCAGATTGGGGCGACATAAAAACAACATCAGCGGTTTTGATCTTAGCCGGTGAAGCTAGACCTTTAGCCGGTGAAGCTTGACCAATCTCAAGGTTTGATGTTCTGGTGTTGCTTGTATCAAAAGGGAAAGAAGAACCATGAAGGACCTATCTCGGATTTCATTCCTCATCCCCGTGGTTGTCCACAGTTCCTCTCACTTGCTTTAGAGTCACAGAGAGGGGGGGCAAGTGCGGGGGTTCTGGGAGGCTAAACAAGAAGTTAACTGGGTCGATAAATTTGATGCGACAGCCTCATTCACCCTAATTCAATACCCAAAATATTCAGCACGGACGCACGCCATCAAGAACCTCATCCAGCCGGGATTGGGTAACGTGGTCGATTGAAAAGAGTACTGCAGTCAGGCGCTATCATGAAAGCGTGGCCAGGACTTTGGTGCAGCCCCTGTCCCCTGTTGCTGTTTGGAACTTCTATGATTCTATGATTCTTGCTTGACTTGTGCTTTTGAATGGCTATACTTGGTAAACCTGAACGGTGGGACCAAATGCTCCATCATCATCCATCATCCCTGTTTCCTGAAAACCCTGGCCGCATGAAGCAAGCCCTGGTCATATCCTGGTCTCAACCTTCACGCCAACAGTTCCTGCCCATGAAACCACTGAAACCACGGCGACACAGCACGGGTGACTTCTTTGCATCATGCGCGCTCGAGAGCGCGCTCTCTGCGCGACACTCGAACCCCGAGCCACACGCGTTCACCCCGGGGTCCGAGCCACACGTTCGAGCGTCGATGTGTCGATGGGATGCAAAAACCGGAGATTCGGGTGCAAAAGCATCGAAGCCGAAGAGCACCCTCCAAGATGAGTGGATTTGGTCGGCGAAATCCATCAGAACTTAAGAAGCTGCTGCACCAATCGACCACAGTGAAAAAACGATGAAACAAGGCGCTCTCTTTTGGAGGACAAGTGTTGATCTTCTCCATATGGATGTGTATCTTGATAGGGAGACTGGCCCTGGCTGGGTAGCCTGGTCGATGTGCCTTCTTCGACAGGGTCGTTAAACCGGGGATCAGTCTCCATAGTTCAACACACACACCTGATCAGGCCCTGAACCCTTTGACCACACCGGTTGAGATAGCTTAACAAGCCTCATTTTGCCATGAGGGTGCAGGTGTAGAGGGCTCCCTAATGACTTTGCATCTTGAGGAACTTTTCGTTGGCCTAGTGCGCTTTAAACATTTGGAGGGGAGTGCGTAAATAGGTCGCTACTGGCGAAGAGTTAAAAAGCTCTTCGATGCTGGCGAAGAGTATCGTGATGTCTCCCCCCGGCACGTCTTGGCACCTCCAGGCCTCAGAGGGGAGTTCCAAGGGGCGCTGGATCCATGCAGTCCTCAGGGGGTCCTGCCAGGGATCATCAAGTACGCCGGAACCACATGGGGAACCCCACAATAGCATGAAGTCGCCCATGGCGTAGATACAAAAGTAAGGAGATGCTCCTTACAACTCCCTGTTGAACTTTAAGGCACGTTGTCATGCACACGGACTTCTTGTGGAAGGCCCTCCAGGGAACTGAAGGGCACGGACTTCGGAATGTAAATGGAAAGTGTTCATCAGGGACCGACCAACGGCCCAATGGATTTCGTTTGTGTTTGAGATTTTGAGAGGTCGAACTGGGGGGTCCCTATTCTAATACACAACAAACACACACATATATATATAATGTAGTCCTTCTGACACTGACTTAGATGGGACTCACGATGCAGGTCACACCACAGGCTGCACCATCTACACCGAGCCTTGATTGGCAACATGATTTAGAGGTGTGTCTGTGTTGGTGGTTGCGATTGAGGTTCCGAGTTCTATGGGCCTTTGATTTGATCCGGCAATGGCTGTCATCCAGTAGTCCACTGGTTTGCAATCTCTAGGTATTTGCTCCTTCGAATCCAAGGGACTTGTTTCTGGTGATTGCGAGAACAGTGGTCATAGTGGTCCCGTGCCCGTGTGTTTACCATGTGTTCGATGGTTCGGTGATTGCTTTGTTGCGGGTAAATGGGTTGGTTTTCAATGACCGACTCATGGCGCTTGTTCTTTCGGTATTCTTGGACCCAAATCCAAGAGGATCATGCCAAGTTGGCTCCACATGATCCGGTCCACACCGATTCGCTCACGGCGCCTGCCATGACCTGCGAATAAAGAGATACCTTGGCGGCCGCCTGTCCAAGCCGCCTGGTCTTCTTGTGCAGGGCCTTTGCTCTCTTTAAGGCAACGAAGCCCTTTATGTGTGTCCAACATGCGATATTAAAGAAAGCAGCTCACCGCAGCTCACCACTTTCTCACAGGTCACCATACGATTGTTCACTTCAACAACCCTCCCATGGTTCAGCAGCATGCTTCTGAAAGCACCAGAGAAGACCATGTTTGTTGCTTCTTCACACCTTGGCCTAAGGATGAGTCCGTCATCTTCAAACAGGGTGAGTGTGATCGTTTCGCCCTAGCGCCCCTTGGTTTATGATCAGATTTGTCGCTTACGTCGCTTTTCTGGATTGATTCCTTGCCAGTTGAGTCGAACAATTTGTGGCTGATGATGCTGATGGCTTTTTGGGCACCGAGTGTGAACCAGTTGTTTACCTCATATCTTTTTGGATGTGTGGAAATGGATGCGCAATGACCAAGCGTGACCAAGCATGCCCTCAGCATGAAGACCTGTCTCACCTTCAGACCTGTCAACCCTGTCTTCACCCTGTCGGAGTCGCGCTTCACCGAGGAAGGAAAGCTGCACGGACTACACGGAATCAGGCGACCGACCGATGTCGGATCCGCGGAGGAGCCGCGTCGGAACCAAGGATCAAATGAGGATGGCTTTTGGTTCTTTTGATTTGTGGTTTGTTCAGGTTTGGTAGACAAGCCAATATAGGATGCATGAAGCCTACATCAGCATTGGCTTGTGGTATGAGTAGGGGGAACAGCATAGTCTTCCAGCGGTGGGGTCTTCGGTTTTCATGTGGGGGTGGCTGGTTTTGGTGTTGCTCACAAGCTTAGTGGCGTCGCACAAAAGACTCAGCCGATCGCACAAGCTGTCTTGAAGGAACCGTTGCTCAAGGGTTCTGTCTGGTGGGTGATGTGGTTATGAACTATCATGAGAAGACCAAATTATCCCAGCATATTCAATTGCGAGCACTGTTTGCCCAAGTCCAGACGCTGCTTTGTTTTTAATATTTTTTAATATAATTACTTTTATGATGTTATTTGTTGAGCGTCCTGGATGCTTCTCGAATGCTTCTTCCCATGTTTTGCTACACTGTCTTTGGGTGCCGCTGAAAGACACCACACCAGGCGCTTTCTACATGAAGTACAGTTTCATCCCCTTCATCCTGCCGAGCATCGCTTCTCGCCAAGTTGCCAAGGGAACTGGCCCCCACCTCCCAGTTTCATAACTGTCAGATCAACGTAGATGAGAGAACTAGTGAACGAAGGGTGTGTGTGTGTGTATTTTGTAGTGTTTTAATGTATTCTATATTTTCTTTGACACTGAAGGACCTCCAATCAGCTTTTGGTTGCTCAGAGGTGTCCCGTGCCAGCCACGAATCCAGATTCCGCTCCAGAAGGCTGTTCGAAGACCAAGAACCCAGAGCTAGAAATCCAGGTTCCCTGAGTAGTTCCCTTCAAACCCTTTCTTTTGAAAAGTTTCTACGAATTAAGGCTATACCAACTCAATGGGTTCAGTGTCTTTGCGGTCAAAATGCAGTCGGTTCATAGAGGTTCATGAGTTCTTCCCTTGGCGATCCATTCTATCCACCCCTCTGGATCCGAACGGCATCTACGTCCAGATGCGAACGGTGTACGTCCGCCGTCCGAAGCGGTGCTTTCCCTCGCACCCTCAGCCCGGCGATGCCAACGGGCTGAAGTGCTCAAGCAGCTACAAGTAGCTCCTTTGAACACACGAACCCCTTTTTGGCCTCCAGTGGTACCGAACCTGAGGTTTGGTGGGACTGGGGTGGGTGCCAGGAGGGTCTAGTCATACCGAACCTGAGGAGGTACTTCAGTCCTTCAGTCTACCGTCCAAACGAGGTGAACCGGTGACCTCCAGAGCCCGTGACGTCCTGGTGCCGTGTGACATGTTCACAAACTGCATCGAACCACGAACTCACTTCGCACCTCTTCCACTACTGGCTCCGGCCAGCCCATTCTGCTGGCTCCACCTCAACCCGCTCCTAGGGGGGCACCATCCCGACCGAGATTCTCACCGAGTGGGGTGGCGAGGATCAAAATGGTGGGGTGGAAGAATGGGACGTCCGAACGCTTTCGCAGTCATGGAACAGGTCTCGGGTCGTCGGGTCTCGGAATGTCGATAGGTTTGCCAATCAGACCTGTTCATATATTAGATACTAGTACCATACTATGTTCCACACTGGGGGTCATTAGAGAAGGCATGAGAAGGGTTCCTAATCCTATGATCTATATGATGTTTACTTTAAACTTTAAAGCATCGCAGCATCGCATGTGGTTCCATTTTGGGCACCCTGTTGGAATTCCCGGAGATCGTTTGCAAAAGTTGGATTGTTCAAGCTGGACAGTCGGCTCTTTTTGCTCAACACTTGTCTCTAAACATATACACGCTAGAACACCAATGCGGGCGACGCGGTAAAGAATTTGGTGTAAGATGGAACACAAACTGTAACTCAAGAAGCTCCTAGAGGCTCCTTGCATCGCTACTAGGAGCATGGACGCTACTAGTAGCTCCTGGCCTTACTACTATAGTAGCAAGGTCGCTAGTAGTAACAAAGGCTCCTCAAAGGTCGAAACCCAGCCCCTTGTCCTAGGCCCTGACTTCGAGTATACATGAGTGGATTCAAGCAGTTCTTGATTCAGAGATTCAAGGGTTCCCGGCAGGAACCTGTATCCTCACGCACCGCCGGTCCCTCTCAGGTCAGTGGACGGAGATCTATCAGCCTCTGAGCTCCTCGGATTGACTCGATTCCGTCGGTGACGGACGTTGGTGTTCGGTTGGAGCGAAGAACCGCCCATGAAGCAAGCCGATGAAGCCGGTGGGGTCAGCGATCGAGTGGACGATTGGGCGAAGGTTAGGGAGTTCGTACCAATGTGCTTCCAAGGTTCGCTCGCACATTGGTTCTGAACTTGGCTGAACCTTTTGTGGTTGCCAGTTTGTAGAATTCGGGTGGGGTCGCTGAAGTCTGTGCATGTTGTGCCAGGCGGCCTAAAGAAGATGGAAATAGCTCAGATGCAACAGTTGCAACAATGCCCTGCGAGTGTATAGGCACCAATCAGAACCCCTTACTGAAGGTAATTAAGGGATATTAAGGGCATTTTAGGGCCAATATGTTTGTGTTTTAATTAAATGTGATGTATATATACATACTAGGGCCCCCCACACTCCTTCACCTCCGAGAGGCGAAGAAAACATTCACTACCGGAAAAAAGACAGGGGGCTTTGGCAATTCCTAGGGATCCAGTCGTACCGAACCTCAGAAGGTACGACTGGGCCCTCCTGGCGCCTACATGAATAGTCTCCAATCACCGTACCTGAGAAGGTACGACTGGATCCCTAGGGAATATGTACCACCTGAATCTTTTGCACCGGGCTGCACTTAGAAGGCGCCTCTTTTCCCTAGAAGGCGCCTCTCAGTTCCACTCAGAGGCAACTTCTTTTTGGCGTTTGAGGCGTTTCTTGGGAACAACATCGATTTCTTCCCAGTTCTGTTGATAGAACATGTGATAACCGTGAATATAGGAAAACACAACAAACCCCGAACCATGAAGCAAAACCTATACAGTAAGTTATATGATTTCAAGCATGATAAAGCATGAAACACATGAAGGCATGATAACTCACTGTGGAAAAGTGAGCGCAGACACAACATGAAGCTTTGTAGATACATCTATATCTATATGTGAACTGCTAATTTTCCACTTGGATTGGCCTCTTCAAAACCTGCATTTCAGGCAGGTCGAACCGGACTTGTGGGGGTCTTTTTTGCAGGCCAATCCAAGTAGACAATTGCAAGTATGAACATGATATCACGCAATATGATAAACACACATGAAAAACATGAAGCTCATGAAAACGACATGAAACACATTAAACATATAAAACATGAACACATGAAAGCCACATGAAATCATGAAAGCACAGGAGAGCCACATGAATAAACATCAAACATATTAAAACACATGAACGCACATGAAAACAACATTAAACACATGCAAACACATGAAGCCTGAAACAACGAGAGGCGGGACGTAAGAGGCGGAATTCCCGGGTCATGAATTTTTGGCATAGTGATAGTGTCAAGTCGACAGGTTGCCGCTTTCATGCTCGTCTCTAATCCAATGGGGAAATGGCGCGTCAGCTTCCGTCCCGTGTCTTTCCGAGTTCGACCCTGATGGCTGGTTTGACTTTAGTGAAGGAAGAGAAACATGTGGACAAACTTGATGGTGACGATGCCCTGATGTCAGAGCTCCAAGGTGGGGCTGTTCATTTCTATAGGTATTGATACTCACCTCTAGTCAGTGTCTGAACATTTCCTGGCTAAACATTTTACCTTTGTTTTCTGCCGGTTGCAGGCGCTCAGGATCCAGCAACTGCCTACTCCTATGAACTCTGCCTTGCAAGACCTCCAGACGCCAAACACCTCGGAGAGTTACGCCGGGCCTGATGATGAAACTCAAATGCCTAATTTGGGCTTGGACGCAGTTGCTAGCAAGCATGATGAACCTCTGTTTGCTTGGGTTTGACCAAAAATCTTGTATCATATTGCTAGATCCGAGCTGTCGGCAGCAGCAGCGGAAGACCACCAAAAACATTACAAATGACAAGATTCCGATTCCCTTCTACCAGAAAACACGAGAGGCAGTTTTTGTTCTAAACGGCAACTCTTGAATGGAGAGGCTAACATTTGAGCCTCTTTGCTAAGAGGCTGAGAAAAGCAACCACCGGATGTTTAAGGTATATATTTATGTATAGACCCAACGTAGGTTGTTGTTGTTGTTGCTGCTGTTTTTTGGATGCCGAAGGGTAGAGCACCGGCACAAGGCATCATACATTGCATTTTACAAAAAGCACGCCGTCGACAGTCTCATGGCAGAGAGTTCTTGGTGGGCTCCGAGCAACAGAGTCCTTCTCAGGGCCCAGACGATGACCGCAAAACTTGGGTGCCGACCGTTTGACACTCCTTGTGTCCACTATCATGTATTGGATCAGAACCAAGATGGAGTTCTAAGGTGTCGGTGTGTGTGTACACCTTGGAATCAAATGTATTCGGTCGGTTTTTCATTTGCAGGGAGTGGCAGCAGGTTGGACTGATCATCCCAGCGTACCTGCGTTGTACCAGCGAACTTCCCAAATGGTCTTTTGACCATTGCATCGGCTTTCCTTCGGCAGATGTGTGCTTGCGATGTCCTTCCTCGTTTGCAATTGGGAACTGTGCTGTCCTGAATGTCTTGATTTCGTGAACTTCCCTTGAAGCTTTTGGAACACTTCAGCCCTGGTGATTTAGGCATCTTGAATTACTTAAGTAGCTTCAAGGCAGGTGGCATACAGACCGTACGTACGCATTTCCCGAGTGTGTGCGAATCCAAGAGGAGTTGGAATAGGAGAGGTTTAGGCTGCGTTGCTTTCTGTTGCGAACTCAATTTGTGCCAACATTGACAGCATGAGATCCGCGTCGCGCCACACAGAGATACAGATATTGTGTTAAGATATGCTGTGATCCTCCACATATGGTGCGAGAAGATTCGCCCATTTGCAGCCAGCTGATTACTCCCAACCGCCAAAATCCCAAAGGCAGTCAAGACCCGGCTGATGTGGATTATAGCTGCATAGACCTTCACAATGGATTCAGAGGGTAGTTCCTGGAGTTGCTTGGTTGTCCATCATTGACAGCCCAGGTTAAACCCTTGGCTAAAAAAGCGTTGACTTACAAGCTTTGCTAAATAACATACAGTTTGTTGACTTCAGGAGGCGAAACATGTGCTAAAAACTTTCGGGCAAGGCTTGCAACTCTTTCCAAACAAATTAGGAATATTTGGTCCAGCGGTCTCTTCAGCCTGAGCCATGTCATGTTTGCAGCATTCCAAAAGAAGAGGCACCTGTGTATATGGCAGCTGTACAATGCAGCTGCCCAACTTCTGCAATAGAATCGCTTCCCTAGAGTTGTTCTGCTTGTGCCGGCTTGGAGCAAGGTCAGAACGTGTTCTTTTGGGGCTATGCCCAATCTCTTGAGCTGGTGGCTTTTGGTTTTAACTGTCACGCGTGTCCATGTGCCTGTCTTTGGGTACGGCTTGTCGGCATAGCGCGACTCAGTGCGACCCTCTCAAGTTGGAGTATGAGTTCCGAAGAAACCCGGCGCCCCAGGTTTTTGTACCTAGGCCTAAGCTATGGTGTTTTTGTGCCTTGCTCCTGCACACCCTCCACGCTCCGGCGCCCAGCTCCTTATTGGATGGCCAGCTCCGTGGACTGCGCCTGCGCTTGTGGCTTGACTCAGGGGTTGGGCTTGAGAGTGCGTCAAATCTATATTAATAGTGTTTTCGGAGATTGTGTTTCATCGACACTGCCGTCCTGATTTGAGGAGAGCCTGGCTGGTCATTGCATCAAAGTTGGTGAGTGCTGTGTTTTCCGAGAATCTTTGTGTTTTGTTTGTTGGTTTTGTGTGGTCTTGGTCGGAATTTGTTGTGGGATGTTGCAAAAGGAATGATGCTAAGGTGCTGCAACGCTTGTCGCTTACAACTTGTTTGCACCAAAACCATTGCATGTCTTTGCACGGATCCCTGTTGCGACTACTGGAATGTTGATTCTCTTTGGCACTAAGAATGCACACCCTCAAATGCATCAGGTTTTGAGGGTCCAAACCCCTTGCCACGGAAGGTCCAAATGGTCCAAGGGCTCTTAAGGTGGTCAAAACCCGAAGTGACGCATCGGCCGCCGCTTTGGTTCCCATGGTGGGAAGGGGTCCAAGGATCCGCCCAACGTCGCGTTTACCCCAATCAATGGATGGCATCAAAGATTCTGGAGAAGCAACGGCTGTCGCATGTTTTGTTTGGCGTCCCGCTTGCAACCGCGTTCTTTTGGCCTCACCTTTCTATTTTGGTTGCTATCATCTCACATCATGCCATCTCTTTTGCCATCCCTTCATCGAGTTTTCAACGACAGTTGTTCACCTCACATTGCCCAAATTGGGTTCCTTGTTTCATGTTGTTTTTTGTGGTTAGTTCAAACGGCTGTAAATCAAGCCAACCATCAAACGGGCCATCACATGTTCTCACCAGTTTGAGTGATCGGAGTGCTTGGCAAACCCAATCTTGGCAACGAAGCCTTGCACAGGTGAATTCACGGTCAACTCTTCAAGTCAATTCAGGTCGTCTGGTTTGTAATTATTGGCCAACTCCCGAATCGGCACTCAGGAATTTGCGATCCTGGATAACTTCACCCTTGTAATTCCTCCCAGGATTGAAGGTCAGATTCTTTTGAGAAAAGGCTTAGCAAATCACCAAAACCCAATTGTTGAACCCTACTTTGCACCTAGAGACTTGAGTATGGAGTCTGGAATGCGGGAAGTTTCCAGTCTGACACGCGCGGACACGCCGTGAACAACCAGAGACGACGCCGTGAACCGACGGCTTCGCTCCAAACGAGGCCCTGGTGCTGTGAAGACTATCGTGGATTACATGGTGCCCCTTGGACTGGAAAGACTGGCCACGGACGGACGGTGGAAATCTTGCTCGGAAAACCGGCAGGTGACGGGGATGGTTGCAGGGTCATGTTACGTGAAGAACCGGGTGTTCCCAGCTTTCTTTCGGGTCCCCAAATAGATAGACATGTCCAATACATATTATGCCGGGGTCAACATGAGCAATATTTAGCAACACTTTTTGGTAATATATAGTAATAGTTGATGAGGCCTAAAACAATTTTCTACGCCGGACTATACTAGTCACTAGCCCATTGAATTTCCAGCTTTTTCTTTTCAGAAGTCCTTGCTAAACCTTGCGAGACCGTCTTTATGACCGTCTTGAGAGACTTGAGAGTGCAAGATGGAAGTTTGGCTGGTTGGAACCGGCCCAGGTATCTCTGGAGGTGGCACCTGGAGATACCATGTTTTCAGATGATCAGTGGAGATTCCCCAGACAATTTGTTTGACATGTTTTGTATTTTTCTTTTTTTATATGTCCAGCCATCCCGGGTGTTGGATTGGGGTGTTGGAGAAGCCACATGTACTTTTTGGGCTCCAACCGGAGACCACGGGCCGAGAGATGAAGCTTGGACGAGACGGGACGAGATGAGGTGCCGCCTGGGCCGGCACCTTTTGAGGCCCAACGAATTAGGGCCAACAACGTTTAGGGTTTGCCTTCTTCTTCTAATTCTTCTTTTCATTCTATTTCTACCGTTCCTCTTCATGATGTAATCTCCGGGGCCCCATTAGGGGTTGTTTGATATCCAGTGCTCTGGCCATCCGAAACTGCTGTAGATCTTGGGCCAATTCCGAACCTGCTGTGGAGATTGGACCGGCGCAAGTCTCCGCTCAAATCATATGATCAAATCAACGACGTAGGTCATGTGAATTGAGCGAGCAATCCCCAAGCACTTAACATGGAAACTGGGATGTCGCCTGCGCTAGGCAGAGATTCCAACCAAGGTTGAAGAACCATATAGGCTATCCTATGGATTTTGCCAGTAGGGTTTCATAAGGTCAAGGGTTAAACCACGCAGCTCACTCCAACCTCCAGCTCACCGTCTCTCGCTTCAGCCAACGTTTGTTGGACCGATGCACCAGGCTTTGCGGCACAGAACTTAGAGGAACTTACCACTTGGGACATGAACTGTTCTTTGCACCACAAGGTCATACAAGGTCTCAGGTATCTCCCAAGGTCTCAGGTATCTCATGATCCGTCAGACGACGTCCGAGAACTAGAGTTCTTTGATGGTGGCTTGCCGGCTGGCTGTTCTTGTGCCAACATTTTCCTCTTCCTCTTCTGTCGTTTTTTTTTTCCGGAAAGTGAACTCCAGACTGTCGACTCCAGGTTGTTCCTCCAACCTAATAGCAAACTATATTAGACCTTTAGTTATTTGTTTCTAATAGCGATGGCCTCCACCCTACTCTCGATGGCCTCCAACCTACTAGCGATGGGCGATGGCCTCCAAATGTTCGGGTTTCTTCGACTCAAGGCGACCCGGCATCTTGATGGTGATGAATGCCACTTAACGCGCAAACAGCACGGGTTGCGAGGGCATGCCCCGAAGGACTTGGGGTGCCGGACCTGGAGTGGTGGACCGCATCATGAGCAGAAGTGGAGATGAAGTTTCTTTGGACTCTTAGGTTTATGGTTGTCCAAAGGATTGAAGACTCCATAAACCTAAGAAATGGGTTTATGGTTGAAGAGTTGAAGACCCCTGTTAGGAAACGTTCAGGACTGTTCTTTTTAAGAAGCAGGGTTTTCAAGAGGGAAAGTTGATATGTCATTGACATATGTTGATTAACCGAGCTAAAGAGTACTGTTTGTTCCATCTAGACTTTTGGAGCATTCTATCAATGAAGATCTCATCAATTCTATTTACCCGCTTCTTTTTCTGGATATTCTATTCAATGCTATTCTAATTGGGGTTCGATCGAAGATGTTTGTACTTGAGCTGAACACAGCAGGTCGCCCCTGCGTCCCAGGCCGGCTGAGCCGACCGCAGGGTACCACGGTGACGAGAATGAGACGACCTAAGGCCCTATGAAAACATACAAACACATGTAGCATCATGAACCAACCCAGTTTGGCAGGTCCTTTTCAAGCCTTCCAGATAGTTTAGCAAACAGATGCGTCATTCCAGTGTCGTTGAACACCCCATGTGTTTTTGTTGTCTTCACGACTTGGGGCTTAACAAAACCAGGAGACCATACGTCTCGAGAGGCCATCATATCCGAGACCCACATGAAACCTGAGTCTTCCACGGTCGGGTTGGTATGAAGGAAGCGATCGTCTTCCAGTCTGGTCCATGATCCATGCCATGTTCCATGTGGGGGTCTCAATGACCCCGCTTCTCGGACAAAGCACGCCTTCGGAGCCAAGAATCAGCATAAGCTTTGCACGTGCTGCAGGGCTTTGATTTGCACTGAATTCGCAGGTGGGGGGGTGACATACCAGACATCTAGTAGGCTAGAGACAAACACATCTCCGGATCATCTCCGGATACTTTAGCAACATCTTTGGACACAGTGCAGGTCAATTCAGTATCTCGTGGTTCAGATGCCCACCTCATGTTCTCCCCCAAAAAGACACATGCTGTCGTGCTGAACGGAAGTCCAGGACAAAGCACGAGAAGTGTCACTCACAGCACCTCACCGAGGCAGATCCAATGCACCCAGCCTTGCAGGAGGACTGAGCCGGTCGGTTCGTCCGTCCGAGGTGTCGGTTCGTGGTCGACCTAGGTGCCCAGAAGAGCGATCAACCCTCCCGAAAAGAAGCACTGAGGGACCCAGCTAGAAGGAGGGCACCCAGCTAGCACGACTGGGTTCCTCAAAGACTCTAATTTTCAGGGTCTATGTGAGTGTTCACTGGAGGAAATTTTTTGTTACTATATATATATATATATATATACGCCAAGAGGCATCAGAAACATGAAAAAGAACAGTTATCATTATATATATATAGGGGTCTTCTGGTTTTGGGACCATGATTTCTTGATGCGTGTACTCGCGCACATGTGGCTTCAAACATCTCGTTCGAACCGTATAACTGTAGTTGCTGGATGTAGCCATTTGCTCATGCGAAAATCATCACGACCTTTACGGGTCTTAAATATATAAGGCTTTGTTCACATGCCGGCTATATGAGTGGCTATACGATATTTTATGATATTTTACTATATTTTTGACTTAGACTTATAACTATATATATTCATATATATCTAGTAAACTACTACTAGTAACCCTTGCTTTAAATCTAGTAACCTTTCTGTAAGGTTAGGTTTGATTTAGCTTGGACTTAGCTAGCTCTATATAAGTGCTTAATGTCAGATCCTAAGGAACTATTCCCACACCCTGAATAGTTTTATGGGAGGAGATCAACACATTTTTTTCACCCCAGGGCCCCAGGGTGCTTTTTAAAGATGTGTGTGTAATTGTCATTGTTTTTTCTATTCACACCCGCTTCGCGGTCCAAGCCGCCCGCACGGATACTGGGCGTCTGTCTGTCTGTCTCGGTCTGTATGTCTCGGTCGGTCTCTGCAGTGGCAAGCACACATGATGTCAATAATGCAGTCTCACTCGGGCAGAACAACCGACATCACCGATGGCTTGCCGATTTCTTGTACGTGCTTTAAAAACTTTCAAAAAAACAAACAATGCATTCTAGAGCAAACATGTTTCAAGCTAAAGCTAAGCTATACTATGCAATTATAGCGGCTTACGCGAACTGGAGACAACGCCTCAGCACCTTCGGTGGGGGCATTTTTGCTGTTGCTGCCCTTTAAGATCCTTGCTTAACTACTACGACTACCTACCACTGCTACTGCTGCTGCTCCTACTACTACTACTACTACTACCACCATCACCACCACCACCACGACGACTACTACTGCTGCTACTGCTACTACTACTGCTACTACTACTACTACTACCACTGCCGCTACTACTACTATTACTACTACTACTACTACTACTACTACTACTACTACTACTACGACTACGACTACGACTACGACTACGACTACGACTACTGCTACTACTACTACTACTACTACAGCTTGCCTGATTCACGGAACTCTGACCTGAAGACCTTTTGTTATAATCCGTATTTAAACTCATTGATTTCGTTGCTCCAAAACAAATTTTCAAGGGGCTGGTGGACAAGCCCCGGGGAAGTGAATAATACCAAGTGTTTTAGGGGGTGGAATTAGTAAGTAAACGTACTACTACTTATCGGTTGTCTACAGCTACGGTTGTTTTGCGGGGCCACCTACGGTTCCAAACACAGTTTCCAACCTCTAGCCTGTCCCATTGCCAATGGCCACAACACATTAATTACAAACAGTGCCAACCTGTGGTCCAAGTATTCTGGCATTAGGTGACCCGTCCAACATCCTCCAACGATCTGGGGTCCAGAGATTGACATTCCTACGCAAGCGTTTGTTCCAGGTGCTTCCACCGCATGTCCACCTCATGGCACATGCGTTCCTTGAAGAGCATGGTGATTAACTCTTTGTTGCGACTCCGATCTTTCTACCTGCTGGGGATATCATCAACTTGGACTTACAACCTAGGTTGTACTGTACACCTTCTAATTTATTTTTACCCATTGTTTTATTTTGTGTTAATTTTTTTTTACCTCCATAGAGCATAGAGGTTATAGGATTGATTTAGTTTGGATTGCGCAAGGTTTGATCTAGTTTGGACTGAACAACTTTGCGGAGATCAGTACTTGCTTAGGTCTGACTTTGCCAAGTCGATTTTAAATCAACGAGACTAACTTGAACCTTGGAGTTTGGTTGGACTTGTGTAGTCAGTCACACACAAGTCCCACCTTAGTCCAAACTGAATTTGAAAACTGAATCTTAGTCAAGTCCTGACTATGTTTGACAGTGATACAAAAACAGTAAGACTACGTAAAGTAACAGGAAAAGAATTCCAGAACATTTTCTGACACATTTCCCCTTTAAAGCCAAAGGGACATAAAAATCAGTCAAACAGTGTTCTTTATATATTCCCTTCAGCATTAAGAAAACTGTCAGAAGACTTAGTTTGGCTTAGCTCGCACTTAGGATTTGCAGTAAGTAAGTTCAGCCTAAATTAAATCCATGCTAAGTCTACCTTAGCCAAGTCTGTTCTAGGTGACTACTAAGCACTTATATGTCTACCTTAGACTTAGCTAGCCCTCGCAAGTAGTTTTGCACTTGCTGGGTGAAAGGCACGTTCCCAAGGGCTCAGCCGCTACAAATCGTACTTTTTTGCGCTCAGTAGCAACAAATCCTCGGGTCTCATAAACCTTGTTTTGGATACTCTCCTTTTGCGCTGATGTAACATATAGAACCATTTTGTACACACAACATTAGTATTTTTGACGAGGGAAGGTGCCCATGGTATACATGATGTTAGCCGGGTCATGAATGAGAGATACGTGGCCGAGCTTGTGTGTACAAAGAATTGGGTGACCCGGTGTCCACAGGTTGGACTCTCGTGCGACCATCTTGTGCCCTTGAAGATGATCCTGGTACCCTTGAAGGTGTTGGAACTAGAAATCATGGTGGTGAAGCACCCATTGCACCGAGGGAAGGGTCGCAAAATCATGAAAACTGGCTTTGGCGGGCTGGACAAGTGGCCCCTTCATATCCCCTTCATCCATGCAGGCTGTGGCATGTTCATCGTTTTTGGGCGTACATGCGTAGACGAAAGTTTCTTGGTCTCCAAAACGTCAGAAAAGACTGGAGGTTCTCCAAATGTTGTTTGATCAACCCACCTTGTTGGATTGATCAACAGTCATCATGAGTTCTATTTGAGACCCCCGTCCCTCTCATAATAGAAGCCAATATATATATATATATAGCAATTGCTTTTTTTCCGGTTGACTGTTGACTGTTGAAATATCTCATGAGTTCACTTCATAGTAACCAAAAATAAACCATAAATAACCATAGATAACATAACCATAAATAACCATAAACCACAATATCCATAAATAACCATAAATACCATAACCACAACAACCTAGAATTCGATGTTCCTCTCATAACCCATACATATCGCTTCCAACACTGTTCACTGCCGTGGCCCGCGGATGTGGGACGCAACCGGCCGAAGGAGATGACCTTCCAGGTGGGTGCCCCGGTGGGTTTTGGGTGGTGCAAACGGCTTTGAAGTGTCCGCATGCTGGTGGAGGTGGACGGGTTTTCGGGCTGGGAGTGGTGAAATGGGGTGAAGAAGCGCAACAAAAGAAGACGATCAAATGAATCGTTATGCAATGTCACAAGATGGCGGCATCATTTTTTTTATCTACTGGTAGGGAGTTCAGAAATCTGCTTGTGTTCTCAGCGTCGTCCGGCAGGGGCTGGACGTGTGTGGAATGAATGTGCGGAGCCGGTTCTTCCTCTATAGCTAACAAACGACCTAAGTGTATTATGATATATTGTGACATATATGTTTATAAAATATAATTTATCAGGTGTAGTACCAACCAGTTGCTTTCTTATTGTGCGTGGACAAGCAGTGGTTGTCGTTTTTGCAAGTGACATGGGTTTGATTGGATGGGTATGACCATTGTGCCTTGAACCAATTAGAACTTCCAGGATTCATGAGCTCCGTTTGAGCCAGCTCTTCCTGTTTTCTCAGGTCATGTCTGCTGCTTGCCCACTCATCCATGCAGAAAGCTCCTAGGCAAGACAGAAGATCCGTACCGCGTTGGCCATCTAGAAATCGGATCCAACCAATGAAGAGAGTGAGAACCCATGTGAGAACAGTCTTTGAAGGTGTTGAATCATTGAAGCAACACGAAAGAAGCAAAACTCTGGCCACGTAGATTCTATCCTCAAGGTATGGATATGTACGGTGTGAATTGAATCCAGGGCTAGACCCACAAATTCAGATCTTTCAAAGCATAAATAGTCCAGAACCACCAGGCCTGCTTTCCCTGTAAAGCGGTCACCGGCACAAGAGTTGGTCTATATGTTGATCTGGAAGTGCGGCGATGGGTCGCCAATCCAGTACCGCGAGATTTTTGGAGGGGCCTCTCTCACTTTAGAAACGTGAAGTAGCGGATAAATTTGGAAAGCAACAGCAAATAAATTCAAACACACAACAGTCCAAATGGATTCACGGCATTCCATAGCATTCCCGGATTCCCTTCGTTCTGACATTCGGAGACCTTGGTCGGATGCGGAGACCTAGGTCGGTACTGTCCGTCGGGTCGGGTGTTATGCGACGTCTTTGCTGAGCTCACAGACTCGGAGCGACGTCTGTTCGATCGCATTTCGGAGTCAGAACATGTTGGACCAATTCGTTGTTGAGTTGTCGAAAGGTGCTTCAAAAACGATTGAACAGGTGCTTCATGTCCTGATTCAAATAACGATGCATTTTGAAGCCTTTATAAATATATATATATATATGTAGGTTACGAGTCTGCTTCAGGTTCCTCTAAGGCAGAATTATGTTGGATTGCAATCCGTTGTTGCGTATAGGATACTGTAATGATAATTGAATATAATTGATGATAGATGAACTTAATCATTGTACAGTGCATCACTATTCCAATCAGGACTGGCTTGAGAAGCACTGAAGCTGTGGCTGGCTGGTGGGCCCAATGGTCGCTTCGCCCGAGGTTGCTTCGCCCAGAACGCCGCGAATTGTTCGCACATCACCACCTGGTTGGAGGGTGTGAAGCAGGCCCGTTCGCACAGCCGGAATTGCTCGGTCTCGCCGGACTGAACCCGAGCTTGAAGGCCAGCATCGTGTCGTCGATGGTGCAGGTTCGTTTATCCAGTGGGTCACAATACTTAACATGGAACCATATGGAACCCCAAAACCACGCCCGGTGCAGGAAAATCGTCTTCGAAAGGTCCATTTTTAGATGCCATGCTAGATTGCGGTTTGATGAGCATCTGGGAGCTTTGGCTCATGTGATCACGTGGTCCATTTGCAGGATGGTGAGACCCTGGAGACCGTGGGTGGCAGGCCTTCCATAAAAAAGACCACCTCTTCACTCATCTTCGATGTGAACTTCTCACGTTTCACCATGCTCCCCAACCATCCTCAACTCACTGGACCCTCGACCTCCTTATTCCACTCCCTGGAATTCATGGTGGAAGTGGATGACATGGCCTAGAGGTCAGATGACCACGATGGCTCGAAGTCAGTGGTGAAATCACTCCACGAGTCACGAGCCCATGATGATTTCAGAGAACATGATGTCATATGATGTCTGAACGAACGGGAGTTTTTGGAGGGGTCCAGCGCCAGGTACCATGTACTGCATATATCAATATATCTATACCAGGACCTTCCAAAGGGTGTCTATACATAGCCACTTGGAGGTTAAGGGGTGCCCACAAACCACCTGTTGGAAGGTCCTGGTATTGGTTGTACACAATAGAGGGTAGTGTCCTCTGTCAAGAAAACCGCAGCGAAAACCGCAGCTCTCCATCATGACGGACTTCGCCTCTGTCACCGAAGCCGACTGCACGGCCGGCGGCCATCCCACGGCGCCTGGGATTGAGAAAATGAGAATGGTCTGACGAAATGAACAGTGATCCGAGTCTGAGAACTTCCTTCATTCGTTGATACTTCAAGATGGATCCAAAACCACTGAACCACTGGAAGGACGAAGAAAACATATCATCCTTCTCCTGGTCACAAAACATGTCTTTGGACTTGGAAAGGGTACTGAAGTCAGAACCTAAGCCTTCAGTCAGTCTGGTTGCGAGCAGAAGTCCGGTTGCGCACCCACGGCTTGGACGCACCCACGGCTTGGACGCGCCACCCGCCGACGGGGAAGAACATATCTTTCATCCGACGGCCGTCACCGGACGCACTGAAGAAACACCACCTCAAGGTATAGGCACCTCTGTTTAGGCAAAGGTGGCATTGGAGTGTTTGGGATTGAACAGACTGCACCGACTGAGGGTACTGACAGAGTGCTGTACAGACTGAACAGACTGAATTCAGTCCCAAGTTATAACCATACGAAGCTGGAAGGTTTTTTTCACGGCAAAACCTGAAGAGAGCAATCAAAAATACTCTGAGATTGTATATCACCGGATGTTTTTGGGAGTACAGATATGAGCAAGGGCATGCAAGGGCCAAAACGTCCTATGAAGAGTTTTGAAGGTGAACCGCCATTGACTTTGCAAAACCTTGCAATCACTGTGTGGCAATAGCGAACCGTGAAGAGCGATACCTGTTCCAGGAATATGCTAACTCCCAATGATATATCGACATACGTTTTGGAAACATGTTGCTTTTAGGGCGATACCCAAATAGATACCAAGCGATACCTCGAGCGATACCTCAGAAGTCCAGTCCTAGCCACCTCCCCATGTATAGAGCCAGAATTCACTAATGCTACTAAAGCGTTCCTCATGCCAGATAGAAAGAGCTTGTCGAAGGCTTTTGCAGTCTTTTGCATTTTGTTGAAACAACAGCTTTCATGTGGGAGCAAGAGGAACCACAAAGAATCCTCCGGGTTGAGAGAGATTGCAGGCTTCTTTCTTTTTGGATTGGGACTCGGGACTCTGTGACGAGCCATACCATGGAAGCTGAATGACTAGCATGAGTACTAGCATGTTTTGACCGCTGCACATATGTAGAGAACCGTAGAGTTTCTGTATATCAAACTATTTTCGGACTTGGCAAGCTTTGGCCATGATGTTATTCCAGGTACGTGGATGGCATGGCCCCTGGAAAGATAAATCCTCTACCAACAGGGGGTGAACTCCACTTCCAGTTTGTGAGGGAGGCTACCTTGCCCACTTCCGCGCTGGTGATGGCAGTGATGGCTTCCAATAAATCCAACTTCACTTGGCACAGGGACCTACAGGTTGGGAGTCATTTTTGGTGATTTTGGGAGATCTGTTTGTAGCGGAACATGGTGAACACGGTCTTTCCAGGGGCCGGCCACCAGGGTCAGACCGGGAAGGTGGTCACACCGGGAAGGTGGTCGCTGGGATGAATGCACCTCCAAGGTGGTCCTTCTTTTGCTTGTTTCGCATGTCTAAGGATGGGACCAAATATAACCTCACCTGCGCAGAGGGAACCAAACGCTGCCCGAGCCTCAGCGAGTGCGATGCCGTGAAGGGGGAGCGAAGCTGCGTACTACGGCGGCGGCGACTTTCGGAGGGGCGCGCTGTTCGGTTGGGAAACATGGCATTGGAAAAATTGCCATTCCTTGGGCCTTAGGGATAGTACGGAGGATTTGGTGAGGTATATAGTACTACATATAGTACGATTAGGTCACTGCGCCCCTGAGGGGCCATGTTTAAGGATGTTTGAAGGTATCGTTTGCATGGACCACGTGTTTAAAGTGTATATATTTCTCACGTTTGTGATGTTTTTGGACGGAGAGGGTTGTTTGGCTCAAGGGCTGTAAGGGTTGCTCGGAATGTCCGTTTTTAGATGTTTCGCTACAGTTTAGAACTGTTTTGCATACAGCAGTTTTCCGGGCCAAAAGTTTCGAATGACTCTTTTTACGTATCGAAGCGAAACGAAGCGAAGCGAAGCGACCTAGAAACTTCAGAATTACTACACCTCTCTGCCAGCATCAAGTATGTTTGCAAGTACAAGTGACGGAGTATGTATTTCCGTGGAGTTGCCAAACCCTCAAACCCTCACCGAGGGCTTCACCCAGGGCTTCACCAAGAAGCTCTTAGACCTGATGAGTCGTGTGTATCATCCGATCGTCCGATCATCTGGTTGGTAGATGTTGGGGTGTCCGAACTGACCTGTAACAGTCGATTAAACAACTAATTAATCACTATTTTAGAGCAAGGCCTTTACTAACCTGTCATTATCCACTGTTACAGGGAATAGGATACACCCAAGGTAGATGCAACATAGTGATGGACACAGCCCTGCTTCAGGTCGCACAGCGTACATGCCCTTCTGTGAAAGCAACACCATGAAATGCAACCAAGGAGACGCGGATGTGTTTGTTTCTTTTTTCAGCTCTGAACAGATGGGACAGTGTACAATTAGTCAGTGAGTGGTCGAGCGGTGCTTGCTTGATTGCATTTACCACCAAAGACCAATAACCAATCAACATCAAATGTTGATGTACCGTACAGAACCGAAGCAAACTGGTTCTGTAGATATGGTCCTGATTTGATTTCTGGCTGAAAGCAACTTGGTCAGCGTTTTGGTCACACATCAGTCATTGGTTGACTGGATCGGACGACGGACACACGGTCGACCGAGAACAAAGAAACATGGATTGATCCTCCACCATTTCTGTGTGTCTTGAGATGTTTTCAGTTCGGACTGAGGCTTAAAAACAAACATCATGTGGTGCAGCAATGTTGGGGGAGGCTATACAGGCTACAGAGCGTTGAAGTTTAGACATGTGTCTTCTTTTGGAAACATGAAACTGCCAACCGAACCGGTGAGTTGGTTCTCCACTGAACCGTGGTGTTCGGGTATCTCAATTTCCTAAAGCCCCCAGATATAAATTGAGAGAGATCAGTCAAACAACACGAGATCTCGGTGGAATTGAGTTCCTTTAACAAGGCCCTCGGCCGTATCAAGGGTGCCCAAGTCCATTTTGTGTGCCATTTGTTTCACTGATCTCTTCCGACTTATCTCTTCCTCGGCCTCCAACCTTCCTCAGTCGATAGCTCGCCATCCGCAGGAAGCTGTGAGTCCATGCAGAGCCACGGCCGAACACCTGCGATTCGCCGCCGAGTCGGCCGAGAAACCGTGGCAATTGCTTCTTCTAACGTGAGCTTGGCCGAGAAAGGGCCCCAGAAACCCAGTGGGCTTAATTAAGTAAGGGTTTCAGATGTGTTTGTTCTTTTTTGTGCAATTTTTGCTTGGGATGGTTGATTTTACTGACTGATATATTTCAAGTGAGTTGACACCACCAATCGATTGGCTTGTGGGGCACGATTCATGCGCGCCTTGGTACAGTCTGGATGGCCTCGGATTCCAAACTGGTCCGACTGAGTAGTGGCTATAGTCTCAACAAAACGAGTAAACACATGTAAACCCTGGTCCATCCTGTCCATCCTGGTCCATTGTTTTGAGATATTTTGAGTATAGTTGGGTTCTTGTTTGGTTTGGGGTGGCTCCCCTGTTGATTCATCCACCGCTACTCACCGAGGCGCTTCGGTCGCTTTGTGAGTGTTGATCACAGAATCTCTCCCTCCGCCACCCACCCGTGCTTACAAAAAAAGGTAATTGGAGGTCTAGGGACAAACAAAAACAACAAGTACAAATGAAGATATAGATGAACAACAAACAACAACAGTACAACAACAGTATACTATAGTCCCAAGATGCTCGGCACCCAAGCCACCGTGTTGGGGCGCCGTCCCTGGACTGTCCCCAAGCCACTGTGGCCCGTCAGCGTCAGATGTCTCTTGCTTCGTTTTGTGACGCCAACAAAACGACTGGCCTCTCTTTCCTCTTTGCGATGATCTGACACCGAGGCACAACTTGGTTGGTCCCCAATGCATGCAACGATTTATAGCGAGAACACACGAATGCTCGGAAGGCACGAAGGCAAGAAACTAAGGGCGTGGCCGAAAGAAAGCAAAGCTGGTTGCGGATTCAAGCACATCAAGGTGCTTAATCACGAATTTAGAAAAGCGCCAACAAACGACTGGAACGAAGGAAAAGGGACCATGGTCAATCACGTGAACCACATGCGCGTATCAAGGCCCATGGTCCCGCTTGTAGTGTTAGTTGACTCCCTGTAACTGTACCCCTCTCAAAACTCACAGATGGCCTGTTTTTCGGGGCGGAGATGATCTTTCTCGTTCAGTCCCTTTCTAGGTGCAGGCGAGTTAAAGTATGTTCCATCACCAGGTTGACCACATATATATCATCACAAAAAAAGAAATATATTCTTCATGTTCTTCAGGTTAACATGTTGTTGGGGTCCCACATGGCCAACCTCCAACCTCCAAACTGAGTTCTTGACCTCACAAGTGCATCCCGGGCAACCCGCAACCCTCTCCCCCTCCGCTCGCGGAACCGAGGACCGAGTGTCTCACGGTGGATACCGACCTCTTCAGCCAGCCCACCGTCGCCACCCGGCGCGTTCCCGCAGTGCTGACGTCGACGTCTCCGACGTCCGGTGGGCTGAAGGTTTTGAAAGGTCGTAGGTGGTGGCAGGTTGAGGGGGCTGGTATAGGGGGTGATGAAACGACATCGGGTTGGTATAGGGGGTATAGCGGGTTCTCTTGGGCGATGAATGGAGATACCACCCTTTTTTCTTTTTTTTGTTTTTTTCGAAAAACGGGGCGATGCTTCGACACCGCCCATTTTTGTTGGGGTCCGAGCCCAAGAACGGAGGCCGCTGGAGAACCCGATGCACTGTGTCAGACGTGTTGGCCATCGGAGAGTCGTGGAGAACGGGACCCTTCGACCTCTCTTCGGGAAGAGAGGTCCGGTGTCGCCCAGAGGTTCGGGGGGTCGAATGTGCATGGGTTTGATTGGTATGCCCTAGGGCTATACGCATCCACGTCACAGCCAGCCACAGGGCTTCTCCTGGGTAGGCTACGTCTACGTCTACGCTTGATTCTTTATGAACCCTAGGGCTCCAGTCGGGCCTTCTGAGAAGGTGGGACTGGGGTGGGTGAGTGCCGGGAGGGTCCAGTCATACCGAACCTGAGGAGGTACGACTGGAGTGCTAGGGATGTACACACCCAGGTCGAAGCGTGAAGTATCGCAAGGACATGACGAAGCCTGGTGAGCCCTGTTGTGGAATAGTTGGTTTGTCCGACTGGCGGATAGTTTTGTGGATAAACACGTCACCACTTCACGAAGAACAACCACTTCACCAGTGGTGACCACATGTCTAGAACCTACCCTGTCACCAGCCTTAAGTATCACCACATGGTGGTGCAACCTTGAAACATCCCAAACATCCAAACCACACATGGTAGTTGATTAAGGGGGTCAACACCCTGAAACCACCGCAAATGATAGGTAAATATATGCCAGTCCCATTAGTCGTGCGTGTTTGGGACCATTGAGATCCAAGAACGCATTTCGGAGTCACCGGGTGGGACCGGACCGGAGTGTGGGTGGGACCGGTGGGACCGCTGACCGCAGACCCTCCAAGGGCTCAGCTGACCGCACTTGCGAGCCTGAAGAGCAGGGCTGTCCCTGCAAAGGGGACGAGGCGGCATCCCCTGCGGACGAGTATATAAACGGGGCCGGACGGGGGTGGTGGAAAGCCCTGAGTTAGACGCTTGATTAGTACGACCTGCCGGAATTGGGAGTTTAAACACTCTTCATGAAGAGTAAGTGTTTACACTAGTGATGATTGTCCTCCAAGACCTGCATGGATTGCTGCGCTGTTGGCCTGCCGAAGGGTCTGGTGCTGTGAGAAAGGTGTTGCTTGTGCAAGCGGTGACAAGTTTATTCAAGTTTATTCAATGTTCATGAGTGTGGCCATTCTATTTGTTCCAAGTATTGTTCCATTATTGGGTGCCATTATCAGGTGCAACATATTCATACAAGAGGGGCTGTGGCTGCGGTTCCGAAGATTCCATGCATACAGCCAAGCTAGGCACATGAATGGGCACCCAAACTGGTCAGATCAAAAAGCTAGGTTATCTCGGGGGGAGAGGCATGCAGAAAGAATCCCTAGTTCATTATTGCAAACTTGTGCAGCAGGCAATGGAATGAAGTGAACATTTGCCGAATTTAGTGTCCCGCAAGTTCTTCTGGCTTCAGCGAGCCAGAATTACTTATAGATTCACTTGGTATTGTCCAATATTCTGGCCAATGTTCGTCCTGAGCCATCTAATTAGAGCGGCTTCACACTTGGGCTTTGGCCGGGGAAGATTCCAGCGCTGGATTGATGGTAGAGTAGCAAAGCAGGGCAGTATTATTGATAAACGTTGTTAAACGTTTGTACAAGCGACCATTTGGGTGTTGAGCCGCGACATGACAGAAGGGGCGGTCTATAGTTGGGGCAGCCGGCACGCAACTTGCAGGGAAGGTGAGGTCATAGCGTTGACCAAAGCAGGTTCCATAGTTCCATGTGTCGGAAGACTTCTTCTACACATGTAAAACACACTGGTATTTGTATTATTTGCTCGATATACTTTCCGCAAAATCCAGAACCATCTGAAATGTTTGCCCCAAAGCAAAGCTAATCTGAGTTCTGTGCGGCACGTATTTGGTATTTCTAGCAAGGTTAGAGGATATTGAGGAGTGCATAGGGCATGCAGCATGCATGCAAGCAGCAAACCGTCCGTGCAGCCGCGCTGCCGTTGTTTGTGCTGGGACAACAGGAGAGAGTGGAGAGATGAATTCATGGTGACCTGACGAGATTTTCTGGGCTCACGCTTGTCAGGAAGTGCTTCCACGACACGAGTCTGATGGAAGAGACAGTTTGAGTTCTTTCTCGTCATGCAGGTGAAGTGCACGGGCTCCGGCGTCGCCTACTGTGCCAAGGCAGATTCAGGTGGGATGCCACCATGCGTCCCCCGGTCCAACTTATTTCTTTGGTGGTGTGGGCTGGGGCTCTTCTGTGGGACGCTGGAGGATATATTCTTGGTTATTAAAGAAGGTGATGTTTGACACTTGTTTGTCTTTAGGTAGCCAGTGCATCAGGTTCCAAATGATATCCCTCTCAACCTGAGCAAAGACCTTGGCCACATACTCACCATTTTGGTGTCATGTTGTGTTGTTTCAACCAATATTTTGGGACCTTTGTTATTGTTCCTGCCTGGAGTGGTGGCACCAACATGGCCTCATATTTTCAAACGGAGGTGTGTTTGTTTTGGGCTTGGTGTTTTGTCGGTTGTAAAGGTTTTGTAAGCAATTAAGGTAGTGAATTCCGCATCCTTAAGACCACTTACAGACGAATCAACTTTTGATGTTCTCGTGGCCCATTTGCACGGCGCTGCCACCTGTCTACATGGTTTAGTTTAACTCTTAAATGTTGCAGCTTTCGACCCCCATGAAATTGTACATGTTCAAGGGTACAACAAAGACAAGAGTGGTGTGCGCAATTAACCTGGTTTTGCTCAAGATGTTGTTTTTTTGTTTTCCTATGCTTCAATCCCCTTCTGGGGAATATGTGTATTCGTTCAGGTTCCTGAAGCAAATCCAAATACACTATACAATGCGCATGATCGACACAACGCTTTCTCAGATGAACGCAGCACCAAGTTGAATTGATGAATAACAAAATCGTTTGTTGTTTAAGAAACATCAACAGCGGTTGGAACGTGCGGACACGTCTGTACACATCTTTGTTTAAAGGCTCATGGGACATGACACCTTGCCACGCATGGTGCCAGTTCTTTATCACGTACCCTAGGCCGGAAGTTCCAACATGCTTTCAACATCTTTGAACAGTTCAACTCTACAGACAAATAGTAAACACGCGTACACAAATATACTCAGAACTTACATCAAACAACTGGAACATCACAAGGCCAGCGTTTGCATGTTCAGTTCAAGAGAGAACATGATAATTGTAAGTAAATAACAACTCTCATATGCAGATTCAATGTTTCACCCCCCATGATTGTTTCTGACAGCATCTTGTGCACATGAAGGGGATCTTCCGGATCTTCATCCACCATCCAGACTTTGAGATGGGCGTGGTCCCTACCCCAAACCCGGCCCCGCCTTAGCCCTGTGGCCGGGTTCGGCCTCCGGTCCGCGTGGAGCCGCGCGGCGTCTGAGGATGCACCCTGCATTTACGACCACGCCTGGAAACCGTGCTTGCCCAGCCAGTATCACGACGCAGCAGCCGCTCGACGCAGCAGCCGGGGGAGGGCGTTCCGCCGCGCGTTCCACCACCGACGGCCGCGCCGATCGACCCGTCGTTTCCACTCCGACCGTCCAACGGAGCACCGGTTTTCGCACCCATGAAGGCACCGGTGAAGGGCGGTACAGACCCGGTACGGCCTCGGAGGGCAAAAAGACCGCGGACGTTCGGTTCAGGTTCAGTGGGCCCAAAACCCCCCCCGGGTGCCATGACCCCCAAAGCCCCCATTCCCCTCCATTCCAATCTGGTGAGCGGCCGATGTCAGATGAATGGCACCTTGGACTTCAGCGATGTGACCCTGTGCACCGATCTTCTGGGTGCCTTGGGCAGCCGGGGGCGGCCACCGGTGCGGTGGAGTAGTCTCGGTTCCGGGACCGGAGAGAGTGGTGGAGTCCAGTGGGGGGTGTGATCGGGTGCGAAGGTCTGCGCTTCGGTCCTAATGGCTTCTACCAGCTCAATTTCGGTGCCACGAGTGACATGTTTCTATAGATCAGTCTATATATATATATATATATCCACTCAAATTTCAGTGCCGTGCTTAAATGATATTTTCCAGAAAGAGGATTTTCCCAGAAAGGTGTACTATAGGTCAGCTTGCCCACTGTGAAAGCTCTCCTTCTGGTTACGGTATTTTCATGCATCAGTTCATGTACCAGTGCCGCCAACACGTAGACTCGTGATCAACATGTGGGCAATTCGGATCAACCTCAAGAATCCGGGCCCGAACTCATGGGAAGGGTTTTTTTGTTCGAGTCCGGACCCCTGTGCTTGGGTGTCGGGCCCGTTCGGGTTTCTTTGGGGAAACCAGCAGTCCAGTCCACCAGCCCTTCGCTTGTAGAGCACTGGAGCCGCTGATCCGGAGATGAAGTCTGACGGAGCATGCGCCGGTTACGGAGTCTGAAGTCTGGTCTCGCACTTGTATTCTCGCCCTTGACTTCGCCTCCCACAAGCAGCGACCGGTCGCTTCCAAATGCCAGGCTTTACCAAGTGCGTTGCAGAGTACAAGTGCTGTGGTGTTCTGTATGGCCAGCGCCCCAGTGCCGTGTGTAGTCAGATGACTGAGCACATGGGGCGGTCTTTGACATCTGAATGGCCCAGAAGCAGCCGTGTTCCACTTTGGGATGGTGTTTTGGGCTCCCAGAGTCAAGCCTGTCGATATGAAAGGTCGGTATAGGGGGTTGTTTTACGGATGTCATCACAGGAGCCATGACACCTCAGCCTCACCCATGGCTCTATTGACTCCCAAGCCGCTTCAGCTTCTTTCAAAGGCAAACTTGCTTGTCCGGAGATGGATGAAACGCGGCCGCCGCATGTCCTTGGGTCCCAGAAAGGGAAACTGGTGCTTTCTCCAGGTCTTTTTTACTTGACATCATCGAATGGCTTTGTCATGCTTTGTCCTTGCTGATGAAGGGTGGAATGCTGATGATAATGACCCAGATTCCGACGTTTGTTTGATTTATTGGGTCAGCGGCAATTGGTTCGATTCCTCAATAGCTGGCTTTTGGCCTACCTTTATTGAAAAGGCCGTGCATGGGTATCGAGGTCCACCTGTGCATGGGGAACTTGTCACCAGCATTTTGTGGTACTCAAAGTGTTTTAATTACGCTCTTAGCTTTCAACCGTGTAAACAAGGATTGAACTGTTTCAAAGAAATTTACCTTTCAGCATGTGATCTCATCGTGCGACCAATACCACTTGCGAGCAGCAGCCGAAACAGAAGGGTTGGGGCCTCCACACATATCCACAGGTTGACATTTATTTCGTGAACTTTAATTTACCTTGCAAAACATCACGGGTAAAGGCCAGGCCTGAATCATTAAGGCCAGTTTAAGATCCCTTCCCTTGTCCACACTTTTCTACCCAGGCTGTGACAAAACTGAACACATTTGAACACCATTTTGACACTGGATTAGTTTTGCAGAGAAGAAGTCCTCGCTCCGCTGCCCCAAATCGATAGTGAAATCACCCTCAAACGCCCGAGGCGAACAAGGTCGCCCCAGGCTGGCACAGTGCGCAGAGACCTTGGGAATGGTCCCTTCGGCCTGGGTAACGCACGCGTGCGAATAGCGGGAGACCCGGCCTTGGCCGAGAAGAGCGGCATGGATCTGTTGGGGAGATGGACCCGTGCGGAGGATAGAACAGTCGGAGGAGTTCAAGACTCCCTGAAAGAATAGTGGAAAACCACCTGTTGGAAAATGGTGTTCCCAGGGGTCATTTTGAGGGGCTCAAAAGCTTTCATGACCGCGCCCCACACATGCGAGATGTAGTGCTTGGATTGCTTGCTTCTGGTGGTGGAAACGGATTCTGACCTCGCGTTCTGCAAACCATCAACAACCCGAATAAAATAACCGAGATGTGTTTCTTTGTCGCTGTCGCAGGTGACACATCCCACGGAATTGGTGACACATCGCAGGTGAGATGAATGCAACACACCCGAATCCTGTCAAATCCTCGGTACAGAGGTTACAGAGGTCCAGGTACTGAAGCGCGAGCTCGTGAAGCGCGAAGAGTGACTTGTTGATCCCGCAGTTCCAAACGCACAGTTCTGCTTCCACCCCCTTCAAGCAGTTCGGGTTGACCTTCGAAAGTTGTGGTTGGAATACCTGGCTTTGTCCGTGTATATATATATATATTGTACAAAAAATCCTAGAGATTTCCCCTTGAAAGGAGAGGACAGACCGTACACTGCAGTGCTCAGCTGTCTCAGAGACATTCCTATAGGTTTTGAGCTCCCCGGGGGCACTTGGGGTAAGTATCATGATGTTGGAGCCAGTTGGAGTGTCATGCGTCAGGGAAGGTCTAACATTTGCACACCGGGTTGGTTGGAGACTGCTCAATTTTTTCTACTCACCTAGGATTTTCCCAGTGACCTTTTGATCCCCTGGTTGGTTTGGTCACAAACCTGCAAGTTCGGCCGCAAGGGAGGTCCTCCCAAGTTCGGTCACCGGGGAGGTCCTGGAAAACTGGCCGTACTCCGGTACTCCGGTCCCCCACCCAGGGATCAAGGTCCAGGATCCATCCTCAGGATGAGTTCGACCTCAATACCTGCCTTGATTACGTCGGGGACCCCTGGACGCGCTTGGGCGAAGGGGCGAGTGAGTTCACTCACGGGGCTCCGCACCGGCGTGGACGGGACAAGGCTTCACTTCGTTTCAGAGTGGCACACAGAAGTCCCATGATAGCGCTTCCCTTCACCTAGCCTACCCAGGGTGGAGAAATCGGTTTTGGACCGAACGCGTGGTCTCGCCCTGGTGGCCCTCGGTGGCCCTACGTGGCCTTGGCCTTCGGCGCGGGGAGAACAGCCTTCTCCAGTGGAGAACTCATCCGTCAAGGGGTTTTCCAACCACCAAGCCAGACGTTGCGATGCTGCAAATCCAAGATACTATAGTCATGGTTCGATGGGATGGGTCAAACATGTTTGATGTCTCTGTGCCACAATGTCAAGGTGGCCGATTCACCAGATTCAGGTCAGTTGAAGTATCCCGCAGGATCAGGATGAACTTTGTATTGTGTCATATGTTTGTCTTTATCTCTTCAAACGGTGGTGCAAGCGGTCCCCCCAAAAGATGCACCACATGAGAACCAGACTCTGGGCCGGAACAAAAGCAACCCATCGACGGTTGATGATCTCTCCACGCACTCCACCTTCCAACAAAACCCGGGTATTCAAAGGGTCCAAACAGAGGTTTTTCAGGACATTTCAGGACCCAAGCTCAACTATCCCAGTTGGTACCCCAGGTGACAGGTCCTATAGTTCAGGTCACTTAACCGACTTCACCTCTCTTGGGTCCGCCCAAATGGGGGAAGGGCCAGGGTCGTTTCACCCGCAGGAGCCATACGGTACATGTCGGACCCTCAGAGAGTGCAAGTCCGCGGGGCCAGAGTTTAGATGGTCCGATGATGTGACAGGATGTTTGGATGGTGTTTGGATGGTCCACCCATGGGTGTTTGGATGGTGTTTGGATGGTCCGCGGGCGCGCAAGTCCCATGATGTTGGGATGGTCCCCCCAACCAAAACAAGTTTGGTACGGTACGGTTCAAAAAAGAGCGGCCGAACCTGGAGTGGACAGCTCTCCGCGAGACCGCGGAATTCTACTTGCACACGAGTGCGCGTCTGCCAGTGAGATCGTACGGTTTTATATACGGATGGTCCATGTGTTTTTGTATTTTTATTTGTGTGTGTGATGATCCTATAATACCTTTCACGGACCTGTTTGTTTTGTTTTGTTTGTTTGTTTCTTTGGCTCCTTGAAGCGATCTTGTGCCTTTACGGTGTTTGGCTTCCCAGGTTTGGAATCGCCACGTGGCACCACAGCTTCGCCAGGAATTGAGTGGTTTCCCCACCGGGTGAGTTCGATGCGCGACTTTGGGTCCAAGAACCTTGAGGAATTGCAGGACTTGGACACCCAGACTGGCGCTCCCCCACGGTGAAGCCTGTGGCGGGCTAAAGATTCGGATCCCTGTGTACACGATGAGAGAGCGACAGAGCGACCTTCTCAGTCGATCTTAGCAGAACCAAGGTCTGTCAGCTTGATTTCCTCATCTTTTTTGCACACCAAACTCGTGAGTTTACCTGTTCAGAGTTGGACATGGAACCAAGGTTTGCACATGAATTTCAGCTGACAGACCTGCTGGGGTTTCACAAGCACATGGCTGGTGCTGGCTTTCAGAAGGAGCGGCCTTCACACGCAGTGGACACCAGTTCCTGACAAACAACCAGTTCCAAGGTTTCTCCGAGAACTAAGCAAGCATCTCAGAAGTGAGATGGATCCTGGAAAGTATCGCTTGTAGACAAGACTCATGCATACTCATGCATTTTTCATCTTAGGGTATCTTGGTCAAGGAAGAACATAACCTCACAAACAGACTCGATATAGAAGTATTGAAGCCTAGCGTTTCATCAGACAGGTTTCTTTGGTGCGACTCTTAAACACTTCGATCACTGCGGCCAATCGAAGATCATCCTGAGGGGGAAGCAGCGGCGGAGGTGCTGCCTGCCGATTAGGAGAAATGTGGCTTGGCATCAGAAGATGTTGGGATGTTTGAAGATTCACCCAGACTCTTCAAACCATCCTGGCATCATGTAAGACCCTAGACTCTAGACCCCTCCATATGAGAGTCCGATCTCTCCATTTGAGGGTCCATGCGTGTTGGGAAGAAATTCAAAAACCAACAACAAACCCTACCTCCCTCGAACGTGAGTGGCCAGGTGTCTTTTTATTGTTCCAATCGAGGCTATCCCATCCCATGGCCATGCCATCAAGACACGTTGTCGATCAAGTCAGCCGCGGCACTCGTTGTCGATGTTGGGATGGTTCGTTGTTGGTGGAACCAAGAGGTTGATGAGCAAAGCCCACCCCTGAACAACTTGACTAGTGACTAGTGTTACATTCAACCATGTTTTAATATGTTTTATCTACTATTGTTACAGTATATCCATAGTGGATGACAAGTTGACCCTTGCATCAGCAACAAGCATATGACGCTGATGTTTGAGACCATTATCAACAAAAAACACACATGTGCCATGTGCTGCAGGCTTGTCGATCATCATATTGACATGATTTGCTTCGCTAGTTCACACCTGGAGAGTCCAAGCAATGTGTGCCAAGCGGGTCCAGCATAGCTCGTGCTTTCCGTCATGGATCTTCCTCAACAAATCATAAGATAAGGTTCGACATTCCGTTCACACCCTTACTTGGGTGTGTATACATACACTTGCAATGCATGGGACTGGAATATGAACTACATTGACCCTTCATACCACCCCAATGCATGTCTTAAAATGTCTTAAATATGCCACTCCGGAGTGTCCGTGTGGGGTCATTTGCTGAGAACATCCCTGTGACCGTGGGCGGGAAGGTCTTCCGCCACATGAGTTGGTTCAGGTATTGCCGCAGCAACGTCTACGACTCCAATGGTGCGGAGCATAGACGTCGTGCCATCGACCGATGGAGTCGGATTGGAGTTGCCATCCCAAAGGTTTTCCAAAGTGAGTGAAGGTAGATCCGATTAACATGGATCCAAGTGAGTGAGTGAGTGATTAACATGGATCTAGCCCCCCCCTCTTTCGGGGTTGCTCTGATTAGAAACTCCTGGTAGTTGAGTCATGGTTGGCCTTTCTCCCGATGTTCTAGAAGCTCCCCCAGTCATGGGGAAAGATGGGAAAGACCCCAACAGATGGGACAGCACGTCTGGTCTGAAAGCAGGGACTCGGGATGGCAAGATGCCAATACTCAGACCCTAGGGATCCAAGTACCTTCTCAGGTACGGTGATTGGAGGCACTGTTATGTAGGTTTGGAAGGTCCAAGTACCTTCTGAGAAGGTACGACTGGATCCCTAGGGAGACACTCCATAGGACTGGACGGCCAATGCCGTCTCATTGGCCCCGTAATTCAACCACCCCTTAGTGTACGTATAGGCAAATATGCCATACCGGACCTTGAAAGTAACCTCTTTGAAGTCTCTAAGTGAGTTCAGTGTGACTCGTCGTGACCGAAAATCCTGGGATCTCAAGTTTGGTCACTGACTGAAGCTCCTGGTATGGCATATCATTTGCATATCATATGGCTTTTCAGATTGAGTCAGGGCACCCTTGTCAGCAGCTCTGGGAGCTGCCTCCGGAGCTGAGTGCAGCTCGACTGAGTGGTCACACCAGTTGTCACAACGGTTTGGGTTTTCACCGTTTCACCTGGTGGGATACCGGAGCTCTTAGGGGTTGACTCAAGTTTCACCGTAGTTGTTTACAGTGTATAGGGAATTGCGTCAATAGATAATACATGGTTATATTGGATATATAATACAAGTCAAGTCTACATAATTACCTATATATATATTAGGTGTGCATCCCCGAGGCCTGTTTGTTTGGTTTCCAACACACACAGCAGCGACCAATCAGGTTCCCATTGGCAGTTTAGTCCGGATACTGTAAGTGTTTGACATGATCATATGATGATGCTTCAGGAAACAACATCACAAGATCAACCTTAGATCAAGACCTACCAGGCAGTTCAGATTACCACCACAAGATACCACAAGCTTCAAGACATTTCAAGACCATAAGCAAATGGAGAAAAAAAAACAGCGGTATTTGGTTCTAATTCTACTGCCGCAAACCTCTTGGAACAGCAGAAAAGCACACGGGCGGCAGGTGAATGGAACGAAGCAGCCACCATGGCAGCGAAAGAGTTCTGCGTCCCAGAGTACGAAGGTGCGCCCGTCCGCGGCGACAGCGACGCTGTCGACGGCGTCCCGTCTGTGGTCTTGGAGTGAAGCTCTTCAGCTGCGAGCAAGAACTGGTGGGAGGTATACATGAGTCTACATGAGTGTGTATTTTTAAAAGGGAGACCTCCAACCAACTGTGAGGGTTCTTCGAAGACGGGAAATGATGGAAGATGGGAGACCTCATCAGGACTGTTTTTTGGGACCAGAAGGGTCCACTTGAAGTGCGTCATAGCAGAGTGATGGGTGGGAATGATACATTGCTGTTGTTCTTGACATGGCGAATTGGATGTGTACAATGGTTACTGTAGGAATTTTATGTACTGAACCATTGTTTGTACTTATGATATTACTTGTTCTTGACATGGTTACCTGTAAGATAGATGCTGTTTCTCGGAGCGAAAGCTCGCTGGCCGGCGGCGGATTTCGGTGGTAGCACACTATCGGTGACATGGGCTGGCGAGCTCGGCCGGACCTCGTCCGCCAGGATGCCCTTGCAACTCCGAATTTGAGGAAATGTGTGACAGTTGGGAAGGCCCAGAGGGAGCAGAATGATGCTCAAGATCAAGAGCCGGAGAATGCTGACTATCATGATGACCCAAATCGGGAATGAGAAAGGGGTTCTATTATATATATATATGATTTTCTCGAGAAGGACCATGAAGTCCTTGGCACATCTCAGCACTCTAATGACCTGATCCCAGCACTCCACGTTTCTGAGTATGCTTGTGTCGGCTTTGGATGTTGTTTTCAGGAAGGTTTCTCCAACATCAAACTATGTTCCTCCTATTTCTTAACCCTTGGACCCATATTAGAACCATGGACCATTGCGGCTTCACAATCCGCATCATCACATGCACATGCACCAGACACGACACATGGGACTGCCATAGATGCCGCCCCATTGACCCCCAGGTCAACCACCCCTGGCCTGATCGGCAGTCCTATGGCAGTCCCATGGGTCGTGTCTGGGCGAGTAGACAGTTCTTCCACTTAGGCCAAGGATTCAAGTTCTGCGAGAGCAAGAAGCTGGGTTGCACGGAGCCCAGTCAAGGTTTTGTGCGACCACAGCAGTCGAACACGGCGGCATCCAAGTCCAGACCATGCGGCCATGCGGGCGAGTTCTTTGTGGTGGTGGAATACAAGCGGCAACATCAGTCCACTCGATTGTAACGCGCAAGGGTTCAAGCCCCCCAGAGTTGACGCCAAACCTTCGAGGCATGCGGCAAGAGTCTTTGTTTGACCAACTTTGATGTTACTTTGCTCAAGATGATTCAAGATGGATGTTTCAGCTTCTGGCTTCTGTTGCACCAATGACCTCATGCAGATCAATCCATAATATCAATCCATGAACAAATGCCAGCAACGCGGTCCGCTATTTTCACGACGCAGGCAACAGTTGCGCTGTTTTCTTTGTTCATAGTGTTTCTGCGCGATGGTTGTTTGCGCGAGCTGCTCAGGTCCCAGCCTCTTCAACGTGGAATGCGATGAAACTGTCGAGTTGCTTTGTAAGGACCCGGTGGCTTCCACGCCGCTCCCAAACCCGGCGGAAAAAAGGGCGTGAAGTCCGTGGAGGCCATCCTTAGAATCCAAAGCCGGTCACACGGCCTCTGGGGCGAACACCTGCACCTGCACCTGGCGAAGGAAGCCGCGAAAGGCCAAAAGAAAATCCTGACTGGTGGGAAGATGTGGCAGACCTTTCCTCAGAACAGGTGAAACATCATGTTTTGTTTAATGAATTTTATTTTCATCAGTGGGGTAATTCACGTTTACTTAACACGGGACTTGGTTTCCGAGTTTCCATGCACGTACTAATAGAGGAAGCAGGTAGGTAGTTTGTGCATGTTTGTACCTGGACCCTACTTGAGTACCATGGAAACTGGGTACAAGTACCTGTTTCTTCCTGTTTGTAGTACGGGTCATGGCCACTTTTAGTAGGGTCCAATGATATGAATTGGAAAATCTGAACTCTAGTTAGCTGGGAAGCTTCATCAAGCCACCTACGACGACCGCTCGACTCGAAGCGACAGGTGTGCACCGAGCTCGAGGTGTTGTTGGATATATATATATATAGTCGGGTGGGGCGAACCTCCTTTGGGGCCCACCCTCAATTCAGCCGGTCATATGCGGTCCGTGTTGTTCTTTGATCTGGTGGACACCAGCTACCAGAATCACATCCAGAACAGCTAAAAGTATTCAGAATTCCCAAAAGCATGACATCCAAAGAAGCATTGCTTGAATTTCCTCGCTAATTTGCAGCGATCTAAAAGTTAAATACTTGTTGTTGTGGGGTCGCTGGCCATGTCTCAGGGCGACCATGCATGTCCTCCGAGCGATGTGCGGAGGATGAGTTCTCGGCCTACTGTTGGGACAAAGAGTGGGGCAACTGCCCTCTCTTCTGCAACAGTTTCTGGGCAAAAAAGACCAGTTTGCATGCTGACAGGAGTGATCTTCTTGGACTGCACAACGACTAAGAATACAAACAGCTAGGACCGAAGATAGTACCGGAGATGTTGTCATGGGTTCATGGCTGTTGATGGGAACTTTGATGGCAGTGGATATCACGGAACAGGCCGACTTTCTTGGAGTCTATTACATTATATAGCGTCAATAACACAATAATATCAATAAGAAGTTGATCAGACAGGTTGTACATACACTACTGGGTTCCCTTTTTAAAGCCGGTTTTGACCATTTTTTTCCGCAGCGGCTGCTCTTCTTCGCTGCGCTTCACCTTTCGAGAATGATTTCGGCAGGGTGGGCGGGTTACACGACCGTTTTACGGGTCGGAACGGTGCAGACACCGGTGGAACACACGACGGGACTGCACAGGGTCATAGGAAAAAAGATACCTACACAGTCACCCATTGACTTGAAGAACCACCCTGAAGAACCACATGGAGTGTTTGGGTATGTTTGGTGACGGCGGTGACATTGATCAACGGACCAGAACTTCGACCCCTCGGTGGGACTCCAAGTAGCTATCAACATGGATGATCAGTCTCTGGGGTCAAAGGCCAGGAGGGTGGCTCTGATATAATGAGTTTATTTGGGCAAGGACTTGGTTGCTGTTCGCTGGTTTATTACTGGTGAGCTAGTTTTTCAGTAGGATACCATAAAGTGTTTTGCATGAATCGTGATACAAAGTGACTCGCAGTACGTAGTCAAAGGTGCATGCTTACACTACTGTATATAATGACTTATATATAGTATTATCATTATAGATGATCCGCATGCATTGTACATCATCATTATTGTGTTCTTTTATCTTTAATTACAGCAGGTTCATATCCCTATATCCAGCCTGAATGTTCCAAGCCATGATCCGGTATTATTGTGTTGGAATCGATGAACGATCCCACTTCTGAGATGGATGAATCATAGGTCAATGATGAATGATGCTTAAGAACATGAGGAGTCAATAGCTGGACAGGCACCCCACTTCTTGTGTTAATCAACCACATGTGCCGCTAATTCGGAACATCTGAGGACCCCTTCCTCCGTCAGAACAGTTAGAGCTGGCTCTAAGCACCGGCGAGAAAAAAATCTCTTTCGGCACATCCCGGGAAGCAAAAATTCTTCGTTTCACCGCGAGACCACTCACTGAGGTTTCACTTTTGTGCGGACATCCTTGGTTTCACTGAGGCACCCAGATCTACTGCTACAGCCAGGCCTATGATGCAACGCCTCTCGGCCGACATGGGTCATGTGACAGGTAGCGTCAATAAGGGGCGGTGAAAAGCGCGTTCAGGGCATAGGGAAAGGAAATGGATGGACATGGCCAATTGGGGACACACTTTGCTGGGTGACCCGATCATAGGCTTCGTAGGTGGCATGCAACGTAATCGACTTGAGCCACTGAACGACCGCATTCATGCAGGTACCTTGGTCACCGCCAGGGTCTTCAACACATCCGAACAAACTCTTGGCACCGTTGGCACCGCCTTGCTATTTTGTGAGGTTGGGTGTGTCATTGTTTATGGAAATTGGGTACAGTTAGAATGTTTTCTCTTCCCAGTTCGGCGTTGACCCTTCCCTTGACGTCTTGGTTCTTCTTTGAGTTGATGTTTCCCGTTCCCTATGGCTTTTCCCGATTCGGGTGCTCTCCGCTCCGCGGTGTGGGTTGAAGCGGACGTTTTTCCGGAAGTCGGCGGTCTGGATTTGTTGAACGCCGAGTCATGACCAACACATAACGTTGACACAAGAAACAGACATTCAACAGATTGCTCAACGAAAAAACGATGTCCATTGAAACGATTTGAGATGTCCATTGTGTGGGGAACATTCTCGGAATTCTGCGGGTTATCTCGGATCTTGCACGATCTTGCCTGTGCACCCTAAGGCCCTAGTGGCGTGCCCGAGATCATGTCTACCAAATTCCGGTCCAACTAAGATTCTCCCCGGTCCCACTGGGAGCATTCCAGACTTCTGCTGGCCTGCGCTCTCTCCTTATTTTTTTGGGGGGGGCCACCTGTGACGCGACGCTGAGGACTGGCGAGCCGGACTGGAACCAGCAGGCGAACCGATTGGACCTGGACCATTGTCGACCATTTGTTTTGTGTGTTCTAATGGAGATCCTTATGTAGGAGGAATCTGTTGAGAACTGGTCCGCGGTCTGGCCCAGGGTGTCCGGGGTGCCATGACCCACAGCCATCTGGTAAAACAGATCGCAGAATCAAAGATTCTGCCGTACCATGGTACTCGTACCGCAGTTGTACCATGTTGTCAGTTACTACCAGTTCTCGGAATTCGGGGAACAACATGGTACAAGGGAAAAAGGAAGAGAGTTAACGGGTGGACCAAAGTCTCCTGCCGATGTCAGGACAGAAGTGTGTGGTTGAACAAGAGAGTTCATTAGGGTGTTCTTCACCATGGCGCAGACGAAATCTAGCTACTTAGCTTGTTCATGGAGGCCCTGTGTTGTTGCACGAAGGAGCTCAAGTTGCGCAACTGCACAGGGCATGTGATCGAAGTTTGCCCGGGCCAACTGATTGCCAGCAAACAACTTTGTCACGGTTTCGGTTGAGTGTATTTGTTTGTTCACTGAGAGCATGGAGGCAACATGGGACATGCTCTTGCTTCACAATAATGGGACATGCTTTCCCAGCCTAGCAAGTTTGAATTACCCTTGCCCAAAGGCAGCTGGAGGATATCTCCAGATGATGAAGAACAATCACATATCTTTGTCACAGTGGTATTCCTGCCTCCAACACACATGGAAGTGGACATCGAGCTTCAAGGAACCATTCTCCCTATGTTTTGCTATGTTTTGCTTAGGGCCTTGACCGGGTGACCGGGTGACCTTCCCTATGAGTGAGGAAGGCGTGTTTTCTCTCGGTTCCTTCAGCCAAGTCCAAGTCGTCTACTTCGATTGGGCGGGGCGGGGTATATCAATTGGCCCAAATCCAAACCAAACCAGTGCAGAAATCCATGGCAAAGCGGCGTGGACGCCGTGCACGGCCGTGCACTCCGATGAGATCCTGTCCTCCAGGGCAATGAGTTCTGCGCGCCTGCTGCCACCGGCTGCCCCTGCGATGCCACGTGAGACCGGGAGAAACAGAGAAGCCTGGTGGGTCACGATCGGGAAACCTGGTGGTCTCGCCCGGTTTTTGACGTGTAGACTAGACCCTTTGCAGCTGTTCGAGCCGCAGAAGAAGACAGTCACAATGTGTCTGGTAATCTCCAAAAATGCCACAAGGATGTTCGGATATGTTTGGTCATGTTTGGCCACTCATTCTCAGTGTTTGGAGTGTAGGTTTCATGCATAGCTTGGCCTTGCCAGCACTTTAGACTTGCTTCATGGCGAGTACAGAACGGCTTCCCTAATCTTGGTCTTCTACTTTTCTTCGTGCAACCTGTTTCAGGCATGAGCAGCAGGAAACTTGTTCCAACACCGCTAGGACCTGGGGCATTCCTCAAGATGTGTTGCACGTCCTAGCCTTCCCAAAAAGACAGGTCATCACCGACCTGCCCGTAAGTCAGTGCAGGTACGAGAACAAATGCACTGACGAGTTTGGCTACACGGCGGCACCGATTGGAGTGGAAGGGGCAGGATGGAGTTTTGATTCATACTCCAGATTTTATGGAGTGGAATCCGATTTTGAAATGGTCTTGGTGGCCCAATCGAGCTACAAAAAATGGCCTCTGTTGATGATGTACATGGATCTCAGTCAACAAGCAGTGGTCTTTGAAGGGTAGCGGCGGTCAGAATAACATGAAGGTTCTCTAGTTTGATAGCCTGCAAACTTCCTCAACTTTCTAGCCTGAACCAGGTTTTGGGGCAGACTTCCACACCTCCCGGGCGCATCATTGAATCACCCTCACCGGTCACCGGCCTTTCCTGCAAGCTTTATATAACTCATTCTGAAACAGCTCATCCACCAAAGAGTGCCTGGCCCTGTGTGGGCAAGGAATCCCCCTCGAATCGCTGCTGCAGCTTCGCTGAAGCAACTAGATGGCTGTGGGTACACGGCACCTGGAGACCTTGTGTTTTTTTGACATGAAATAGACTCTAGACCACGTTTTGGGATGTTTTGGACCCACCAGGGTGAGTTCTGGGCTGCCCATGACCGCCACACATCGACCGGTCGACTCACTGTGACTTCCGCATCCACCCGACCCAGCCGAATGGTCGGCCGGTCGGTCTGCCGCATCGGCTGGGTCGACCGCAGGCAGCAGCTGGTGTCAGGCCAAGGTGGTGAACTGCCCACTGACCTGCACGGAGGAGGAGCAGGCGAGGTGAGTGCGAGATCCGTACGCACAGATCCTAACAGCTGCTGGCACGGCTGCTGGCACTGCTGCCAGTTTTCTTATGCTTGCTTTGTGAGATGTGTGGAGAGAGTCAAAGGATCTTGGTTTCCTTTTGGGAGGGACGAAAACACAGGTGTGGGCATGCATGTGTGTGTGTGTTTATGCCAGCATCCAGCGAAGCTGGGAGTATGCTAGGCTTGTATCGCGCTTGTTGTTGAAAAACGTGACTTGGTTCATAGTTGTTGTAGGATCCTGTGTGTTTTCACAACATCCAGAAACACAAAAATCACAACTGGAAAAAAGAGCACCTGTGCATGGACCATCATGGACCTATTATGTATATGTCAAGTAAACAACTCCAAGCCTGTCTGGTTTGGCTACCTATGGGGTGTTTCAGGTACTAAGAGCCGATCCCTTTTGGCCAACCAAAGGTCCCAACATTGGTCAGCGTCAAGCAATGAGTTCCAAAATGGATTCAACTCGAGGGGAACATATCGCTCAGGGGTAAAGCATTCACACAAGTTCATAGAAAACCAGTTGGCAACTTGAGTGGGAGAAAGGTCTAGCAGTCTAGCACCAGGAATCATACTCATCCCTATTTTTTGGGGGGTGAGGAAACCACTCCCAAATGTAGGACCTTAGGACATTTCCCTACAGCTCCTGGTGCGGGTGGGTGTCAGGAGGGGTCTCGCTAGGATATGGGGACAGGAGCGCTGGGGTAGGACAACCCTGTAGGGATCCGTTTTCGTGCCGAACCTCAGGTTTGGTACGACTGGACCCGACCATGGCACCTACACAACAGTGTCTCCAATCACCGGTACCTGAGAAGGTATGACTAGATCGCGCTCAGCCGCCCGTGGGAAGGCCTGCTACCGGCCGGCCTACGGCTCGGATGGCCACCCGACCGGGCGGCGCAAGGGGCGGGGGCGCGAGAAAAACGCCCGGATGGGTGGCAAACGCGTGCGTTGCCGGGTGGGTGACTCAAATGAAGAGAAAAGAGCGAATGCATATGATATGTTCTGCAGCACTAAAACCGCGCCATCAAACCGTGCTTGTCTGTGTGACGTCATGGTTTGCTGTTGTACGTCAAGACCGGCGCGTCGGTCGAGACCGCAACCACGCGGGGTTTCACCGTGGCGGGGTGAAACGGGGGTCACTCCGACTCATCTCGGTCCGGTGCCGACGGTGAAACGGGGTGTGCCTGGACCTGGAGACACAGATGGCTCAAACAGATGATACTCCGATCATCTCCCATCTCAGACGAACACATGGAGAAAACCACCTGCAGTGTAGAGGACAATGGTCTTTTACAGGGGGCCATTGTCCATGTTAGTGAGTCAGAGTGTACTCATGTTACATGGAGTCGGCCTATAGTATCTATAGTAGGAAGTGCTCAAGAATCCAAGCCTTTTAGATCTGAGAGTTGGGCCTCGCGTGCGAACACACCTCACCCCGATAACAATGCACTGCTCACGATGTCTGAATCATTTGTCCCTGTTTCGAGGCCAGCTACCTCCGTTTCGGTGATTGAGGTGGGTGGCCAGAGGGGGTCACTCCCTACCCTCCGAGGAGGTGGACTTTAGGATTTCAACAATGACTTCCCAGAACATCCATATATAATTCTATAAAATTCTATGTATAATATTCTATATCTTATATTACTGTATATTATATTACATAATATTGATATACTATATATGGAAGTGTTACATACGTTTGCCCCATGAAAATGACAGTGTTGATCCCGTAGGTATTCCATAGGTGGACATCTAGATGTTTCAGTTCTGTGCAAATAGATGCAAATGGCTCTATTGGGCCTGGCCCTTCCATGTACAATCTTGGAAGATCTGGGTCTGGGCATTGCTTCCAGGTTACGAAGATTGGTCTCAGCCCTACGTCGAGACCTGTGCAAGCATCGATGCGCCGGCCACCTCAGCCGCGGCGTTTCTTACGTCCCGCAGGGTCCGGCGGTAGAGGCGGTAGAGGCGGTAGTGATGACCCGAAGGGCAACGCGGGGAGGGTCTCGTGTTTCATGAAGAAGCGTGTTTTTAAGTTTGAACACAATGGACTTGAATGATGACATGCTTGAAGGCTGATCTCCTGTTGTTATTTGTGTTTGGCATGCTATGACGTGCTGGTTCTTTGAGATAAACTGCTGAAGGCCATCGCTTTATACAGTAAAGCCCAAGATGGAGTGATGTTCACCAAGTGGGGAGGTGGTGAAATAACCCCGTGAATGATGTGTGTGTTCTTTGTTCCGTCAATTGGTCAATTACCGACCAAACGACCGAAGACAACCGTATCTCCCAGACTCCACGGGACTGGAATCTATGTCCGTCCCATTGGAACCCCGTGATGTTCGGGAGTCATATGCCAGTCCCATTGGGCGTGTGACTGGCATCTGGGCTCCTGAATGCCAGTCCCGGTGTCCTGGGGTATTTTTACCCTAATATTATCTGTCGAAAGAAACAACACATTGTTGTATATAATGGTCTTTACCAAAGAACCATTTGTTTTACTAAGGAATTTTACACTACACCACCAGGTCAACCATTCCTTTAATGGTTTTCCCTGAAGGCATCTGGGCTCCAGTCGGCGCCTGCCGACTCGCCACCACCGGGTCGCCCCTCTGCCAACGGCTCGGCTCTCCCAAGGCATTGCCCCTGCGATCCGGTGCACGAAGAGCTTTGTCCGGCCTTCTCAGACCGGTGGATCGATGTGGGGCAGACTGGAGCTTAGATGGTATACGGATATCTGCAGTCATGTTGAAAGAGCTTGGGAGGTATCTGCATATGAGGTTGATTTGTGTATACAGTATAGGTGTTTTTTTTTTTTTTTTTTCGCAGATACAGCAAACAGACATGTGAAGTTTTGACAGAGACGCGAGACGCATCCAAGATCCTTGTTGAATACCTGAAGTGGCTTTAGAGATTGTGGTTATTGTATAGGTCAATGCCTCTATATAGCTGTCAATAGCCGCGCTCGTAAGTTATGGTGATCATGTCTCCAACTCCAAGTTATCACATGTTATCACGATCCACGACATCTCCAAGTATGGCCGCTTAACAGGGAATGAACTAGCCAAATAACCTACATTGTTCGCTGTCCACTATATCCGGTGTAGGACTTTATGAATCTCCCGGATGGATCCACTTGCGCTATATAGACTCACACGTTACATGGAGGTCTTCCAACCCGATTTGGTCATAGAACTGTTCTACTTCGAACAATGTGTGTGTTGTACAATGAAATACGCACTTGACTTTCTAATTACCATGTTCTCTAAGTGCATCCCTCTAGAAAGAACTAAGATGTTGTCGATCGAACTGTATGTCCATTCCATTGCCATCCCAAACACTCCATGAAAACTGACATATTTACATATACATACATAGTTCGAGCTTGGGGGGATCAATGTATGGAATAGTTATACTACTGGATGGCTATAGACTACTGGAATAGTTATAGTTCTTGGGACTGGATCAATTTGTCTATAACTATTCCAGTCCCATGGATTCGCTTCGTCAAGTTGTCTACTTCACTGAAACGTCCGTGTCTGAGCGGGAGCCACGTGTCATGTTGCCGTCGTGTACGGCAAGGCCACGACTTGTACGGCAGCTGGTGTCAAGCAAAAGTTTATGGAAGCTGCCCCTTGCAGCCTGGCAGTCTTTAAGAAAGAGACAGCAGACCAGTCAGTTTGATGGTCTGAACATGCAGAAAGGGAATCACCTAGCATTTTGGTCTATATTCTGCGTGCGCAAGTGCATGTACATTATCGTTGTTGTTGTACAGGCATGTGAGGCACACAAACGATCGGCCTTTCTGCAGGGCGTTGTAGGACACGCTTGTGGGCGCTATCCTAGGTTCAGGTTTGGTAGGCTTTTAGAATTCACTTAGAATGGTGTTTCATGGCTGGAGAGCTCTGATTTTTCACTTTCGGCACCATGGAGTCTGGTTTGGGCCAAGAAACTGCTCGGATAGAGGTGAGGTGTGGCCTTAATAAAGAGAAAAACGCCTTTTAGTTGGTGCCAATTCGACCGAGGTGAAGGAATCACATGGGTGTAAACTACCCATGGTGTCCCAGATCACGTCCATTCTGAAGGAACCCAATTTGGGTTCTTCTTCATCCAAAGTAGCTCCGATCGATGAGCTTCCAAAACACTCCTGAGGCACTGCTCTGCGACACAGACACTGGGCGTAGCTTGGGTGGGGGATAGGCGCAAACAGTTATAGAGCTGGTCTGTGAGGAAGATGGCATACCAGAAAAGTGGCTGCAACAGAACTGGGTGCCAAAGGGAATAAATCCGCTGAACGACCTCAACATACCCGATAAATTCCTTTGACAGGAAGTAGTTGCTATTGGTGAGTAGTAGGCTGCTATCATCCATGTTGTTGAGGGTTCCAACCACAGAAGATAATTGACCAGCCTGTCGAAGAGTTCAACACCATCTCGTTTTGAGGGAAACACTTCAAGCAACCACACTCAAAAGCATGTGTTCTTTTTCTTCGGGTTGCTGATAGATTGAAGATGTTTGAGAGACTACATAAAGCATGGCTGGTCGCAGAAGCTTTTACATCCCTTATTGGGCCCATCGAAGGGAACTCTCCATGGCTGGGCGAGTCGAGTCCTCCACATTTCGGAGACCTGCGACGGGAAAAGCAGGAAAATCAGGGTGTGTTTCTTTAGACATACATATTGGAGTCAGTAGTATATGGCAACATGTGGAATATACAGCCTAATGACTATATAACTCTCTACTATTCAGCAGAAGTTCCATACTTCCACTGCTGAATAGGATCGTCTCCAAAACCAATGCATCGCCAAACATATGGATCCCAGGAAGCCACGAAACCGAAGGGGTTGGGTTCGGGCAGGTCGTGCCGAAGGTGAGTGCCACGCGAAAGCGGCTGCATAGCACCAGCTCAGCTGCGTGTTTCTTGGGAGACCTCCCGAAACCAAAGGTCTACCTATAAACATACATGGCCTATCTTTATGTGAAAGCTTATCTCCCGACCTATGACCGGCCTATCTCCGACCGGCCATACGTGGACGTGTGCCATCAACGGGTCGCGTGAGTCGAAGCGGTGCTTGGTATGCCAACGTGTGGACAGCGAGTCCAGTTCGGTCACCTGAAAAAAGAACGTACAGTATAGATATGACATGATATGAACACAGATGTAGTTGGGTGGCTTTCCGAAATGTTGTAACATGTTGTAACATATTGAGACAACCATGTGCCAGCCTGCTTGAAGAAAAGAATCTGGCTTCGTGTAGTGACAGATTTCGGGGCCCAGACTCAAGAGATTTCATCCTTTTAGAAGCAAGCTGAAGCCGCTTAGGATGATGTGCTGGATCACTCCATACACTGTGCCTTGGCCACAGAAGGGTGCCTGAGCCGCGTGGGTCATCCGATTGGGGCGTTGCCGGTGGAACGAGGCTGACATAAGCAGGGGAAAGTTAGTATAGATTATAGATTAGTATAGTAAGGGGCTTTACACTAGTATACGTTGTGCTAAATGAAACAATAAGAAGTAGATATTGAAGATAGTTGAATGCTTGGGCTTGCTACACGAGATTATGGTGTCCTTTCTGGAGACATCAAAGTCAGGTGGAACTCGTAAGTGTCCACCAGGACCAGGAGATTTCAATTCAAGATAGGAGAAACTCTACGACACACCCCAGAACAGTGGAACTAGATTCTCGATTAGTAAAACCATAATGAGACTCCACCAATTGGATTAAAAGAACCTCTTCAATTGGGGTTTGTATTCATCAAGAGTATTCAAGAGTCTACATTATTGCCGGCCACTGCGATGAACCCTGAAGTGTGTTCATGGAAATATATTATTGGTTGTGAGGAGCGACGACACAGAACCTTCCAATTGCGTCGGGTGAGGAGCTTGCGCTTTCCGAATTCAGGGCGTCAAGTTTCTGGATGCCGGCATCCAGCTCTAAGTTTCTTCTTGGGTCGAAAAGGGGTTATATGGAGTTGCCTGCCAAATGTTTTAAATATTCCCAATAAATAGGGAGAACATATCCCCCTTAGCATTATGTAACGATTTGTTTTCACTGAGGGTTCTTGGCACTCAAAGCACAAAGGCGATAGTTGTTTGTATCAGGCCAGGATGTTTGGAATGAGTTGCAAGAAAGAGCTCTTCAAACTTCTAGGATTTCCACCTTGATCAAACCATCTTCTCACACAACATCGAATTTGCATGTCAAACCACTCATCTGGACAGCTTGATCAGACATGGATGGGACACCAAGAGATTGGCTTCTTCAAGTGACAAACGTTGAGCTTCTGACCACTGAGTTCTTGATGTTCACTTTCAGTCCCGGACTGGCCAAGTCGTTGGGACATCGCTATCGAATCTCCACCGACGCTCGAGGACATGGGTGAGATCGACTACCAAGCCGATTGGAGCGCCTGGCAAGAGACCTGCGCTGAAGTCGCCGATGGCGGGGACAAACGCGTCGACCAGGGACCGGTGGTGTCGATGATGGTGAGAATGACAACCCCAAAGGGCGCAGGACCATCCTGAGTAAACCCTGGCATTAGATCAGCGAGTAGTGGAGAGGGGGTAGAGTATTAGTATGAAATTCAAGAAGGAAGCAAAGAAAAACTTATATAACACAATGAAAGGCTCAAACTCAAAATAAAGCTAAACGACCTTTCAACCAGAAAAAGCATGTAGCTGTATCTTGGGTGCAGACATGTGCAGACTATGTATGGGAATTCTCATTTTTCAATGGACAGCAATGAACAAATCATCATGTGCACCAGAAATGTGCTGCTGAATCAGCAAAGCACACAATAAAGAAAAGCACATCCAATACAATCCAATCAAAAAGTAATAGGAACACCATCAAATCCCAATGAGACAGCAATGAACAAGTCATCATGACCAGAATTCTGCTGCTGAATCAGTCTGGTTAAGCAGACCTTTAAAAAATAAGAAAACACATAAACAATACAATAAACATATACAATGTATATGCATTTCAACAACACAAATATATACAGTATATTTATATATATATAGTGTATCTAACATAAGAAATAACATAATAGCACAAACAACAACAACAGGAGGAGGGGGGATCGGGGGGATGTTTAGCCTTGTTTTGGGGCAGTTTACTAATCCTAGGTCAAATAGAAATGTGCCTACAAGTGATGACCCTAAGCTTGTCCTAAGTAATCCTAAGTAGTTTCACAAAGCCGTATGCAGGACTGGACCCTTAAGTGCTAGGGAATCACCACAGAACCAAAGGTTGAAGGTCAGGCGGGGGGTCGTCGATGCGTGCGATTTGCAATTCTCTGGCTATCAGCTGTAGGCTCTGCCATTCTCTGGTACATCCTGGCAGATCACTCGATATTGGCCGTCTCGGTACCAAAGCGAAGCCCAAGCTTGCGCCG